AGCAGACAACAAGAGCTTACGTTTACTCAGAGGGCTAACAGCATGGCTCTAAAGGAAATATAAGTGAGCGCAGTCACACAGCTACTCTGCTACTACTGAATGAATCTATTCCTCAAAAGTCTAAAGATGAGGGGATCAGAAACTAAAAAGTAAGTAGCCTATCTGACCAAAGCAGGAAAATTTGAAATGTAAAAAAAAATAATTAAAAATTAAGGTGACCTGTAGTGGTCCATGACAGCAAAACTTGACCTGGGGCTGTCCGACCTTGTTTGGGGGAATTTATAAAATCCTTCACAAGTCCGGGGTTTTGTATGGAAGTTTTGAGTTTGTGATGTGTGGACTTACTGAGTTAGAAGCATGTAAAAAACACTGGAACCGACCCAAAAGACTCTCAAAATTTACTATGTGCGACTCTGTGACTTCGCCCCTGCGTAGTTGTGTCCTCTTTTTGGGGATTCAGAATATGGTCACCCTAAATTATGTCGAAAGTTTAGGCTGGAAACTGTTTCTGACAGATAAAACTTAAAATTGTAAATGTCTTGACCAAAATTAATTAAAAAACGACTGGATTTGGTGATTCTGCCTGAAAAACAGATGTTCAATACAGATCAGTCTATCACTGGCCATTTCCAGACCTATTAAACATAATTCCCCGAAAAGTAAATTCAAAATCCGGACAGTATTATGAAGAACATGAGTTAGTAAAACAGCACAAAGCATCAAATTTTACTTTACTTTTCAAAAAAATGAGTCGTGAGCTTGTTAATATCGTGAAAAATGAATGGCCGTCTATGGGCGATGCTAAGTGGCTCCACCACACGCTAACACCGGAAGTATTAGGGGCATAGATTTTAAGGTGGTGGTGGTGGTGGTAAGGGGGGCTACGGCCACCCCTGCCCTGAATCCACCCCTGGTGCGGAAATAACGTATCTGTGATTAAAGCTGTTTAGTAATTTAAAAAGAATTCCACAAACAAATAAATCGGTTGCTAAAAACCTTGGCGGAACATTAAAAATGAAAACTAGTCTAAATCCTCAAACTCTATCAGAGGGCAAACAAGGATGTCTGTTTATCAAATCAACCATCCCTGATTTCTGGTTTCTCCTTCAAATTCCGCTCTTGAGTTTAATAAATCAAATAAATCCTCCTGTCCTCCGACTACCTGTTGTGGGCTGGCTCAGTCAGGATCCGGGATCTCCCTCAGAGCCGGGGAAACTTTCTGTACCTCCCCCTCCGCCTGCCTGCCTGCTCCCAGCAGATCCTCCAGAGTCAGACGCTCTCACTTACACCGTCGGAGGTCTTGCTGCCGGCTGCTCCCTAGGCCATCAGTCCGCATTCAAAAGGTAACACAAACCAGTGTCTCCAAACTGCTTCAGTCGTTAAAGCGTCAAAAAGGGTTCGCAGTTTCTTTTTATCGACACTATGTCCGCCTGCAGCAGAGTAATCCATGGATATTGTGGTAAGATTTACTGAGTCACTCAAACGGATTTCTTTCCTAAAACTTTACTGTCCTGGGGGAATTCAACTTTTTGCAATCTTGCAATCTTTGGGAGAGTTTCGGCTTCGTTTTTTTTTCAGTCAGCAGAGAGAAGATGTGGCAGGTTGCAACGAGGATTTTACAGGAGACAGTCTCGCAAGTTCTCAGTCTTTACCCAGTGTTTTTTTTTCTTCCAATGAATTATTGGTTAATGCAATAAGCCCATGCATACTTAAACTTCAGATTTTATCCTGTTAATTGCATTTAGCTTCGACTGGGCAACAACATTAGAGCGTCTTATGACTTGCATATGACATATTGGATATTGGTTGCTGCATCTTGTCAATAATGAACATGCTTATTTGTTGACCTATACTACACTGTATGCATGCAAGAAGAGGAGACATTCATCTATCAGCAATACAGTGCTGCATCCCACCTTCTTGAATAGTTGCTCTTTTATAGTTTTTTTTCTCTTTTAAATGAAAAAGGGAATCTTTAAAAAATTCTCACATTGTGATCATGTTGGCAAAGCTGCATGACATCAGGGATTGTTTAGGGATCAGCTGAGTGTGCGTGTGTGCAGACAAAGTGAACACAGAGGAATTCCCCATCCCTCACTGCTCAGGGTAACACTAGTCGGTATTCTTTGGCAGCCTTGCCTTGCCAACTTCTGTTAACTGTGGTACAGTAACACAGCGTGTCACTTCCACCGACAGGTCTGCATTGATCTCCACTTCTCAGGGCTACAATGAGCTCAGTTTAGTGACAGTAGGCCTTGAGGGTGTGCAGGCAGGGGCTGTTTTTCTCACCCAAGGGAGGTTGTTGCAGCAGGAGCCTGATTCTTAAGGGAAGACTCCTCTTTTCATTCCTTTGCTACATGCAGTGGAGTTTTGTGGTTCAAACTGTTTGGCTGTGAGTCCGTGTGAAATATCAAAACCAACCATAAAATGTCTGGGAATCCCGAGAAAAGCAAAATAAACTAAACCAAATGCACGATAGAGCTTGCTTAGTTTTTGATTTAATGTGGTACTTTCTTTGCCGTGCCAAGTTTGATTTCAGAACCTGAAATATAGTGAGTGTATGCACTACTTCTGAACTTAGAGCTCATGGAAAACCTTTGGTTTGTGTTTATGTTGGTGCCCTTTGTAGAGGGAGAAGTGTTTTTGGTAGATTTTGGCCTGTGAATGAGTGGTTACATATCACTGGCTGTAAAACAAAGGCTGTTTCTGCTGCAAGCTGTGATTAAAGCTGCTATGAAGAGTATTTGACTGGTCTTAAAGCAAACTTGAATTTAAAAACATGCTTTTTCGTGACCTACAAACATTGTGATTTTATTCATGCTGACTTTTACTGCCTGTAACTATTGCAGGGGGGATAGGTGTCACACCCAATGATTGACAGCACACGGAAAAGCAGTGTATTTTCTCCACAGCAAAGCGAGCAGTATATTTGACAAGCAAAAGAAAGGTATATGGGATGTTTTTATCAGGAAACATTAGTTATATGACAATAATGGTATTACCTTGTCCACAGGGGGCATCAAAATCAACACAGACCAAAAGTACCTCACAGGAGTTTGTCTGACATCTTCACGTCATAATCATAATTGTTCCTAATGATTTTCTTGGATTTTTGAGGTCATGTCGAGGCATTAGTATTAATTTCGGTCTGTTTCATAACCACCGGTAGCAGGAGCTTTAAAGGAATATTCTGGTGTAAATTTAAGTTATGTTCAAACACACCGTAACACTGAGTTAGACACCCCCCTGAGAGATGAATGTAGCCGACTGCTTGCCTCTCTAGTGATACCAACTTCACCAATGACACAGCGGTCTATGACTCCGCACTCAAACCTCAACCAAAAAGCCACTCTATAGCCACAAATAATGCTCAGAACAGCACCTCACTTCATCAACAGAACATATAGGGTCCCAGCTATAGTACTAGCAATCAAACATCTTTTTAGCTTAGCCTGGTTTCAAAGAGACTCAACGTGACTTACCCACTCTCCTCCAGCAGCATGTTTGTGAGGGAGCCCTAACGAGTGGATCACCAAGTGCAGTGGAAAATTTATGATTATTACTTCATGTAAATACAGTCAGACTGAGACGCTAAGGCAGAAGAACTACCCCATCTGCAGTGCACTTATAAGATACACAAGAACTCTGATTGCATTTCCTTGAAGTAATAATCACAAATGCTCTTCCTTGAGCTGCGAAACTCCGCTGCACTTGGTGATCGACTCGTCAGGACTCCCGCACAAATAAGCAGCTGCTTAAGGAGAGTGGGTGAGTTGTGTTTGGTCTCTTTGCTAAAGAAACCAGGCAAAGTTAAAAAAATGTTTGATGGCTAGTACTATGGCTGGGACCCTATATGTACTGTTGATGAAGTCAGGTGCTGTTCTGAGCATTATTTGTGGCTATAGAGTGGCTTTTTGGTTGAGGTTTGTGTGTGGAGTCATAGACCGCTGTGTCGTTGCTGAAGTTGGTATAAATAGAGAAGCAAGCAGTTGGCAACATTCATCCTTCGAGGGGGTGTCTAACGCAGTGTTACGGTGTGTTTGACCAAAACTTAAATTTACACCGGGATATTCCTTTAAAGTCATTCTCTTCCTCAAGTCACTGAAAACTCAGATCACAGCTGTTAAAGAGAGGATTCGATATCCAGAGCAGACTCACAGACTTTGTAGGCACCGTTTGTGACGATTCAGTGTTGAATTCAGCGCTTCACAGACACTCTGTGAATATCAGCCCAGGAATCAAGCCGTCTGAGCTGGTGTGTGGAAGTCTGTGTGTTTACTTTTTGAAGATGGACCATGGGGTAATCAACAGAAGTAGTCTGTGTTATACTCTAGTCATCAGTCACTTTGTTTAATTCCAATTCGCTACAATAACAAAAGAGTGCTGATACATTAATATCTTTGATTTATGGAGTCCAGTCGGGGGATCTGTTTCCAGAGTGGGGCGGGATGTGAAACTGGTCACGTAGTTATAAGAGAGTTTTTAACTTTTGTCTTTTTGTCCACTAATTATTTTGGAGAGTTTGCTATCCATGTATGACCAATCCCCAAATAAAGCGTACTGTTAAAGCATTTTGAAATGTCTTTGTTCAGCGGACAGACTTTATGGCTGATTGCACATTATTAAGACAGTTTATCCATGGGTACAATCAATGTAGAGGTCTAAATGTCTTAGATAGATTCCATATATCACGTGACAGTCTGCACAATGATTCAAACACTGGGCTGCAGCTGGTGCGAATGAGGTGTACGCAGTCTAAATGACAGGACAACTCAGAGGCTGTAAAACCCGGGCTTTCTTTTACTCAGCTATGAAGCCAGATGTTGGTCTGCTTTCATTTTGAGAAATAAGCCCCTGTCTGCCTGTGTGTCTCTCTTCTCCTATTTCTCACAGAGTAATGGTCTCATACGAGGGCAGAATGTGCAAGACTCCTTGAAGACAAACTCAAGGCCTTGGATGGTACCTGATCTCCATTGATTTTTAGACGCACTCCAGGGGCCATGGCTAGTGTTGTAAGGGCAGACGTAACACTGGTCAGGATTACATTTCTCTTTATCTACCTGAGTGCGGGCTTGTGTCAGCGTGACTGCACAGGTGTGGACTGTCCCCAGTTGGAAAACTGTATTGAAGAAGTGCTGGAGAGTGGAGCCTGTTGTGCTTCCTGCCTGCAGAAAGGATGCACATGTGAGGGCTACCAATATTACGACTGCATCAATGCTGGATTCAAGAATGGCAAGGTGCCGGAGAGGGAGTCTTACTTTGTTGACTATGGCAGCACTGAGTGCTCCTGCCCCGTAGGAGGAGGACGGATCAGCTGCCACTTCATCAGCTGCCCTGAACTGCCACCGAACTGCATCGAGGTTTCAGAGCCTGCAGACGCCTGCATGCAGTGTGAACGCATTGGATGCATCCATGATGGCCAAAAGTATGAGGCTGGACACTCTTTTCATATTGACTCCTGCCAGGTCTGCCATTGTCCCAATGAAGGGGGGGAACTGATGTGTTACCCTGTGCCGGAGTGTGACACACACAAGGTCCAAAAAACAATGCTGGCGACACCCAGAGAGGAGGACACGACTTATCCTTACAGTTTTGACCAGCAAGGCCACATAAGTCAAATGTCTACTCTTCATCACATGAATGGGACCCTCCCCCTTTTCAAAGATTTGCCTTTATTTAAAGAGGAACCAGAAGAGTATGACTACGGCCCCATAGACCCTCCAGAGAGCTACCGTCAGTCCCAGATCTTCTCCACCCAGCTCCCCTCCTTCAACAAGGTCCGCACTGTGCCTCGAGGCTCCGACAGATTTGACAGAACCACGGCCCTTCAGGACTTTGACAGACAAAGCAAGCTGGAGCTGAGGGAGCAATATGGAGTTCATGACCATCCTGAGGACAGAGAGGAAGTGACAGAAAGTCCCCCGAGAACCGACCACAGTACTGTCACACCTCATACGCACACGGGCGCCACAACTTCTTGGCAGCTATCGCAGGGTGTAGAGAGTGAGCAAAGTGAAAGATTTAGTGATCTAACCACACAGACAGACGCAGAAAATCCATTGCACAGGCTGAAAAGTTCAGATAGTGTCATATTTCGACCAAATCAAGGATTAAGGACTGAAAAACACCCAGAGTATCGACACACCAGTTCTCAGAAATCAGTTCATCATCAGAGAATCCCCGAGACGGAGACGCATCACCAAAAGGCATCAGATAGTGTGACAGCCAATGGATCAAAGAATCAGGTCAATGTTAGTCATCCGGTGGGGGGAGCAGCTAGTCAAACCAATCAGCAAAGACAATCAGATAATAAAGAGAATTTTCCACTTTACATGCTCAAAAGCCCAGAGAGTCCAATCCATCCCCAAGCAAGTTCAAATGGACGGAGAGAACCACAGAGGACATTGAGACTAGACAGAGAGGAGGATGTAGATGAAGAACAGATGGAGGAAAAGGAGGAGGAAGAAGTGGTAACATTTCATAGTGTCACTGAGTCTGAAGGGAAGGATTGGCCTTACAAGTTCAATCCACCACAACAGGAGAGAAACAATGAGGGGCCAGAGAGCAGCAATCCAACCAGCAGCTACCAAAAGACAACACCTGAGCCCAGCACCAGCCCTCACAGGAAGACCGAGTACCTGACAACCCCCTCGGTGCATTTCATTACCACCACCACCCAGCAGCCACAAAGGTTCAAGCTGGATGAGCATGAGCCCAGCAGGGAGCCAGGTCAGAGGAAGTTTAACCCACACAGCACAGACCAGGAAAAGAGGAGGGAGAGAGATGAAGAGAGGAAAGATCCCCCTGTAGTGCTCATCAAACCTGATGGAGGTAAGTCCAGAGATGAACTGTCAGTCACACCCTCACTCCCAGAAAGGCTCCTTATAATTCTGAAAGATGAAAGGTGGTGTTTTTTATTTATAAAGGGTAATTCTCCACAGTTTGTAAGTGACCAACATGAGCAGATTATTAAAGAGTTCACATGCTTCCTATCAGTAAAAAAATAGAGATCTGAAAAAAAACACCACTGTTTGGCTGAGAAAGAATGAATTTACAAACACAGCTGTGTAACACATCACCTACCTTTGTGTCCTTGATAAGTCAAGTGTGGTGTGTGTGCCGCTTCAAGCTATAATCATCAGCCAATGAGTATCAAGTTCAGAGTCAAATTAAGGATATAATTTTCCATCACAAAAACAATGACAAAAATGAAACATGTCTATGTTTAGTCTGTGTGCAGACAGCAGCAGATTTCCTCTGCTGTAGCACTGATTTGATTTAAAGTTGTTCTGTGGTCACCTGATGAAGGCCGAACTTGATTCTGCCAACCTTCCAGCATGAACCAACTTTGTGTATCTGCTGTTTCCTGCTGGGTGGATTCGCATCAGATATAGTCGTAAAAGGGCTGCTTGGGGATACACTTTAGACAGACACCACTGAAGACTTATTAGTGTGCGGTAGGTTTAGATCATGGGCAGTAAAAAAGGACAGGGATGTGGTACATTACACTCTGTAGGAACAGAGAGGTGGGGTTGAGACAGGCCTGTAGCAGGGCTGCATGACTTTGGCCAAAAATAAAATCCAGATTTTTTTCTCTGAAAACTCAATTTTTGATTATTTTTTTTTATTCAGTGACAACTTCACCAAACGCCTCTAAAAACAAAATCACTGAAATGGATGTGGTGCCAAGCCAGTAAGTGGAGCTGTAACGCTGCACAGGAAATGCCGAAAAGACAGAAGAAGAGTACAGAGCGTGTGTATATAGGTTGTTTTGGCCAAACGTGCAGGCGCCATATAGGAGTTATAGGAGTGTGTAACGTAATCATTTCAAGAGAGATGCAGATAGGCATCCACACTGGGATGAAATGGTAGTTGTTTACGGATTTATGCACTCTCCGACCTGTTTTCAAAAAATACCTTTTCAGTCACCTGAAACACTGTTTCTGTGTGGATGAAACGCTGATACGACAAAAAACTTTTGCGTTTACTCCTGAATTCGTTTCCGTGTGGGCGGGTTGATTCCGCCCTCAGACAGACTTTGCAGCGGGGAGTGGTTTCCTCTTCATCCAAAACAGCAAAAAAATAACCAATTCCACATGAATGACTCGCTCTTGTCCTATTGAGCCACGAAATTATCGCCTTTTGCAAACGCCATGTTTGTTTGGCCCGGTGATAGAAAGAAAAATCGATTTGACTAGTTTAATTTTTTTAACGTCGTCATAATAAAATAATCTGATTACGATATGAAATCGATTAATCTTGCAGCCCTAGCCTAAAGCCTTCCTGCTCACAGCTGTAGTATGTGGTCTCCTGGGCCATTGCAGCCAGTCTCATACGGACTTCTGAAGAACTGCAGCTTTTAGCACTTCTGCTTCATCCCTCAAGACCGGAGGCTGCCTCTTGGTTTTGACATAAGTATACACTGACTGCTGCAGACATTCATATTTTTTAATTATATCGCTTAAGCTCTAAAATTTTTCCTGCCGTACAGCCTTGTTTGATTGTTTTGAACCCATAAATCATTTCAAACTTCTCTTCCTAATATTTTGATTTTATAATATGGTCTTCCTGGAACAATATCCCTCTTTCTGTTGAGTTACCAGCCAGACCATATGTCATGAGTGGATGGAAGGCGAGCAGACACTTGCTGGTCCCCAGGTATCTGAACAGGAATATAAATAACCAGAACAGGGTCCATCTGGAGAAGGGAGTCAAACACTCCTCTCATGCTGGACATCCCCTCACAGCAGTCCTATACCAGTCAGCACCATCTCTCATCCAGCGCACTGGGCCTCGTTGCTGTTTTACTGCCTGTTGCCTCAGCTCTCCCACAGGAGACGAACATGGCTTAAGAATCTGGATTTGGTAATAAATTCAGCCCAAACTTTCAGATGCTCGCCTTTCCGATTTGTGTTCATGATGTAGAAGTCTTACTGAAATGATTCAGAAATAGTGTGTTATTGAATGTTTCAGCGTATCAGAGTTACAGCTATGTTGGTGTAAAAGAAACAGAACGAGGAGTGTGTAAAGTCAGATTTTTGGACTTTGGAAAGGAGTGATTACAGTTCATGCCAAATACACAGTTCTTCAGTTTTCATCAGAAAGTGTAAAAACATCTGTTCCTGTACTTTTCTTCATAAATGAAAATCTAAAAGCTCTAATGATTCACGAAACTTGTTATATGAACCGCGGTGCAGTGCAACACAAAGGACATTTCTTTAGTTGAATATGACATGGACTGCTGTTTAAACATTGGACTGAAATAGTCGAGCGGGTCAGTGCACTTTATGTGGGATGGCGGAGTTATTTGATCTGGTGCTGGTGCATATGAAATTGCTTTAAAGGAGAAGCACAAGGTACTAGCAGATCCAGATGTTGGTGCCCTGGAGGGATTATACCCTGGTTACACTGTAGACTAACAGAAGTTTGATCTTAGCTACAAAGTACTTGTACAGTATCAAACAACGCAAGGCCTATAGGATATGTTTTAAACACTCTGGCTAACCTGTAGACCTCAATTTAGTGGTCATCACAGGTACAGGGTGTCATTCTGAGGTTGTATAGGCAAGACTGCAGAGAGTGAATTAAGCAGGCATCAAGGTTAGCAGGACTCAAAGTTAATCACCCGTTGTGCAAGCTGACAGAAGTTGAATAGGTGACTCTTTTTAATAAGGATTTTTTTTTTTTTTTTTTTTTCTGTATCTAACGTTTCTTCAGACATGGTAACTCTGCCAAATGAAGTGCAACAGCAGGTAATCTGTGTAGTTTGGGCTCATCTAGCTGGAGTTAGGTGGACTAAAGCTGCTGTGTGACTTGCTTGTAGCAGTAAAACTACAGCTGTAGGACCTGGAGCGATATGATCTGCAGATAGAACTGAATACTGGTGTTGGGACCGATTTGCAAAATCGTCATAAATAGGGCTCCAACGATTAGTCAACGTTGTCGACAAAAATCGATAATGAAAAAAGTCTACAATGAATTCTATTGTCGACTATTGTCGCCAAACGTATTTTTTTCAAGTGGAGTGAGGCATCTTACTTCAATACGATCTCTGCCTAGAGTCACACATGCGCAAAAGCATCTCCGCTGACCGGTAGGGTATTCAAACATGGTGGCACCGGTGTCCTATACACCACTCCCATACAGCAGCTATGAGTAGGTGCTTAAAAACCTCCAAAGTTTGGGAGCACAGCCTACATAAGACGGAAAAAAAAATACTTGTTAGGTTTGCAAAGCAGACCTTGTGTATCATGGCAGCAGGTAGAACATTTGAGAAGAAGGCATGTAATTATCCGATTAGTCGATTGATCATTTCAGTAGTCAGTGACTAGCCGACTATTAAAATAGTCGTTAGTTGCAGCCCGATTCACAAAACAAGCAAAGCCTAAGTTAGTTGAGTTAGCATCAAGCTTCCAAAAGGAAAAATTTGCCATTACAGTAATACCTGCATATTTCTGCAAAAACAGTCAAAGAAACAGAGATACTGTATGTCCGAGTACAGGTAGTGAGGGTAACCATCTTCACATTGTGTTAAAAATAAGCAAACAATAATATTGTGACTTTGTTGTAGTGGTCCATTACATAGGACTGATAGATGAAGAAGAACTGAGCAGACGTTAGCCAGCCCTCTGACAGAAGATAACAAACTTTGAGGGAATCAGAAAACATGTTTTGAGATTGTGCCTCTTGCAGTTACTAATCATTTATTCTTACTCACAAGTTTTCAAACATTTCAAAAAAAAATTTCAGATCTCCAAATTACAATCTAACAGAGGTAGTATACTTTAAAATAAAAGCATAGTTTGACAACACAGGACATAAAGTAACGTGGATGCAATGACAGCAGCAGCTGAGTTACAGGACTGAGTATCAGCAGTTTGACAGCATGTTACGTAAGTACCTTTACAGATTTTACAAGAGTTTGGAGAGTTGACCAAAGCAGAAGAAAAAATGCAGTTGATGAGAAAAACAAAGGCAGGGGATCTGAGGTAAAGCTAATCGTTTGACCATGATTGTATAACCTTGTTCAGTTGACAAACGGTACGATCGTTTTAGGACTGAGGCCCTGGGTTGCGCAGCTGCAGCTGAGCTGTTTGATGAGGCGTTCGCTGACATGACCTTTTGTTGAAGACAAACACCTAACATGCCGGGTTAGCAAATAGATGATATAATGATGCGGTTCTTAATTTATTAAGAGGCTTGTCCTTTTTAATCTATTTCTTAATGAGATCATTTTATTACCTGTTAACTGGCTGACACATTTGATCTATTCTCAGGTCGTTTGCACATTGACTCGTGGTAATGAGAAGGAACTTGAGGACAGCAGACCAGCTGCCACACCTCGTCAGGGTCCCAAAGCGTCTTCCTAAAAGTGACACAGCACTGTGTCCTCTGTAGCATATGCAGGAGGATAAGCTGAGGAGAGGAGTTATCTGTCAGGGTGACAGGGTGCTTTAATTCCAGATAAAGTGCTTCCTCCAGATAGAAAGGCTCTGGACTACAGACAGGTGGCTGCTCACAATCTTTTAGTGGAGATTGAAGGAAAGGCCGGGCAGGCCCTGGCTCTGAGGCAGCTGATAACACATTTTATCAGTTCTGATGGCACATCTTCTCAGGATAGCAACAACAAAGCATGCAGGATTGGGCAAATGTCTTACACAGACCAATTTAGAAGAAACAAAGAGTTTCTTTTCTTGTCATCTTTTGAGGTAGGAGGCAGAGTTTGTCCTTATCAGCACTTATCAGCTTGAGAGAAACATGTGGTTGTGTTTTGGCATTTGTGACTCTATCGTAGGTGTTCACTCTGAATGTAAAAAGAGTCTGTTTTGCTTATAAATGAGTGTTTGAACAACATCACACTAAACAGTGTATCTGTTTTTATAAACTGAAAATCTAAAAACCTGCATTTCATTGACAAGAACTTTGCATGAGGCAGAAATTGTTTTATGCTGTACAGCAGTACAGTGTGTCCAATGGCTGGCTCAGACTTGCAATCTGGCATCTCAAAGAAACAGCATTTGGGCCGGTCCAATGGGCAGTAAGGTTGGGACCAAGAATGTGGGAAGAATGATTTGTGAGAGAAATGTCAGGGCTGAACTGCAGTTTTTGTTTGCAAGGCTGTGCTGGCTACCTATTGTGGTTTTTGGCCAGACTCTAGGTGCTTGTAGTGGGAGGAAAGGGAGGAGGAGAACAAGTTGTAATTTAAAAATGAGGAATCCGCTTTTGTCAACCTTAAAACCTGTTGTCTTTGGTAATGCAGTCAGGACCTCCCTCAATCATATTGTGTTCCTCATCCTACCTGAAATCAAAGAAGTTCACAGGTATGATAAAATGGTTTGTCAGTGTATTTGTCTTTTACAGTTCCGGCTTTGTAAATGGGAGAAATGACTGATAACTGATACTAGAGGAGCTTTCCTAGACAAAGCTTTGCAGTCCAGGTAAGGCTACATCAGCCAAAACAGGGCTTCAAACAACAGCCTGGTGATTTAAATCACTAAAAAAAGAGCTGGACTTCCTAACACTAAGAACATCTACGCTGTGATTAGTTGAGAAAGAGGACTTGAGTGAGATTGTAGGGCCTTTAAATGTTTGAAGCAATCTTATTGGATGTGATGTGTTGGGATTAAATCTTTGACTGGACTTAGACTGGGACCTCTTCCTTAGCAGCAGATGGAAAGGTGGACAATTGGATTTCCACTTGTTTTAACAGCAATGTTTAGTTTTGCTGTATGAACCAAGTCACCCATTATAAAATTAGTGTCTTTGTTAACTGATAAAGGGTTAACAGGGGTTATATTTTTATTTAGCCTACTGTGCCCAACATCCACCTGAGACTTTAGTCAGAGATAACACTACCTGTGAGTGACTCCTCAGGTGATCAGTGACTAGGGCTGTAATCAACTCAAGTAAATCTTGGTCGATTAAAACCCTGAAACTAACCAAAAATCGACTAAACTGGGGTTCCGACTCTGATGACAAACCCTTCTGTGGTGGAGGATTATGCGGCTCAGCGGGGTAAAAATATACTGATATCAGGACTCATATGTAAGTCGAAAAGCTCTAAATAAAAATAAATATTCAGAAAACTACCGGACACCAGTTAAATGTGGACGCTCTTCAATCTTCTGTCTCCAGTGGGTTGGGTGATTCCAAAATGGTGAAAACAAGGGGGGTGTTCTGAGACAGGCTGTTACCTGTGAAATGGGGGTGCTCTGAAAAGACCTCCATTAGCACTCGGTACGTTCCTCCTGATGAAATTAACCACAGACTGTAAAAAAATGGAGTTGACCAATCAGAACTTTGGTCGACTCAGCATGTATCGACCAATAAGTCAACCAGTCGACTAAGACTTTACAGCCCTATTAGTGACATATTTACTTTTTTAGCCAAAGGTCGGGCAAGCTAATGCTAGTTAATTTGAGCTTGCATACATGCACAGCAGCAACTGAACAGTTTGGCTGGCACTGGCTACTGAATTCTAGCATTAGCTAAACTAAACTAACTCTGCGGCTCTACAGTATCAAGGGATGCAGGTTTTTTAAATGTGAATGATTGTTTGTTTGAAGGTATTCAACAGCACAAGCAATAGGTTGTTTGTTGAGGGGCTGATCAGCAGATATCCACAGGCTATGATAGAACAAGAAAAATAAAAAAAGGACACAAGTTTCACTACCCTGTCTGTCAGAATGACTGACAGTGAATTAGTCTGGTCCAGCCTCTGATGGATTCATTCCTTTCCTCAGTACATCAGCTGAAAGAGTTATGGATGACAATACACAACAAGGTTACAGCGTTTCTTGGATCCAGGTTGAGGTGAGCTGCCATTTTTCATTGGAACTGCTAAGAGGTGAAGATTTAGGAAAGTCTCAGTATCTTAACCTTCAGACCTGCAGTCGGTGACGCCAGCTGTTTCAGAGTGGATTCATGAGAACTGAGTGTGGGAGTTTCACAATGACGAAGTGTCTCTTTACATCTAGAATAACTCTGACATACTCATCAGTGGGTTTAAAGTTCAACAATAGAGCAGCTGGCCTCTTGAAAGCGGTTTTGTCTCTTTGCTTGTGAGGAGAAAATAATTGGTGGAACAACTTTAAGATCTTGCTTTCTTACATTAGTAGTAATTTTCGCTCTAATACTACAAAAGAGAAACAATACAGAGATGGACTTGGTTGGTATCAGCCAAGGAAAATGCAGGATGATAACCCCAGATCTGTATAACTGTTGTGATATTCATTTGCATTGTATGTTACTTGATAATGTTCAAATGTGAAAGTAGAGGCAGATTAATTTATGGGTCAGGTTGAGCCATCAGGCCAGTTATTGGCATTTTAAAATGAACCGCAGCTGCCAATGCCTGTGTTCACATGGACTGTCTAAAAGATAAAACAAGACATTGTAGGCACCATGCAGTGGTTGTTGTCGAACAGTGTTTACTTCCCCTAACATGATACAGGGTTTCCCCTAGGATTTTTTTAAGCTGTGGTGCTGGGCTGCACGGGAGGCAGACAGCTGCGCTATGTTGTGCTACTGCTGCTTCGCTGGCGGCAGCGAAATTGTTTTGTATCATGACAAATAAGGATTTTTATGAATAACAGTTATTTATTTTTTGCCAGTCTTGAACAAAAATAAGAGCATTTCTACCATTTCAACCATACTACCATTTCTACTGGCAAAGCTTGCATCCTTTCTGATAGCACTTCATTTTTCTTGATTTAAAAAAAAAACAATTTGGGCTCTCTTATACGGGAACTCAGCAAGAGGTGGCCCATTTATGGTCATCATGAGGCATGCTGCCAGATGGTCCCCCTGCAGCCTGTTCCTCAGGTCTGTTTTCACCTACACAAAAATATAATAATAAAAAAAGATCTGGGAAATTAAGACAAACAAACCATCTCCAACATGAATTGTACACATGACCAGATATCTTACTCTGTTCATTGTAGAGAAATCTCTCACAGTTCACTGTAGAGATGGGCACTGTCAACGCAATGGCAGACAGCTGGCTCAAGCAAGGGTACAGCAGTCCCCATTCATCAGTCTGTGATGCCATCTTTGACATCATGCTGACCTGGTCCATGTTCTGAAACACCTATTAGGACTACACTGAGAGTAGGACTACACATATCACACCTGAGAGTACATTTTAGTTTATGTTATGTTTAGTAAAATGTTAATTTTCAATGTTTATACATATATTGTGCTGGTCATTGTCTCACCCACTCTCTTATAGTTGAGATCAGCTGTTAAAAAAAAAGTATTGGCCATCCATTAAAAGAAAGAGCACTGAAATAGTGCATTCTCGGCAAAAAAAAAAAAAAAGAAGAAGAAAAAAAACAGATTTAAAATGTGATTATTATTTCAACACAAACACAATCCTTTCCCTGCAGGTTGTGAAGTTTTATAATATTTATAACACATACTTTTCTTTGTGGAAACATTCCTGTTTAACCTGCTTCAGGCTTTCAACTTTTTGGTATGATGTAGGAATAAATATTTAGCCTTGAGTCTAAATAACTGGGCAGATATTCTGATCAAAAGCCAATGAACAGGAGCTGTTTTACAAGACTTTTTAATAATGGCTCGAGCAGCTAGGCGAAGGGCTGATCAAGGTGAAGTATTTACAAACCAATGATCAAACTTTTGGTACCAAAACAAAATCCCATACCAGGACACTTTATTATCCGAGAGGAAATGGAGGAGATCTAGTTGTGAAAATAAGGAGTTGTAGTCACTTGAACCTGGAGTCTGGAACAGTTACTTTTGATGAAGAGTTAGATTTTATTGCAGCGAAATACTTCACTTATCACAGTCATATACTGTAAATGATGCTCAGTCTGTTAGACATTTGAAGCAGTCTGTCAGGCCAATGGAGTGGCTGGTCAATTAAATGAGGATGATTTATTTGGTCAGATGGATGTCTCACACTCTCTGTCCCTGGGCCCAGGTGAGTCAGACTTGAAGTGTCTTCTTAAAGGTTACTGTCATGATAAATCCGGCTTGATGAAAACAGCTGTCTGGGGCTTTAGTTGCCATCTGTTACAGGTCCCAGCTTTGGGATTCCTGTTTGTGATGTCCCGAACTTAACCTCAGAATAAAACACTCTAGGTCTATCACAATGAAAAACAAACGACTGTCAATTTTTCTTGCTTTCAACAACGGTCTCTTCCAGCTCGTGTCTGATTTAATGGGCTGAATACCTTCATATTGATCTGTTAGCTAACAGCAGTGCTGACCGAGTCATGAGAAACTTGCATGGTTTTAAACATGTTTAATAGCCAGAGTTAACTGCTCCCTTTAGGCCAGTGAAAACTCTCATGCTTGTTATATTTCCCATCAGGGGTCATGGGTTGAGGGTGATCTCAACTGTCATTGAGTGAGAGGCTAAGTAAACCCCAGACTGGTCGCTAGTCAATCACAGGGGACACAAAACCAAAAATACACTTACACCTAAGGGCTTCAGAGTGACCAGATAACCTAAAAAATGGATCTATTTCAGTTCAATCCTGGTGATCAGCTGTGAGCATATTTACTCGATTAAACATGGTGGAAATGTGCGTGACAACAGCCAATCAGAGTCGAGCTTTTATGGCTCACTTCTGTAAATTGCCGCAGAGTAACAGGGGAAGTTTACAAACAGAATGACCAACGTGGGGCTAAACACGGAGCTGACGGCAGCAAAATAGATGTCAGCCCTTCATTGCTTTGATTTTTCACGTGCTTTGTGTCATTCTCCAGCGCTAAAATAAGATTCTGTAACATATTTTAATATCATGAGCATGGCTTTCATATACTCTTACTATTTATTTCAGATGATATCTGGCCATATAGATCGACGTGTGCTCAATTTGGGCTATTTTCTGGGAGTTAATTAATTTTCGTGTATTCGAATATTCGGTTTCAAAATGGTCGTTTAACCGTCAGTGAAATTAACCAATGGGAACATTCCTACTTTAGATCGTTTCTGCCTACTTTTTGTACCGTCTGCCATGTTTTTTTCCTCAAAGTCTCTGTTCTTGTTCCTGTAGACTGCCTCTCACAAGACCATTTTTCAAGGCACCCGGAAGAAAGGAATCATTATTTGAATCGTTAATATATAATGTAATCAATGTCAATGAATTGAACCTTTTGAAACTAGTTCTCGACAAGAACCAGTTCTCGATTCCCATCCCTAGTATTGTGACATCCTGAGTCACTGCAAGGGGAATTTCCTCTATCCATTGACTCCTAGTTTGGAGTTAATAAAAATTTGCAGGCACTACAGGCTTGCTTTCATGTACTGTTACAGCTAAGTTTTGAACAAGTGGTGTGTATCACTAGGCCGGTCTCTGTATCTAAGCCTAAAGCAGCCTGGATCATTCATTTTTGAGGCTTCTGAAGACATAATCCTGCTGAGCACATGCTTCCATTGCACTTTCATTGGAAAATCTACTTCTACTCTTATTTCTGGGTCTAACATTCACTGTGAAACTTAGCCCGGGAAAAAGTAAACACACGCCTGTTTGGTCTGCGTGCTGGAAAACCTTCTGTAGGAATTAAACATGATGACAGCCGTGACAGACCTTGAAAATAACCAAATTTGAAAAGCTTGGAAATTGTGCAAAAGAGAGAATCTGGAGATGTTTTTGCCTGGATGCTTTCAAGTTTGACCCTCACATGGATATTGTCCTTCCACAGTATTGAGTCCAAAAGTCCAAACTGGAGCTAATCTGATCACAGGGATAGGATCAGTTTGATACAGATCAGAATGTGGAGTCACAGTATTTATCTGACTGGATGATTGACGCTGTGCTCATCACATCTTATTCCTCAGCTATGAAGATATGGCATGGGAAACATATTTAGATATTTTATTTATGTGTATGTGACATTTGCCATGTACTCACACACTGAGTATGAGAGTATATTTTTTCTCAGTATTAGTGGGGTTAAAAAACATATCAGTAAATCTCATATGCTCAGGATGATTCAGACAGCTGCAAGAGTGAAAAGAACGCTCTGGAATCTTGTGGTTTTGGCACAGTGTTGGTTATCCAGATGATGAACTGGTTTGTTTCCTGAGGTCATCGAGAAACATAAGCCTTATTTGAGACTGTTTCCTAATGGAGATAAAAACACATTTATTAGGTTATACCACTGATTATTTGTATAAAACTGAATGTCATTGAGAGGCCTGTAACATATCACTGGCTAATGGTAAGGGACCTTTGTTGAACAGTCATCACAGCTTAGCTCGAACAGAAACATGCATGTAACTATACCACCATAATATTCTGTGAAATAGGGCTGCACGATATATCGTTTGAGCATTGTCACTGCGATGTACGTGTTCGCGATAGTCATATGTCATGTCAACTCATCTAATTTCAAGGGATTGCTGACTGAAATACACTGCATGTGACTCTGCATGTGCTGTGCAGCGATCCACCAGTCACATTCAGTCTTTACTCAGTTGCTAATCAGACTACCCTGCCAGCTGTCAATCAAAATCAGAGAGGAGGAAACCACGCCCCTGTACATGGAGTGAGTTGCTGGCGCTGCTGGTGTTGTGCCGAGAAATGCCTGTCCGTTGATAATTACTTTTGGAATATTACTCATCACTGTTTAGCCCCACAAATAAGAACTGCATGGGTTCTAAATTGTACATTTCCGTGGACCACTCTATTATCCATAAGCGGTTCCTCGTTTTGCGAGGTGTATGCAAACCTAGGCTGTCATGTGTTTCTCGGCACAACACCGGTAACAACAACGATTGCAAAATGAGCAACGAGCAAGAGAAAACCACGGAAAATGAAAACGTCACTTATCTGGAATTATTTCGGTTACAGGAAGGATGACGTTGACCCAAACACGTGCTCTGTGTCGGCAGTGCCTTTCATCTGTTGCCACAATAACGTCCCAGAACAATAAAAGCTAAAAATATCTCAGACAGACAGAAGCCATTCTACAAACATTCACAAAAAGAGGTAAGATCAGTGCAGGTAAACTGTCCACAAAATTTCAGCAGTGAAGTGCTATTCAGGTCATCAGGTTAAAATTCCTGTATTTTTTGATATCACAATTTATTTGCAGGGTTGAAAAAATTTGCGATGTTCTTTTTTTCCAATATCGTGCAGCCTTACTGTGAAATGACAAGAAATTGTTCTCTGCTGGGAGGTTCTTGACAGTCTAACAGCGGGAGACTACTTGTTGCGAGGCCCCTGCAGCCTGAGAAGTGTGTCAAAAACCTTTAAATGTCAATTCGCAGTGATGGAATAGGAGTCCCCGGTGCTGATAAGTATCAGAGTCAACTGCCTGCAGGTTTATGATGTCATCTGACTTAGAGTTGTAAAACGTGTTATTACATTCTTAATAAGAAACACAATAGAGGAAATAAAAGACTCTCTGTTGAAGAAAACATGTTTTTTTTTTCCTAAAAATGAATCCTCTCTGGCTCCTGCATGCTTCCCCAACCACAGTGCATGATCCAGACTCAAGGTCTCAGACAGTCTCTAGAGAAATACTGCAATCAAAACGCCAGTCACACTCTCCAGACCTGACTGAGAGGATGGTCATGGAATGTGCTCCTCACAATCTGCTCTTGGCTTTCCTCTCTGCCAAACCACGGAGAAGTTTTCACATCAACATATCTGCAGGATCTCTCTCAACCCCTTGAACAAAGCTCATCTAGCAGATTGTCTCAGGCCAGCAGAGGTATTTGCATTTGTTCAGTCAATACAAGACAACAGTTTCCATCTGTTCACCTACATTACTCTGCTACTTCTTGGATATAGCATAGCAAACTCTGAGCTTGTGCGCTTTGGGAAAATGTGACTTTGATTAGTAATGTGGACTCTATCCAAGCAGTGGAGTGTGTACACAGAGCTCAAAAGACTGGTCCATTGTCTGGATTAGTGCCGGAAATGATTTCCCTCTTCAAGGAATTACGGTACAGGCGGTCCAAACTGAGCTTCACAGTATGTGTAACATAATGACCGACCTGGACCGGATTTCCTTGCTGAGCAGACATTCATCTTTTTTTCATATCTCCAAAGTTGTGCGCCATGTCTGAGAATTAAACTCATACATCCAGTGATTGAAAGCTCATGGACTCAGGGTGTTTACATTTTCTCCACATTAATGATTTTCATGGGGTCTCTCGCAACTGTAAAATTTGCAGTAGTCCCAAAGAGATCGGGATCTGTCTGCGCAGTATTTCCTGGGATTGTCAACATCGCCCCAGTTCCTGTGGAGGAAAATGCATCAAACATCAACTTTCTTGATGCAGTTCTCAGTTATCCCCAAACAGGCTTGGTCAAATACTGCTTTTTGGAAAAAAAGTGGGCAACAGATCCAAGAAAACATGGAAGGGGTGAGAGGAAAACATGAATACCCTGAGAAATACACTTACATTTGTATCAAATTCCTGCAGTTTGAGGGAATAATGAGTGGAAAATGCTCAATTTGTAACAGACTTTGGGATTCGAAGTTTCAGATCACATGGAGTTTGTATTCAAAAGGGCAGCAAGTGAAGCAGTCAGGTTGTACAGAGACAGTGTAGCCACAGTGTTAGATATTCACACATTCACCAAAGGGGTTTTTATTCCAGAGATGATAAGCCTAGAAGTAGAGCAAAGAAGTCGGTAACAGAAAGTACTCAGTCAAGGTTAAACTAGGAAGTAAGGATCGAACAATATGTTTTTTTTAGGGCCAATATCGATTTGATCACTTGTAACCAAGGAAACCAATAACCGATATTTAGAACCGTTATTTATTTGAATGTGTATTTTGGTATCAAATTATGTGTGAATAATTTGCAAGTTTATATGTTTTAACCTGTATGTATCCAGTGGGTCTAATGATTTTGCGTTTTGAAACAGACGTATTTTATTGGCTATGGGTGGAAAAAACTGCAGATTATTGTAAAAATGCTGAATATCAGATATTATCGGCCTTGCTGATTGTTGGTTGATCCTTACTAGGAAGTCATGCCCTAAAAATGATGTTCAGTTACTCTTGCTGACATATTTAATTGACCTGTAGTATCCCCCCACCCCATGAGAACAAAAATACTGCTCAGCTTTATAGTTGATGGTCTGTCTATGTGTGGGAAACACTGAGCTGGATGTTTAGACAGTCTACGCTTTGTTTTATTTTCATTTCCACACTCGGGACATTTATCGCCTTTTCCCCTTCCTTCATGATTATGGATGTAAATACCTTAGGTCCACATTACAGCATCAGCAGAGGCATAAACACTCAGTATGTTTGCATGTTCAAAAATCTGATGAAGTGTGTGTTTGACTGTTAATATGTTAGTGACAGGTGTAAGTAAGGGGCATAGGGGAAAGATTCCCGTGTAGAGCAATCTGAAGAGATGATCCCTGTTCAGGGTCTAAGAGAGACAGTGTTTGTTTTCTTGGCTCAGCACCATGTCATTAAAACCAGCTCATCCTTTCTATGACTCCAGCACCAGGCTGTCAGTATGCCCCTCATTCCAGTTTCTAATTACGCTAAAAGGTCACCCATGAAAACTTGAAAAGGGCTGTGACAAATATGATTCGGATAAAAAAGTAACTACAGCCATGTGCAGTTTGTCTTTAGTGCTTTTGCAATTCCAGCTGCGGCTGGTTTCAACCAAGTACTTCCTGTGACTTCAGAGTTGATAAAAAACAGCAGGAGCACATATTTGTTTTGAAAGCCTGCTTCAAAATGGAAAATTAAATTGTGTTTTAAGGTGAAGTAGGAGAAGAGCAATTTTAGAGCAGGCATTGTGTTCAAAGTTTAAACTGGTAATTAAAACAGTCATCTCCAGCATCACACTTTTACAGCTGTGTTTGTAGATTTAACACTGTTGTTGACATTCAATGGAAATTGGTTGTTTTCACTTCTCAGTGCTCGGTATACACAAAAAGCTTCTGCAGCACGAAACATCCTACAGCAGAGCTACAGTGTTACAGGTAATATTACCAGGACACTAATCAAAAGGGTTAGTCTCACCCTTTAAAAGTACAGTGTGATACCTACCAGCCAGATTTGATTGATCACCGAGTGCAGCGGAGTTTCGCAGCTCAAGGAAGAACATTTGTGATTATTACTTCATGGGAATGCAATCAGACCGAGACGCAAAGGCAGAAGAACTACCGCTTCTGCAGTGCAATATGATAATTATGATGATTATTACTTCATGGAAATGATCTGCTGCTGCACTCGGTGATCGACTCGTTAGGGCTCCCCAACAAACAAGCAACTGCTGGAGGAGAGTGGGTGAGTTGTGTTTGGTCTCTTTGCTAAAGAAATCAGGCAAAGTTAAAAAGATGTTTGATGGCTGGTACTATGGCTGGGACCCTATATGTACTGTTGATGAAGTTAGGTGCTGTTCTGAGCATTATTTGTGGCTATAGAGTGGCTTTTTGGTTGAGGTTTGCACATGGAGACATAGACCGCTGTGTATTGCTATTGTGTGGTCATTGCTGAAGTTGGTATAAATAGAGAAGCAAGCAGTAGGCAACATTCATCTCTTGATGGGGTGTCTATCTCAGTGTTACGTTGTGTTTGACCGTAACTTAATTTCACGCCAGAATATCCCTTTAACATGAGATACTTTACTTGAGTTGGCTAAAGCTTTTACAGATTCAGGTATGACTGTAATAAGGCTGCACAATCAATTACAAGTTTATCAATATACCAAATTTAGTATTTGTAATTAACAAACCACAAAAATATTAATTTAATAAGAGATCATTTTTGTTTTTTTTCTAGCAAAAACTAGATGATGATTAATTACCCATATATATATATATATGGAAAAAAACAGCACATTTATATGTTTTTAGTATGGTTGATAGAAAGGACATCACAATGTGTTTCTTTATCCACTCTTGTGCAGCCCTTGACTGTAATATCTGTCAGGGCCTGTCAGCCAAATCAGTCATTGAATAACAGCTGTAAAAGTTTGAGTGTTAGTGGGGGTCAGATTCGCATGCACTGTAGTAACACTGCCGCAGGAAAGGGAAACTAAAAGTGAAGACTGTGTTAAAAATAAAAAAACTGGATAGGGTTGAATTTTCTGGTGTTGGTAGAAACATCTTGTGTGGGAGAAAATGTGTGAGACTAACTTTGCATTCAGAGGAAAACATCAGCGTCTGTGACAGTGATAAACTCCAGTCGTAGACAGTTCTTACATTGGCTTGAAGTAAACTTAGATGAAACACACGGTTTCAAACACTTCCAAAACTAACACACCGGATTCCTCCAGATGGTCCTGTAATCATCTTTCATTATCCAAAATGATTTCAACACAGCATTTTCTCTTGCACTTTGAGGCATTTTAGTCTCCCTTCCTGCACTCTCAGGTTCTTGTTTACAGCTCCATTTCATCAGTGTGCCCTCTGACTACCTTGACTTTGAAGCACTGGATTCTGGACTTGTTTTTAAGAATCCAGCTTCAATTCCGTTGCTGAATGCAGTTAGCTTTTGTTGTGGTGTGCTAAATGCTTCACGTTATTGTACATCTATATGTCCCATGCACTTTGTACAGCACAGGACACTTGGAGAAAGTGCTCGGCTGTTGATGTTTCAGACTTTTTACAGTTCAATACTTTAACATTTATGGCAGTAGTCAGCTTTGCCTGTTGGAAAAAAAAAGGTAGACTCATGCTAAATTGGAAGATATCTGCATGTGATTTCAGAATCTGTAGGTAAGTGGAAATACCCTGTTTTCTATTTGCAGTCTCAGTCCTATTGTCCATAAGTATCCCTGCAGGTAACAGCTACACAGAAGAGGAGCCGTGTTAAAAGCAAAAGAAAAGGAGGTATTTTCTGCAAGACAACCCAGATTGCTTCCCCTATAGCACTTTCAGCTGGATTTGTTGTGTGAAAGCTGTGAATGTTGCTGCGCTGTTACTGAGAATTATTGCTGCAGCTACATCGAAAGATACATTTCTGTTTTCCAGATGAATAGGAAGTTATATTACTGTGTTTTGGTCTGAGAGTTACAGCTCAGCAGCTCTGCCAGCAATTAGGGCCTGCAGTCATGGAAATGAAGGTTCCTTAGGACCCCTCCTTTGATTGCTGCAAATTGTCTTGGAATCATAACCCATCGTGTTTGAGCACAAAGACATCATGTAAATATTCTAAGATTCAATGTGGCTTCACGTTTTAGGAGAAAATCAATCTTGATACTTATTCGTCCATAGTAAATAAATGTGCAAGCATCTATTCTGACTGATAGCTCGATTGTGTATCTGCGTCTGTGTGTGTATCTGGGTCTTTGTGTGTCATTTTTTTAAAGTTAGCAGACTTGTTGTCAAGAGTTAAAGGCACTCTGCTTATGTTATTATTTATTTTTTTCTCCAGCATGTTCAGATAGATCACAAGAAACCTCTAGTGGGCCGTTTGACCTTGCCAGGTTTAGCGCTTGATGTCAGCAGGTCAAGAGGAAGAGCTTTAAATAAAGCCACTTAAAAGCAGGTCCCAAATCGTCAGATAGATATCACAGCTGATTTGATGGAGGCAGGGTGTCTTGGGATAACTGGACATCACACAGAGGACAGGGACACAATCACAGTTATTTACGGTAGCAGGAAGCTTCGTCTGAGCGTGAGCCTCAAGATATACAATCCTCAGGTGTCCTATGGTTTCCCCTCTCATCCCTTTCTTTAGCAGGAGACCCTTGGGTGCCCTGAGGTTCATTTTTCTACCTCTTGAAGTCTGGTTGTGAAAGCAGCCTTACGTGTGATAGATAGGTGGGCTCTGTTATTGCCTCGGCCCTTAGGGGAGTCGGTACGACCCCCTTGAGGCTTCATTTCTCTGGCATAGTGCTATCCCTGGATAATACCGCTTTTATGAAGGTCTCTTTCACATTCCCTGTCAGCGTGTCAGCACGACATACAGTATGACCCCAATCTCAAAGACAATACTGCACTTTCTACAGCCTAGAACATGGACCGCAGAGGTCTCTGGGTAAAATTATGGACCCTTGTAATAGTTCACGTTGCATCCTAATGTTTGAGCTCACAGTGTACAAGGAAAGGGTGTGACAGTGTTCTCGTGGTGGTTTAGAAGAAAGGATCCTCACAAGAACTGATTCCATTTCAGTCTTTGTGTTGTAGTCGAATGTAAGACACACTGGAGATACTTTCTTCCCGTCCTTTTACTGCCTCCGGCGCTTTTCTTCGTCTCTGAATGGGATAGAGCTGAAATCTTCACTGACTGTCTGAGAGGAATATCAGAGAGTTTTTTTTTTCCACGTTATTGTTATCCCCAACAATGTAGAGTGTCTCCTAAGATGTCAGCCTTAAAAGCAACTGCCATAGCGATTGTGAATAATGGATGACATTGATTTTCATCTTCTGTTGAATTTCTTGCATATATCTCAACTTGATGGCTTATTTTTACATATCTAAAGTGGATCTGTAAACGCTCGGGCCTCTCAACCCGCTCTCTTATGCTTTGTTCTCAGCTGATGTCTGAGCCACTTTCCTCACGGGGCTCCTTGGAGGTAGCAAAGCTTGGGCATAAAAGTGGAAGTAGCACAGGTCCCCCATCTTTCATCGAGGTGTTCCTCCTTATCTTCAAATTTGGAGATGAACTGGGCCATGTTTGTAGGCTGCCTTCTTTGGTTATGACCCGAGTCATGCTGTATTTGATTGTGCCAGCCAGATGTAAAGTAGAGCATCTTGCAGATAATCATGCAAAAACCGCCTTTGTTTCTGGAGCTGGAGCAGGAGAACAAACACTTGGATGTGCTGTTGAACCCTAGAAAAAAATCTTTGATTCTTGTTGAGTGGGAGTGGAGGTAATTAGGGAAACAGAAAACAGCTAATCAAGGCGATGCACACGCTTGTTGTAGCGCTGTGTTGTTAGGAGAACATGTGTCGCAGTTTGAAGAAATAGAGCGTGGTGCTGCTGCCAAAGTAGTTAAAACTGCAGAGAGAAGCAATAATGAGACTGTCCTGGCTAGTCCGGCGAAATGTATCTATTGATCATTTGAAAAATTCCACAGAAACCAGCAGAGAATCTGTTCTCATTTAAATCTGGCTGGGTGTGAACAGCTTTGGTTTCTACATTCATCTAATCTGTGGGGTTCATGGAAAACATTTTTTTACACAAATTGAAATAAAGTGGAAAGTCATTTTAGGTCGTCTTGTTTTTAAAGGGTTATTCCGTGAGAGATGAATGTTGCTGACTGCTCGCTTCTCTAGTTATACCAACTTTAGTAACGACCGCACGATAGCAATACAGAGCGGTCTACGTCTCCATGTGCAAACCTTAACCAAAATGCCACTCTATAGTCATAAATAATACTCAGAACAGCACCTAACTTCATCAACAGGACATATAGGGTCCCAGCCACAGCACTAGCCACCAAACCCCTACACAAGACTAGTCAACAGCTCCTGTGTTGGGAAGCTAGCAAAGTTTACCTTTTATGAAACTAATGCACATAGCATTGTAGTGTCACAAAAAAACATTTATTTAAATCATGTTTAAAAGTTCCTGTTCCTAAAGAACTTTTTAAAAAAGTATCCTAGGACATAGCAAAGATTTGTGACACTGATGATTTGTGACTCTTGAGATCTAGACTTTGCTATTTTATTTTATCAAAGGAGTCTTACCATGAGTAAGGGGCTACAACAGCAGCAAAGAAAGACTCACTCCATTTTAATAAGACAGGACTGAGCTCTTAGTGGACAGCTGTCTGCCTTTGTCAGTGGGGTCAGGACAGAGATCAAATTCTGGTGACATCTCTAGACAAAGCTGATGGTGTTTTTATTACATCACACTATGTCCAGACCTAGGACCGCTGCATGCAGACGTGAAGAGGAGGGAGTTTAAATGGAGCAACATACTACTACCTGCCTAAGAAATGATGTTGACTTACTAACATAGAAACAGTATTCTGTTATGTCATAGACTGTATATAGAATGGACGCCGTCTTCCTCCTCGCTGGGTGAAGTCACCGCTGCGCAAGTGGTGGTTCCAGGAAGTGGAGGAAATCCCGGAAATATCGAGAGCAATTTGGCTTCAAATTCGTATAATGGTGGAAGGCAGAACTAAGTTATCCATAGTATATACAGTCTGTGTTCCATACATGTGCCCTCAAGGTGATTGTATCCTGCTTAATTGAGGGTTTTGCAGGTGTTTATGAAGGTAGCAGTGTTACGGTGCATTTGCATGTTTACATTCTACTGATACAGAGGATGAATTCACAAGGATCAGCTCTCTGTGAGCTGAAATAAGGGGCTACCTCAAAGGGATTTCAAATAGGCGATTACTGTAGATTAACCTGGGACAAAGTGGAGCGGTGACAGCATGACAACTTTCAGGTTATGTGACTGACATTACATGTACTGCATAGGAACTAAAGTATTGTGCATGTGCGTGCCACAGTTGCAATGTAAAAATGATGTATCATTCAGCCCTACAATGCATGCATTTGAATAGAATACAGATCTTATACTTTTCTCTGTTCAAGATAGCTTTTGTAGGATGAGGGTGAGTGCCAAACATTGAGTCTGGGTTTTTTTTAGATAAAGTCTGTCCCAACACAGGCACTAAAACTCAGTATAGAGAAATAACCAACCCTGATTGATCTTTGAAGGTCATGAAAAGGCAAATGAAAAACTCCTCACAGTGCCTTTAAGATAATAGCAGTAGTTTAAAATTGATGTAAACCAGGGTATTTGTCCATTGACAGTTTTAATGTTTCTTTTCCTGTTGAGAAAGCAACTGAAATGCATTGGTACAAGCAGAGATCGGTCTGAGAGCAAGTCTGGCATTTTGTTGCCAGGTTTGCATCTTTTTCAAACTCTGCCTTCAAGGTCCACAGCTCAGTCCTCATCCAGTCTTCTATACCTTTATCGGAGTCCTTCCAAAATAATCCCACATGGTGCCAGCAGCTTTGAGAATAATGAAGTCCGGCAGTGAGAAATAAGAATAAAAAGGACGTTGCATTTAAAATGTGAAAATCTAAAGTTGTTAAGTTAGTTTATATAAGTCCTACAGTTTTAGATTTTATTTGCATGTCAATAATAACAGTTATATTCTATATACATCAGATTCAGACCACATTAACCTTGCATACTTAATAAAAGGTGATAAGAAGATTTGAAAATACATCTGGATGCTTGAGTTGGAGCTGCCCTGCTGTTTCATATGTTGAAGGAACCAGCAGCAGACAGTTCTCATGAGGCAGCCAGGAGCTGGGCCCCTGGTGCTGCCGTGGACAGACTGCTGTTGACAGGTGTCTGGGGCTGATGAATTGCCAGACATGAAAAAGGGCTGCCTGGTGGTGGGAGGCTGGATGGGCACACTGGGCACTGCAGAAGATTAGTCTTTCTCTGCAGAGAGGAATAACTGCAGAGAACAACAAAACTAAAAACTTCATTGTTTGGAGGCAGAAGGCGAGTCAAAAAAGCATTGTCTTTGTTGATTTGAGACAAAGAGAAGGCAGTGCTGTACGAGGCAAGATTTGTTTTCTTTTTATTTAAGTGGAACCATATATTTAAGGGACAGCCCTGACTTACTGTAAAGACACTCTTTATGAGCCTGTAGGTGAGAGCCTGGAGGGCTGAGTGTAAACCAAGGCTGAGGGAAAGGAACTGACACTTGCATGTTGCTGTGGTCATGTCCAAACCTTGTCACAGTGGGAAAATATATCAGTCTTTGGGCCTGTCTTAAGGTGGTAATTAGACTTTTTTTTTGGAAAGGATTCCTGGCTGAAAACAGCTTTCCTGGAGCTGCACTGAAAAACCCACATGTACATGATGTGCACAGGTATATCTATCAGTTATTTCTGCAGGGTCCAAACTGGCATCAGATCCAACCTGGCTAAAGAGTGGTTTCTTTCTAATTTCAGACCAGAACTTGATGCAATATTTACCGACTATTTTGTCAGATACATGTCAGGCTGCAAGAAAAAATGTCATGCATTGTGTGTCTCTTTTCTTGTTTTCAGCTGCTTGATCCGACTACAGTGCACATACTTTTTTGGAAAAGTTAAAAATCACATCTGTTTGCATGATTCATACAGATTTGGTAATGCATCTGTTTATGGCTTTGTAGGGCTAATAACAGTAATCTGTCAATAGTGAAACTAATTATCTATGAGCAGATGTTTCACACTTGCACAGACACAAGCCAAATGTGAGAACAAAGACTGAAGCTGGAGCACAGGGGGGATCTGTGCAGCTGTGTTCAGGTTGAGCGGGTCAACATCTCGTCTCTAAATTGGCAGTAAGCAGTTACTTGCACCAAACCACATTTTTCTTGAAGGCATAGTCATTGATGTAAAGATGCATGACAATATAATCAGTACTGATTTGTAGTCAGGCATCAATGTTTGAATGTGTGCATGAAATGGTGAGTCTTAAAAAGCACTTTGAGTGATTTTAAGTCTAGAAAAGTGCCACGGATGCTGTTACTTCAACATTTACAGGCCTTAAGCCTGAGAGCCTGAAGTTTGAGCGCAACAGAACCATGCAAGCATAAGCAAGATTTTTTTTTTTTATAGTGTAACTACAAGGTTTTATGAAAACCTGGAAAAGGTCAGGAAACAGCCGGTGACTCCCTGTTGAAGAGCTGAGTGATGGGGAGTGCAGAGTCAGCCCTTAGGTGACAGAGACAAAAACACTGTTTTTGTCAGGAGCCCAGTTTCTGCCACTTTTCAATCTTTAAGGCTTTGATAGAAAAGCTGATAGATGTCTTCTTGTGGATTGAAGACACCAGTATGAACAGAACATTTGACCTTTAAAGGCTTCATAGCGCAGGAAGTCAAACACTTAGCTTATCGGCTACATGTTTTGAGGCAAATTTTGTGGCGGATTTCGGACAGCAGGAATCGCAAGAACTCACAAGGGATGCACATGCAATCGTACGATAACGAGTTGTTTCTATAAAGACAGCCACATAACCATATAAGCAGTAGATTGTGTCCTTCCAGAGGAGGAAATCCACTCTGTCCAGACCAGTAGATCAGGCACTTTTGTGGAGACTGAGAATTTTGGACTTCCAGAATCAGCATCTCCTGATCCATGGTGTCTACGGGTTAAATCAAGTCTGAAAACCTTTGACTTGTTTGTCCCCGCCCACATTTACATGGTGTGAAGCCGGATGTTTTATCTTGTGTCTGTGCATGACTTCCTTTCCAGCACAAGCTAATCGGTGCTGAATTTATGCAGCATGCTGTGGCGTCCGGAAAAAATAGAAACCTGGCGGAAAGAAGCTGGTGGAAATTGACACAGTAACTTGAACGGAAAGGATCAGTGGCGATCGGTGCCGACTGCCTTTTTGCCGTCATTCCGCATGCGGTGGAAATTGGGGGTTAGCTGTCTCTCAAAAACTTACTGGCCAATGAGGATTCACTCATGAAAATCCCGCCCATGTGTGAGGTTTGTGTCAGAACTAAAAGAAAAAGTCAGCTGGTGTCAATGATCAGAGTGAGACGATCGGCTCAAACAGTGATCTGCTAGTTCAGACTGAGACAGTTTCATTAATGATGGGTAAATCTATAATCTCTGAGTGAACAGCTGTACAGCCGGTTCACTGGGACTCTTCTGCCTCATACTCACGCTGCCAGATTAGATTTACGTTTGAAGGAGGGTGCAGACGCAGCCCAGTCTTTGAAATAGTAGCTTGGGTTTTTAGCCTTCTGCTTCCCGTTGAGACTGCGCTTTGCTCCAACAATAACACTTTAATCACATTTGCTCCCATTCTGCAGTGTTGCACGGTGAAGCATGAAGAAATTGGGCCTAAGAAATTGAAAACATCTAGAACCTTGTTTCCATAAGACTTGCTCTGGCGCCACGTGTATTGGTGAGACACAACTAAACACAACAAGTGCACACAGTGACACAAGTGTTGGCTCTGATACAGCTCAGATTTACCAATATTTGCCACACCTTACAGGGATAACTTTACTTTTGACATAGTGTCCTTTTAAGCCAAATGAATCCACTATTTTCTATTTTTAGTATTATTACTGGAGCAGCAGCCTCAGATCTGATCTGACTGGTGTAGTGAATAATTTCCCTGCATTGTACAGAGTGAATAATTCTGACACTCTCCTTGTGTTGTTGGGCAGAGAGTGGGAGTCGGTTCCACTCCACGGTTTTATTTGTGGAGGAAGCATGTTGATTAATGACTGTAACTATATCTTTCAAGGCAAGAAAAGCTTGTGACCATGCCAGAGTGGTGGAAGCAGAGGCATTTAGCATCCTCATATTGTTCTGAGCCATTACCCGCTCAGGCCTGCTTGTATTATTACATCGTAAAAACGACACTCCCAGAATGGCTTTAGTGCCCCGTCAGTCCATTCATACTGACTGCACAAATAAACACATCGCAAAAGAAAACACTCAGAGGGGGGAAACAGAATTCATCATGTTTTAGCATCGGTGGGAGGAAAACACTGGACTTACCTGCACACTGCACCTCTACTTTAGTAAATGTCCTTTAGACTTAGTTTGGACTGATATGTAGAATGACTGGATTTTTGATCAGCCCTGTATTCAACAGGCCATGGATTCACTCATGTCATCAACTGTTATGGGTTTCACTTTCTTTTACAGTCTTTCTGGAACAGGTTAGAGTTACAGAAGAGGTGTTTGCCAGCAGCAGCTTTTGTTAAGCAAACTCAGACTGACCACATTCAGGTCCCACTGTTTTCCTTGCGCTGCTGTACTGGACCGTGTCCAGACTTTTTGATTGGTTTGGCACAGCTGAGGCACCACTTTGACTAGAGCACTGCGTGTTACTTGATAAAATATTGTACCTTACTGTTTTATTTCATATTTGTTAAGGAATACTTTATTTATTTCAAATTCAGAGTCACTGGTTTTCTAAATCATTACTATTGATGCAAACATTATAAGTTAACATTATTTTATTGTGGTTATATATTCAACAAGGAGATGGTTTTGAAGAATGTTTTGGATATTTCAGTCATCTATGCATGTTACGGAGTCTAAATTTTAGCATGTTAATTCGTATTAAATAATAATAATAATAATAATAATAATAATAATAATAATAATAATAATAATAATAATGATAATAATAATAATAATAATAATAAACTTTATTTGTTTAGCACCTTTCATGACATGAGATGCAGCTCAAAGTGCTTTACAGATCAAGAACGAAGCACAAGTGCTTTACAGAGAAGGTAAATGATTAGCAATAAAATTAGCAATAAAAAATAAAAATAAAATAAAAATAAAAATAAGCAGAAAATAAATGCAGAAACATAAAACAACATTATAATAATAGCAAACAGTGCGGACATGATCAAATAAAAGCAAGAGTGAAGAAATAGGTCTTAAGCTGTGTTTTAAAGTTATCAACAGAGGTTGCCTGTCTTATGTAAACTGGGAGTTTGTTCCATGCTGTCGGCCCATAGAAGCAGAATGCTGTTTCTCCATGTTTTTTTAATCAAATCAAATTAAAGTAACATTGAGTTTAAAGGGATATTTGGGCGAGGAGAGGTGGCTAAGATTATGCTCTTTTGCCGGCTGTCTGCCCAACAGTTGACTGGTTTTTACTCTAACCGGTGCCATGAGTTGCAACTTTTAACCTGCTTTACCGTGTACATGTTTGAGGCTCTTTTCTTCGATTTAAGATGCAGAAATCTCTGTGTCTGCCTGCATCAGATGGGATTGTGTGAATGTTTTTGTGTGTGCATGGAAAGGGTCAGCGTTTGATATTAGCAAAATAATTTGACAAGAACAAAAACTTCATTTAACTGGACGAAGGTGCGTAATCTGTTCCAGAAATAATGTGCAAATAAGCAACCTCACTTTGGTTTCAGACACAGACCATTTCATAAGACCATTAAAAGAAGCTCCTTCAAATATTTGAGGTCACAAAGTTGCCTGATGTCTCTGGACAGCCGCATACCAGTGAGATAAATCAGCAAATGAATATATCCTCACCTCATTAACACCACAGACATCAATACTACAGACACATTAGTGGCTGAGACCATAAATCAGATCTCCTGGTAGTTTGGTGCCTGGATGTTTTCATACATTTTCAGGCAGCACAGATGTTTCTGACACGTGTCTCTGCGTGCTGTGAGAGCAGCCTGTGTTTGCCCAGACAGAGTAATGATGGTGAGCAGTGTGAGGCCGTGCTAATCAGTCCAGACTAACCCCACGGGAGCTCTTTAAGTGGACGGGTGTCTCTTATTTTTGGTCTATCTGCAACATAGCAGGATAGATTAGAGGAGAGCCTGTGCCGCCATGCTGGCACAGCCATGTGGACTCTTTCCACAAAAGCTTTTACACAAGTGTGGTTCCTGAACTATAAATACACGTACTTGTCGCCATTGTTTCTCGTATAATGACTGGGCTTCTCCTGAGTGTTAAGCTGCATCTTATCCTTTGGCTGGAAAACATGTTTGGCCACTGGTGAGGACCTCTGAAAGGTAATACACATAACAGTGGAAAGTAAGAGTGCATCTGACTTCCCATTTGGAGTCGCTATAAAATCCTGAACTTGTGCAGATGAGGCTGAAAAGACAGCTCCACTGTTTCCACCACTCTGTTGTCCAACTGAGGAGAGTTTGATCAGACGTTTCCTTTTATATTCGGTCACAAGTCCCCAGAGCTGTAGCCTGTTCTTTGACAAGAGTAGAAGTAGATCTTACACATTGCATTTATAAAACATGGATACGTAACCAGACATGAAAGTACTTGAGAAGAAAGTGCTTTTAAAGAAGGCTGAAACCTACAGTGATAATGCTTTACATATTGAAACATATTTGCTTTGGGGATAAACATAAAAGTTGCTTTTACTTCTAACGTCTTCTTCCCTCACTTGACAGTGTTTTCTAAAGACTGCTGATGAATAATGCACCGACAGCCTTTGCTTTAAATGATTGTTTACTGATCTTTAAAGGAGCAGAAACTGAGTGAGCTCGAAGCAGAGCTATTTAAAGTCTTTGCTTCAAGGTTTTTTTTTTCTTTTTTATCTGAATAAAACTGCAGAATGGGATTAGCATAGTTCATACATATTACACTTGCATTGGATACAATAGGTTTTACTTAGAGGAACTAACACATGCACGAAACAGCTAAATCTAATCAATGGTTTATTTCTTTCTGATGTGGCCGCTGTTGATTATAATACATTTCTAACTGGAGCTCTGCCAGTGAAGCTAAATGAACTCTGTTACAGATCTGCAACAAAATGAGAGTAAAGTTTAAATGTTGCTATAAATTATATTCTCTTATAGTTTAGAATCAAAGCTTCATTTTACACAAGTTGCTGTGAGGAGTATGCAAATATCTAGTGCTGCACAGAGGCCAAAAAAAGGTTTATGGGTTGAGAATAGGGCTGAGCGATGTGGGAAAAAGTTTATCACAGTATTTTTTTTTTCATATCAGTCGATACCTATATATATATATATCACAATATATATATATTAGAAAAAATCACTTGTAAATCTTAAATGTTCCTTGTAACTCTAAAATGAAATTCAAAGATATCAGAAGGGTTTTTTTTATTTAAGTATTTATTTTCTGTCAAAGATGAACATGACATTTTATCACATAAAACCTGTTTCAAATTGATACACATAAAACATAAAACATAAAAATTTTAGAAATATTTATTTGAAATCTCAAATCTTTAAGCCTAGCCTTCAGGCAGCGCCAGCGACTCACTCCATGTGCAGAACATGTTCAGAGGTGTGGTTTCCTCCTCTCTAATTTGATTGACAGCTGGCAGGGTAGTCTGATTGGGTAGATTGGGTAAAGAACGAAGGTGATTGGTGGATCGCTGCACAGCACATGCAGAGTCACATGCAGTGTATCTCAGTCAGTTACCCTTGAAATTAACTGAGTTCATTCACCTCCGACATCGCAGGCTCTACTATGTGACTATCGCACTCACGTACATCTCAATGACGATGCTCAAACGATATATCGTGCAGGCCTATTGTATATCATTATCGGTTTCTTGCCTAGTCCGGGTTGAGAACAGCTTTATTCAAGGGGCACAGAGAGAAGTTTGGCTTGTGTGCATGTGTTTAAGCCTCAAACCTGCTTAGTGTGTATATAAGCAGTGTGGTGAGACTGATTTAGGTCTGACGTGGATGCGTTGGGGACACTGATGAGCTCCTGGCGCTCCATAGTGCCAAACAGCAGCAGCATCAGCAGCTTCCTCGCAGCATGTTCATCCACAGAATGAGCACCATGCCGAGCAGCTGGGCTCAGCGCTGCACACTCCCTCAGCAGTGGGGGGGCATTTCAGTCTCTGTGGGACCCACAGTGTGGCTAAGAATGGCAGTGATCAGTGTGGCAGCTGCCACGTCAGCGGCCTCATGACGCTGGTGAGGTTTTTCAGCAAAACAGCTAATTGGAAGGAAAAAAAAGGACTGATTTTTGGCTCGCACAGCAACAGAGCTGTGTGGTTTAGAAATATGAAATGCATTCACTTGCTCATAGAGGTTTAATGGATCCTGGATGAACACATGTTTGATGATCATCTCCTGTAGTCGATGGCTTTGACACATTGCCATTTTCCTCTGCAGAAGTGGAAGCAATTACACTCGGTTTTGAATAAGAACCACGACTGCACTTTTATTCTGATTTTCTCATGCTTAATGATTCAACTTATGCATGAATAACAACAACTGAATTAATTTAAAGAAGCATTAAACTACCCAAGTTCGCTGTATTCTACAGGATTGCTTTCAAAGAGATGCATTGTCTGCCTTGTGAGGGGTTGATTTCAAGATTATTCCCATATGTGCTGTTTTGTATTCAGAACAATGAGGAATGAGAAATGGGGAAAAAACAACACCAAACAAAAACCCATTATGGTTCTGGAGTGTTGTCACTAGGGATGTTCTGAAGTGACTCTGACAAATTTAACAGAGCTGAAAAACTCCAGTCCAGTTTGAACACTTTTCTTGACCAAAATACTGCTAAACGACACCTTTATGATACACCATCTGTCACCTATGCTTGTGTTAAGGTAGCTGAGCATTATAGCTTTATGTTGTCTTCACTACAGCGTAGCAGCTGAACCCAAACAAGTAGCTAAACTCGTCTTTGAAAAGTTGACTTGAGTCATAGTTAGCGTTACTTTGCTCTTGACTGTGACTCTCAACATCTTCATACAAAGACAGGGAAAACTGTTACCCGGGATTTCCACCGCATCTGGAATGTCTCTAATCTGTAACGGTGGCAATTTCCGCTGTATGCCTATTCCTAACGGATCCGGTTGTGAGGCAAATTTCGTGGCGGATTACGGACAGCAGGAAGAACCCGCAGACATTGACTCTCTGGTGTCTACAGCATAACATATGGTCTCATACTGCTGGCTTCATCTAAGATAGCTGACAAAATTGACATGTGCCTCTCAGTATACAAACAGGCTTCAAAATAAAAGACCTCTTTTCAAAATAAAAGTCCAACTTAGATTAAAGCAAATAGACGGCACAAGCATGATGGCATTTCTCAGTAACTGGAGCCACAGCCCTCAGTAGTGGAGGGTGGCGGCACTACAGCTTTGACACCATATATGACTGTCACTTCAAGCCCACCATAATAAGAGTTTTAGACCTGGTAGGCTGAGTTTAACTGGCTCTGGTGTAGTCTATGATCTGGACCACAGAGACAAACAGTCTCTTTCTCATTTCAAACCTACATCCCTGTCATGACCCTCACTTACTCGTGTTCTGTTTTATTCGGGTGGCCTAAAATCTAAATATTGCTATTGCTCAAGTTCCTACATAGCTCCTACATAGTTTATCCCTCGCATTAGTGCCATGTATGCAGCATTTGAAGCTCAGGGGTTGGATCTTGTTTCCAAGTGGGATGAGTCCTATATCCCATGTTTTGCAGAGATAATCCGGGGATGCAGTGTCTTCAGTTATTCACACACCTCTACGGTGCACACTGGAATATTCTGCCCAGATTTGGTGGATTTGTTACCTTAATTAAAACTAATTAGGGAATATTAAGTATTAGCAGCAAGTGAACAATTTACATTTAGTCACAGCTCATAAAGCAAATGGATTTGAACCAAATTTAATAGTCATTCTATCAGACAGTAAATCCAAATGACTGAGATAACCTTTTACTCTTTCTGTCGTGTCATGAGCTCTACAAATGGGTTCAGGGTTGTTTTCTGGTGCAGACATTAATGACTTTTTCTAAATGACCTTTGATAGCTGGAAGCCTCTGTGAGAAGTTCTGGAACGCCTCTTCTCTACTCTGTGAGAAAGCAAATGTATCCGCCACAAGTTTTGCAGTTTCATTGTTGTAATTTCTAAGTCTGTAACACGGGGAGGAGGGAGCTGATATGCTGAACAGAGGTCATAAAATGTATCCCTTTAAGTATGGCAAGTTTTTGCCTGGTTAGTTAGCTAAGGCCACATTTTCTGCTGGAGTTGAACCTTTACGTTTTAAGACCTCTCCCACTGTTGTGAAGTTATTATTATTGTCTCTTTTTTTAAGTTGAACTGAGTGAGTTTCATTGTCTTTTAAGCTATCAGGGTCAATAATCTATGCATGGCTTGAATTGGATTTATACTCCCTGAACACTTCACACGTAAAAGCTCTCTTTTCATGTTGTTGTTCCCTCCAAACTATTTGTTCATGTCAGAGTCAATTTGCCACACGTCTCATTGAAAAACCATATCTGCTGTTCTACTCATTTACTGACTTAAACTGTGACTCTCCCCAGCCCTAAGTAAGAAAAGTTTCCAATCATTAAATGGGCTACTGTAACGTGACTTCACTTCTTTACTCAGCTGAAGAAATGTTAAAGGCGCCTTTGAGGCCCAGTGCAGTCTACCATATGTTTCAGTCATATGTTTGTGTCAGAGAGCTCACTGTATTCGCTTCACTCCTCGGGCTTCTGTCTGATCCATGTTGTCCAGCCGTTCAGACTGAGAGGATTTAGTGCAGAGCTGTTTTAATTCCACCACTCTTACGTGTGCTGATGTATGCATACCTGCATGTCTCTGTGTTACAGGTCCAGGTGTGCCTGCTGAAGACCTGCTGCAGAGCTGCTGTGCTGCAGGCCAGACGTGGGCCTCAGAAAATCACCACTGCAACAACATCCCGATCCCGACCAAAGACAGGCATTCTCTGTGCAGGTTAGTCACCTAAAACACTCAAAGACGTTTCAGTGAAATTGCGCAGAGGCTTTTAATACTCCCAACTAAAACTTTCTGAACAGAACCACAGCTCAGAATCAGAACCATTGCAGACTGATAAAACCAACAAGATGCTTTTAATGCAACAGTATATTAAGCTGGTACAGCTGGTCTAATTAGGCCTACTGCATGTGTTTGATGTAGCATAACACATTACACAAATTAGCCCAATGAAAAAATACACAGGAGAGAGCTTTGACTCTGAATTTGAAAGGCCCAACGTAAGTGTGACTGAACATGTTGCACAACCTTAATGAAGGCCATTTTAGTCTGGTTCCACCTCCTCAGTTCAGATCATCCAGGCTGGTCCGTCTGACTAAAACAGCCTCAAATGTTCAGCTATGTTGTGTGTACAACTCAAAACTGTTTAACCAAGGATTTTGACCTTTACAAGACGATGTAACATTCTGTAGAAAAATACTATAATTTGCTATTTTAGGCAGGGCTGTCAGGTTTTCTTGAAAACAATAGTATTCCAATATTTATGGAAAACTCAAAAACAGAGCGAAAGATATCACGACATTGAACAGTTCTGCAGAGGAAATATCAAACTCTGTTGTTCTTTAGATCATAACAGGATATGAAATGCTGATCAGTTACTGTCTAAGTTTTTATCTGCTCCTCTTTAGGATAGAAAAAATGATTTATAAGCCAGACTGACAAGGCTGCTTGCAGTGTCTGCAGACATTATTTATTTCTTGATAGGCTTTGTGGGCTTAGATATTGGCCGATGCCAAATATTTCAAACCACTGTTAATCAATACATCTGAACTTAAGGTTTTAAAGGGATATTCTGGTGTAAATTTAAGTCATGGTCAAACACACTGAAACACCGAGTTAGACACCCCCTCAAGAGATGAATGTTGCCGACTGCTTGCTTCTCTAGTTATACCAAACGTAGTAATGACCGCACAATAGCAATACACAGCGGACTACATCTCCATGTACAAACCTCAACGAAAAAGCCACTCTATAGCCACAAATAATGCTCAGAACAGCACCTAACTTCATCAACAGTACATATAGGGTCCCAGCCATAGTACTAGCCATCAAACATCTTTTTAGCTTTGCCTGGTTTCTCTAGCAAAGAGACTAAACACAACTCACCCACTCTGCTCCAGCAGCCGCTTGTTTGTGGGGAAGCCCTGACGAGTTGATCACAGAGTGCGGCGGAGTTTCGCAGCTCAAGGAAGAACATTTATGATTATTACTTCATGGAAACGCAATCAGACTGAGACTGGTTTGCAGAAGAACTACTGCGTCTCCAGTGCACATACAAGATACACAAGAACTCTGACTAAGTAATAATCATAAATGTTCTTCCTTGAGCTGCGAAACTCCGCTGTACTCAGTGATCAACTTGTCAGGGCCCCCCCTCAAACAAGCAGCTGCTAGAGGAGAGTGGGTGCATTGTGTTTGGTCGCTTTGCTAAAGAAACCAGGCAAAGCTAAAAAGATGTTTTGGACCCTAAATTTACACCGGAATATCCCTTTAATGAGGTTTATGAAAGCATTTGGTAAAGTCACAATGGCTGTGTCCAATCTTAAAATCAACTCAACTTCAGAAGAACTATCTAAGTTTCTGTGTGTGTCTGTTTGTTGTCAGTGTTGCAGTGAAGCAGTGCTGCCTCAGCTCTGTGAGGGAGAGCCAGTGTGAGTCAGGTATGATGTCAGCCAGAGGAGGAGACACATGTGGAGCGAATGGGGAGAACCCGTGCACAGACGACTCCTTTCAGGTACAACACTGTCTTACTCCCATTAAAACTTCCACGACAGCATGTTTCAGGTGGATTTATTTAGCAGATAGCATGCTGTGAAAAGTGCATGCTGGGTGGAGGACTACAGAGGAAGATGGTTGAGTCATGACTGAAAGACATGATGTCATGGGTTTATGGTGCAGGTTTTATAGACAAAGAGCTCTCCATGAATCAAACACTGAATTCATTAAAGTCCATGAGATATTCCACTTGAATAATGTATGAACCGTGTCTCAGACAGAGGAAGGATTTGACCACAAAACCACTCCGCTAAAGTTCAAACTAAAGGCAGAGGTCGAGTGTTCTGAAGTGTATCAGTGTATTTTATGTGTCAAACACTTGTAGTGTCCTGTTAAACGCGTGTTGTTTTGGCTGAGATCCCAATTTCAGATGCTTGTGCCAGCGCTGAGGCTTTGACAAAGTTCAGGCAGCTTTTTTGTAAGAAACAGGCAGGTTGAAGTAAATCTGTAAAGAAATGCCCAAGTCTCCTGTTTCTGTTAGTATCCAGCGGACATGTGAATACTTCTAATTCGAACTGGGAACCATGCGTCTGCTCGGAAACAGCCCTGATTGTTTTCAGTGTTTCTCAAAGAGGAAACCCCGTGGTTTGGCTCCGGTGCAAACTGTTCATGTGTTTTAGCCGACGAGTTAAACCGTTGTGCCAGGTCGCTGAAGGAAAGTTAAAGAAAAATGAAAGTCTGGTTTTCTTTCTATGACATGTGTTTCAGCTTGAGGCAGAAATCCTTTGCAGTGTGTTCACCAATCCTCTCGGCTGTTTAACCGTTCTGTCTCCTCCTCCTCCTCCTCCTCTGCTGTTTACTAAACATGGCTGAAAGTGGAGAGCAATAAAGCGAGGTGGTGATGAGAGATGTGGAGGGCACCACGGTGACACACTCCACACTAATAAGCACTGCTGTTGTGTGTGTGTGGATTGGCAGGTGTGCTGCAGCTGCTGTGCCCTTGGCTTACGAGTTCGCGGTGAAGGGAGAGGCTGCGATGCTCACCAGTACCTGGGCTACCCGTGTGGTCACGTCTTCCTCACCTGCTGCGAGGAAGGGGAAGGTCCTCGCCAGACCCCGCTGAAGAGAAAGCAGATGCCCAGACCTACTGCTTCGCCCAGAAAAGGTATCTGCAAGGTTTTTCTGACGTGGAGCTTTCAACAACACATTCATCATGCACATGGGTGGTGTTGGGATTAGCAGAAACAAACGCTCCTTGTTCAATGTAAGCCAAGAGCAATAAACTGTGCATATTAGAAAGAAAGCCTTGAGAGATTATTAACTCTTTTTTCTGGCTGTGTTAATGACTAAAACTGTTATAATACACTGCTGCTAATGTCATTTTAAGGTTTTTAAATTCCTCACACTGGTATTTAATGAAGGTAAATGTCAGTGGGTCTATAATAAACCGAGGGGCGGCTGCACTGAACAGGTCCTGCTCTCTGGAGTTCTCAGGTTCCTTTTCTCCAGCGTTGACAGAGCGATGAGGCTAACAGCAGGGATAATTACCAGAAATGTTCACTGAGTGTAAGGGACTCTAGTTGTGCCGGCCTTACAAGTGCAGAAATGTGAAGAGATAGACCAATTAATAGGTCAGCTGATAAAAAAGAATCGGGTCGGAGTCACATATGAGCAAAAAAAGTGTGATTTGGGTCACCTGTGCCTGCAGTGTGAAAACAGCCTGTTTTGAGGGGGTGCATTCATTCTTCTTTTTATGTCTCATCTGCGGTATATGATACACAAAGGTAGCATGGTAGTACCAAGTCATTGAACCTCTGATACCTTCTAGGAGGTCGTTATAGTGTGGAAGAGGGGAAAGCTAATGGTAATGTTGGCTGAGCTGGAACATTATGTGATGGAATTACAACGTGTCCGACGCCAAAGCGCAGAGCAAATAAGATCAACCGCTGCTGTCATCTTTTAATGACATAATTCTCTGTCTCATAGAAACAGAACTGAGTGTATTGTTCATTGATTGGTTCACTGATTGCTGTTGCAGTGTACCGATATTGACAAGAACCGTCTCATAGGAAAAATAAGATATTGATATTGTACCAAAAATAAGCATAATAGGTATTTCGATGAACAGCCATCAGCAAACTTTGCTCTGTACTTAGTATAGATATGGTTAAAATGTCATCCTCGGTGAAGTTGAAGTCAGAAGCAGAGTTCATGCTTCGTTAGATCTTTTTCTTTTTGTTTCAAGACGCACGCTCTCAGTTGATTGGTCAGTCGTCTTGTTACCTCTCAGAGCAACGTAAGAAGTCTGCAAACTGGGATAAATCAGGAACAGATGGAAGCTCAGGCTGTTGTCTCTTTACTTGTGCCAGCAATTTTTCTCTTCATCTCTGATCTGGGAAGCTTCTTACACCAGTGACACTGATATCTAAAAGATCTGAAGAAACCAAGGTTGAGGATTGACCTGCCTGAAAATCAGTCAAAGACCTATTGGTATCTCTGCACAAGGTCTGTAATCAACCCAAGAAACTCTTGATCGACTAAAACACTAAACTTTTTAAATTGACACAGAAAAAAAAATCAAGTCGACCAATCAGAATTTTTGTCGACTCAGCACGCATCGACCAATAAGTCGACCAGTCAGTTAGCACTTTACAGCCCTACTCTGCACAACCATGGCAGAGCGGTGTCTTCGGTTTTGTTCAAAGCATTGGTCTCTGAACATGAGCGTCTTGTTTGCAGCTGTTAGCTCCGTGATTTTGGGCTTTGCATGTTTTTCATCAATGACATCAGAATTGTAATGGATGAAATATGACTGAGTGAAAAGCAGCGTGCTGCATTCGTATGTCTGTACTCTCCTGTGTGATTAGAGAGTTCAGTCCATGAGGTCTTGAATCCATCTAGTAGCCTTTTGATTTTGGCCTCAGAGGAGCTTTCTTCAGTGTTTTGCTTCATGAATTAGGACCAGACATTCACTGTGGAAAAGCAGTTCATTAAGAGGCAGCCTCTTTGGCTGTCTTTTAATGGGAACAGTTGTCTCTGAGTTTGATGGTGAGTTAAGGTCAGTCTCTCCTCAATGCCTTGTGTTGTTGTCTGTTATTTCATTCACTACATCAGAAGCTTTCCTCCTAATCCCCCCCTTTAATACGCTCTGTTCTAACCATCAGCTGAAGCTCATTTCCTCCTGCTTTGAAGGCATGTTTGAATGATGTCATTCTGAAGGAGGAATCAATTAACCTGCTGAGAGCTGTGAAAGGTTAAGGAAAAGCAAAAAAAAGTCTTTAAGCTGGTGTTCAACTCTCTCTCTCTCTCTCTTACCCTTTCTCTCTCTCTTTCTCCTTCCCTCCCTCTCTGTTACAGCATGCATGAAGGATGCCTTTACTTTGTGAGTGCTCTATGGATGAAAATAAGGATGAGATGCACTATAATTATTTCCTTGGGGGATATGTTTTCACTCTTATGACTCACCGCCTTTTAATTAAAACAGGAAAAATGTAATCGCCTTGCTCCTCTGAATTTAAACCGCAGGTAATGACTGTGAGAAATATTTACTTGAAACCCTCGCAACTGGCATCGAGAGATTCCTTTGGCGTTACTGTAAAGCTTGAGTCGCTTGGCGAGAGATCGTCCTTGTGTATTTGTGTCCCAAGTTCTTGGTCATGTCTGTAGACATTAACCCAGATTTTCACCCCAAACTTGTCCACTTTGTTAAAGCAGTGTTTCTAATTTAATGCTTAATCTAACTCTCTCTTAAATTAGCGGTAACATGTCTTGCATCTGTATGTTTTCCCCTCATCTACAGTAAAATGATCCTTTTTTTTTTCTGCCACAGTCTAAATAAATGAAGAAAAATCTGCATTTCTCATCTTGTGGAAATCTGCTCTCTGAAAAGTTTCCCTTCTGTGCTGCAGTTGAGGGTTTGACCATTTTACACTGTGGTTCTGCAGTCTTGGTTGAGACTGTGTTGTGATACTTAGGAAACTAACTTGTAAATCACTCTGATCATCTCCATTCTACGTAAGGAGCTGAAATTTCCTGTTTTCCCTTGCCAAAAATAAGTATACCTCAAGTCCATTTTATGAAGTAAATGTAAGTTTATTTTAGCATACTTCCCAGAGTATACTAACAGTGAATTTACTAGTAAACTTCTGTGAACAAAACTGGCCCAATTTTAGTTTATATAAGTACACTTGAAGCATACTTGGAAGTGAACTTTTTAGTATATTAGTTTACTAGTAATAAACGTCTAGTCCCCTTTTTAGTTTGTAAAAGTACACTCTGAAGCTTTTTTGAGGGGTGGGGTGGGAGGTGGCAGTTTTGCCTATGATGGATGGGACAGAGTGAAAATGTGGAAGACAGAGAGAGGAGGGATGACATGAAGTACAGGGTCAGGACTAGAATCAAACCCACAACCGCTGCAGGGACCATGGTCCCCAACATGGGGCGGCTTAACCCACTTAGCCATTTGCGCACCTACTCTGATGCATACTTTAAATTACCTTTTTGTTATGCTATTATTTCAATAGTAGTACATATTTATATACTTGACTTGTACTGCTTATCTTTAAAAGTATGCTTTATAAGTGTATACTCTTAAAAAAATAAGCAGAACAAGTCAAGTATACTTAAACATAAGGCACAAATACAGAAGTTTATTTATGAGTGTTTATTTATTCTTTGTGAAAGCCAAGTATATTCCACATTAATTTGATATCTCTGAAAAGAGCATAAAAAGTAAACTGAAAGCATACTTCGTTTTAACACAGTATACCTGAAGTATACTTCAACATACTTCTTTTAGGTAAGGGTTGTTATCTTGCTTTTCCGTCCATGCACAGCTGACCCTCTTTTTTATCTCATTTATTGTTTTCCGTACCCTCGGCGTCCTTGACTTTGTTACCTTGCATCTCCATGTTTATCTTTGCCATATCGTCGCCTATTACTGCTTACTGTCTATTGCAGAAACAGCATAAACTAAACTACAGACACCCTACAGAGGCTGTTATGTTTTCCTGTTGCTCATGTTCCTCTGAAGGTCAAACCCTCAAAGGGAGAGACCGACAGTACCAGATTGACTGAAACATGTAGAGAGAGGGAGTGGAATACTGAGTTGTAAGACTTGAGTCCAAGTGAGCAGCTGTTATAGAGTCACTGGTTTGAGAAAAGTCAGATCCATAAGCTTAAGACTCTCTTTTTTGCTCTCCTGAAACACTTTGTGCATATATTTTCTCAGCACTTTGCTCTCACCGTAGTGTTCTTAGTTTATAAGAGTTTCTCAAATGCACTGTCAAGTTCCTGTCTGAAGGACATATTAGAACTGAAGCCCTGGGTAAAAGCACCACTTAAACACTGGATGTAGATGTAATGGGTGAACAGATGTTGTTTTGTGTCGTCAAGTCAGCTTCATGAGGTAAGTGTGGGGTAAAATTATAGAGGCAATCTGGTGCTGTATCTAATTTAAGGACCCCCCCTTCTTTTCGCTTACTGCTTTCAGTTACAGACAGCAAGTTCCCCAAGGAAGCCTTCTCCATCAGTTCCACAGAAGAAGCTGCCAACACGGTGGAGGAGCAGGAGGATGTAGATGAGTGTCAGCTCTTTGCAGGCCAGCTGTGCCAGCACACATGCACCAACATCTGGGGCTCCTATCGCTGTGACTGTCATCAGGGCTACATCCTGCAGGAGGACGGACACTCCTGTGCACCAGGTACTCCTGAGAGGTTCATATACACACTGTGTCAATCAGTTAAACTTAATCAAGAATAGAAATATGTTAAAGGTGAAGCTGCAGTCAACAAAGAGTCAAATGAGATATCGAGTCAGACTATGAGTGACAAACCGTGATTGAACTGAAGTAGAGATGAGAAGATTAACTGATTCGTATCGATACACGGTCACGTGCATGCAAGGTGCGGGTGCATCGGTAGAGCAGCTGAGAGTGAATGCAGTTTGTGTCGATATAATCCAATCTGTTTAAAACATAACTTTTATTTTTATGTTACTAAACCATTTTGAGGGCATAATTTCTTTGGATTTGCAGATGTACAATCCAAACTCAAGTATCAGCTCCGCGGATGCACTACATACGGATGAATAATAGTGAGAAGGAGTGTGAGTAGTAGGATACTACTGAGCAAATTTACTGTCCTCTGAGTTGTAAATCAAAAGTTTGGCAACGCTACGGGTTTTACAAGAAAGACTGACGACTTGACAAGACATTTGCAAAATGTGCCTCGCTGCTGTAAAATACACAGGCAGTATGATTGACCTAATAAGTCAGCGCCATGGCGTTGTGTTGGAGGGGTCTGCTAGCACCCCCGCCTCCCTTGCTTCCAGTTTGGATTCGCCTGCAGCAAGCAGCTCCGATAGATAGATAGATAGACAGACAGACAGACAGACAGACAGACAGACAGACAGACAGACTTTATTGACTTTATTCCATTACTATTAACTCTACATGCTCAATAACGTATGCTACAGTGTTCTTCATCTGCAAAGATATTCAGAATGACAGTGTAACAGAAAGCAAAGGTTTCAAACACCTCCTCCATGTCTCGTTGTCTAATACCAAACTGAAAGCTGTTCTCCAAAGAGCAGATCCCTGCCCTCTACAACAAAGTTAGAAGATAGATAGAGTAGTCAATGAGCAAAGCCCACAGAGTAGCTGTGTATTGTGATTTGGGTGCAAGTCGTATCGTACTGCATCGCATATTGCCACACATTTATTGACCTTGTACATAAGATGCCCAACCCTAAATTTAAGGCATCTTCACTCAATGAAGGAAGCTAAAAGGCCGCTTCTATGATCGTGTATTTTTATCTGCAAACCCAGGCATGATGGAGGTTTTTCCTGTTGAAGCTACATTTCTACTGTCTCCTGTTTGACCCTTTTTTTATTGATTTTGCATTTATTGCCATTGTATTTCGGTGATGCTGTGGTTTAAACATACAACAGATTTCATCAGTATAATCACAACACTTTAGCAAGAGCCAACCAATTAAACAGGCTCATTGACATTCCCCTCAACCTCAAATAAGAGATGATTCATCACGTCCATATCTTTGCTCTATGAAAGACTATAAAGACAAAAACATTCAGCATTGGTTCAGATCATGACATTCTTAAAGAGGGAACAGCTTTATATGTGTTATAAAGTTACTCTTTGGTTATAGTTTATATATCAGGACCATGTTGGTCGATCGGCCTTTATTAATGCTGCAGTTTTCAAGTATGAAGTCATTTCTTTCTGACTGTTAACTCTTCACTGACCTGACTTGTTCTGCTCTGTTTTGTTCCATTTTTTTTATGCAGTGAGTCCCGACAAGGATAACAGAGCCAGAGAGGAGCCCACTGCTGTCCCAACAAAGACTACCACAACCAGCACAACCACTACCAGCCCACCACTTATACGCCTCAGTCCTTGTGCAGGTAATTCCAACAGTCTGATACTAAAATTCATTTGATATCACTGTGTATTAGATTTACTCCATAGACTGTACATTGAATGGGCGTCATCTGCCTCCTCGCTGGGTGAGGATGGACAACTTTGAATTTGAAGCCAAATTGCTCTTTAGTATTTCCGGGATTTTTCTCCACTTCCTGGAACCACCACTTGCACAGTAGCGTTGTACGCATTCAGCGGGAGAGTCGCCGAGAGTTACTGTGATGACGCTCGGCTCAAACAGCGTATCCCCCCGGTCTTCGTACGCCAATTGGCTTCCATCAAGTGTCAATCATAGAAAACATGAACCCCCAAGTAACTTTTAAAAACGGAGCTGTACAAAAAAAAGAGGACTTGAGCACAAACCAGTCTCACAGTAACTACATGTCAACATCACAAGCAGGGGGGAGAAAAATGTATATTCTGTGTCATAAATTTCTAAAGTTCGTCCACGACTCCATAGGAATTGCTAGAGATGGCGGGATTTATGACCTTTACTGCTGCCCGTCAACAGAGGGTGCTGTTCTCGCAGTGGCTTCACCCAGCGAGGAGGCAGATGGCGTCAATTCTATATACAGTCTATGGCAGGGATGGGCAATCATGTGCTATGGAGGGCCAAGAGGCTGCAGGTTTTCTCTCCAACCCAAAACTCCACCAGGTGATTTCACTAATTAGTCCCTGCTCTCTGCTTGGAGGTGAGGTAATCAGTGAAGTCACCTGGTGGAGTTTTGGGTTGGAAAGAAAACCTGCAGCCTCTTGGCCCTCCAGGGCACATGATTGCCCACCCCTGGTCTATGGTGAAGCCTCTGCAGATGCTTGGTCAGCACAGGCATGAGGACGTAAACCTGCACGGAAGACAGAAGGCTTGAGATGACGACTGCTGTAAATTTGCTGCTATATAAAATAAAATTTGATTGATTGATTGATTGAATTGAAACTTAAGATTGACAGTGTCTGAAAGAGCTGCTCTCTCTGCAGAGTACAGGACATTGTAGTGACACTTTGATCAATGTAAATCATTTGAAACAATAGATGACCTGTTCAGGAGCAGCGAAGCCACAGGATTTGAGATGATCTCCTGAAATTGCATTACCTGAGTGGTTGGTAGTGAAGATGCGGCGCTTCTCAATACATTGATTTTGGACAATTAAACCTGATCTGTACGTTTTTTTCTCCTTTATTTACTTCCTGCTGTGAGGCTCCTCTTTGTTCGTCTTCTTCCTCTCTTGGCTACAGCTTAGTGTTTCAGCTTTACGCATAATGGAACTGAGGACAGGATCTCACAGAAGGCTGTATTGAGTGCGAGCACTTGTATGTGCTGCCTGGAGCACAGTAAGCCGGACACATCTGCTCAGTGTATCAGTTCTGCTTTTATTGAAACTAAGCAGGTAAGCAGAGCTCAGAGGAGCTGACGTGATGGCAGATGTGTCTAGCCTGAGGTAATGACGTCAAAAAAGCAGGGAGAGACAGTCAACACTCTGCGTGCAATCCTGTTGCTAAAGTAAAGTCGAAGATGATCTGCTAAAGCTGCAGCATCCTCTTTGGCTAAATATCGAGTGCAGCAAACTCTCAACATGCACAAGTCTTCACCCCAGAGACTCTAACAAAGGCCCGGCTCCTTTCGAGTGGCTGATTGTTAGTTATGAGAATATCCTGGTCAATGAATCGAGCTGCTCTCTGACACTAACTGCTGCATAGCTCAAGCGCTCCTGTGAAATAGTAGTGAAGCAGTTCCTGGTGCATGCTTCTTTGTGACGGGACTATCGAGCTGTTAAATAGCAAGAATTGATTCTGTTGTGCTGAATGTGATGGCTTATGAGAGGCTCCTTCCTGCAGGGGGTGATGATCAGAGCGAGGGTGTGAAGGTGGAGTCCATAGGAGCCTCCGGGAGCGAAACAACAGAACGATGAATTACTAGGACAGCAGAGAAACAGCACAGGGATGAGAAATTTAAGACATTATGAGTGAATGGCTGTCCTGCAGGCGTAACAGTGTGGAGTCATGCTGCTGGTATTTTTGTCTCCCACAGAAAATGGTCCTTGCAGTCAGCAGTGCAGTGTGGTGGCAGGCCGGGCTCGCTGCTCCTGTTTCCCGGGTTTCTCTCTGATGATGGATGGACACATGTGTGAAGGTAAGGCCTGCTGCTCTTCTTCCTGGAAGTAATTGGAGCGCTTGAAAATGCTCGTACGTATCCTTTAAGCTGTCTTCCTCAAAACAGGGTTTGCACAAAGTAACAAACAATCCAATAATGCCGCACACTCCTGTGCAAATGAACAATAACAAACACATACAGCCATGGCAACAGAACATAAGAGCATTGGAGCAGTATGTCCAGAGATCAGGACACTTTTTAATTGGATGCAGTCACTCATGAAGCAGGAAAATGCGGCTCTTTCCGTGCTAAACAATGCATCGACTGATTGAGCTCCAACTTCCTGGTGCCTGGAGCACTAGTCAACCTTAGCCAATTACTCTTGGTGGCAACTAAAGCTGCAAAAACAAACACTTCACATAACATCTGTATGCTTAGCTGAAATCCTTTTATAAAACCGTGTCGAATACCTCGGCACAACAATGCCACAGGCAAAATGACAGGCGGAGGCCAAAAGTTACAGTCAAGCTGTACTGTGGATCACTAGACTATGTATTAGTGTTCAACACCTGCAACATGTAATACTACATTTTTATGATGCTTTATAAATTCTGTTTTTTTATTTATTTATTTTTTAAGAAAGAGATTGTTATCAGGGGCTTGTTTGCTTGTGTTACAGGGATATTCCTGAGTAAAATGAAGTGTCAAACACACCGTTACACCGAGTTAGACACTCCCTCGAGGGATGAATGTTGCTGACTGCTTGCTTTTTCAGTTATACCAACTTTAGAAACCACAAAATAGCAATACACAGCGGTCTATGTCTCCACGTGCAAACCTCAACCAAAAAGTCACTCTATAGCCACAAATAATGCTCAGAACAGCACCTAACTTCATCAACAGCACATACAGGGTCCCAGTCATAGTACTAGCCATCAGACATCTTTTTAGCTTTGCCCGGTTTCTTTAGCAAAGAGACCAAATACAACTCACCCACTCTCCTTCAGCAGCCGCTTGTTTGTAGGGGGAGCCCTGACAAGTCGATCACTGAGTGCAGCGGATCATTTCCTTAAAGTAATAATCACCATAATAATCATTTTGCACTGCAGATGCGGTAGTTCTTCTGCCTTAGCATCTCGGTCAGTTTGCATGTCCATGAAATAATGATCATAACTGTTCTTGCCTGAGCTGTGAAACTCTGCAGCACTTGTTTGTAGGGCTCCCCTACAAACAAGCTGGAGAATCAATCACCTCTTTTTTTTTTCCTGTTTTTCCTCTTCTCTTCTTCTCTTTCTTACCTGTGCACCAGAGGGTTTCCTCTTGCTGGACAAAGAAAAAAACAATTAAACAGTGCATCACTGTGACGCGCTGTTTTGTTGGTCATTGTCATCACAGCATCAGCGTGCTGCCTGAACGTGCTGCAGGGCTAAACAAAAAGACAGTCCAGCTGCAGGGGTGTTCGTTCTTTATATATATATATATATATATATATATATATATATATATATATATATATATACACACACACATATATATATATATATATACACACATTTATTTATATTGACACACACACACACACACACACACACACACACATATATATATATATATATATATATATATATATATATATATATATATGAGTAAGAACTTAAATGGAAAATAATAATTTAACAAGAAGAAAATGTTTGGTGATCCCCCCCCACCACCACCTATCACCCTAGGCGATCGCCTGGTCTGCCTAGTGAAGGAGCCGCCTCTGCTGCTAGATGCAGGATTTGGTCATGGTTTCCTAACAACATATCTATTAGAGCTTTATAAGGAAGTAAAACACCATATTAGGTATTAGGCATATGTAGCTAACACTTAAATGTAGTCTCCTCCACTGGTCCAATGATAAATGTTTCCTTCATGAAGGTGTGACAAATAGTTTTTGTTCCAGCATGAAAAGGTGTTGATTTAACTTTATGGTAGTTTTGGGGGCAGTAGTTTTTGCTGCAACTGAATTAGCTCTGTTTTACTAAGAGGGTTGTAGGCTTCCCTGATTGAGATTAACAATTAATTGAATCATCCTCTTTTGAGGAGATACAAAAACTTTTTTTTAAGAAAATAAAAAATATATATATTTTGAAGGTCTCTGCTAGACTGGGAGTGCTGCAGCTGAGAGTTAAAACGAGTCACTGAGAAAAAGCTTCATAGCAAAGATGGATGATCCACATTAAACCTTCCAGAAAAAAAAAGTCATTGTTTTCACACCATTATGGTTTTCCATACAGCAATATGTTCCCTGCAGGGGTTAGTTAATTGATCTGTGAATTTGTAACAGGGCATGAAGTTGTGATTTGAAGTGATGTATAGCCCTTCTCAGGAATCCAGTACATGCCTGTTCAATAAATGTTGCTCGTCCAATTGTTCCTCACAGCACATGTACTTTTAAATCTGTGCAGTATGTTATTATAGAAATAGAGATGAGTGGAAAGTTAATGATACTTACATAGGAAGAGTTTTGCTTGTTAATTTGCATTTTATTTAAACACGTGCTGCTAATTACCAGAAGCCTGCAGTGGAAAAGGGATTTCCCTACAAAATGATTATATACAGTCAAAGTTTATTTAAACTGTCTGTCAGGCAGCCAATGGGCAGGTATCTCTGTATGCATACACTCTCCATAAGAGTGAGCGTTTCCTTCTAATCACTTCATTCAGAGAGTAGGACCCTCTCTATAAAGTGTTTCCACATGTGAACATGTGGGTGGGCAACTCTGGGTCTGGAGAGGAATGAAGTAAAGCCAATTGTACTACAAGATGTGATTGTGAGGGGGTATTAGAGGACTTGATGGAATTATCTGCAGACCGTGGAGTAAACTGTGGAGTACCTGCTGATGTGGGTCTGTCATGCAGTCTGTGAAAACCATTATGAATGATTAACACTTTACATGATTGCAGAATCTCAGACTGTGATGATTTAATTCACAGATTAGTAGTTTGTATGAAGCCGTTAATATGTCTTTTGAATTATCAGCTGTACATGAATGAGAGGCTAATTCAAGGCTTTCACACATAAATGTTCCCAGATGATGTGTGTATGTAGGTGTGTGTGCCAAAGAGAGTAAACCGTGTGAAGAAAGATCATGTATCACCTTAAACCGCCAATGTGTTGATAGACAGTCACAGTTTTTCAGGCTGTGAATGAATATTTGAATGTTTTTGTCAAACACAAACAAAAACACTCTGGCAACTTCAAATACAGGAATCATGGAGGTTTCAAGGTCTAACATGTGAGGTTGCCACCCTCACTTATTATCAAAATTTCCATACAAGCTATTCTGAACAAGTGCAAGGCTGAATTTGTTTTTGTGGGGGAGCTGCATAATTCAAAACGTGAGGATCAGCCTTGAGAGCTTTTACCTGAATGAGACCTTGTATTTAATATTTGCCAAGACCAACTGCATTATTCTCCCTGTGGCCACATTCTAGCATGAATTCTGGGTTTACATCCTGGAAATCCTTGAGAGCAGTATTTTATCTGCCCTGCCAAACACTGCAGAGGATATTACCACTGACTTTTACCACACAGTTTTCAGACCAGAGAAACTGTTAAACCAACAAAGAGCAGGACCTTATTCAAGGTAAAAGTCATCTCTTTACTATTACACAAATCATGCACACTTGGTGCAGTTAGTGTAATCTTTCTGTGGAGAGTGGGGACATTTAAGTGTGATCCAACTTCATCTCATGGCTTTCCTCAACCAGAGAAGATGCTCTGGCACCAGGGAGGGGTTGTTAAAGTAATTAGAACTGGTTTCACCAAGAACAGTGACCATCTGATCAAGCAAGAACAAGCTGTCCTTTAGATGTGTAAGTTTGTCTTGATAAAGTAAAGTATTTGTGTGCTACACCATCTTGCATTGCTGCAGTTTCTCAGCATTCACAGACTTAACCACAGATGAAGGTCACATGATTAGGCAATCTTAACGTTATTTAAATCTTACATGTTGGGGGAGGGGTTGTTACATTGATAATCTTTTACCACATCCCACATAAACAAACAGAGAACGATTGTTAACATCTGCCAGTGATTTATAATAAAGGGCTGTGTGATAGTGTGATATAATGCAGTGGTTCCCAAACCTTTTTTCCCCAGGGCACACAGAAGGACAAGTAAAAATCACACGGCAAAACATTGTGCAAAATAGCCTTTTTAGCATGTGTTATCACTCAGACCATGTAAAAAAAAAAAAAAAATTATATATATATCCTTTTTTTTTTTTTTTTTTTTTTAATATATGCACATTATATATATATATATATGTATATAAAATGTGCACTATTATTCACTGATGCTAAATTAGATGAGAAAAAGACAACTGTATTACTCATGAAATAGTATTTATTAACGAAATATTTCAAAAATTAATTTTGAACTTCATCAAATTCGGCTTCATCAAAGCAACAACACACCATTTTGAACATGACAGGTCACACAATTAAAATGAGGCAAAGGAAACTCAGTAGAAATACATGTTTTTATTCCTGCCCTGAAGCTTGGTGTTTAACTCGTTGAGATGCCTAAATATGTCTTCAAGGTAAGCCAGCCTGGTGCGCCACCTCTCATCCGTGAGCTTGTTCTTATGTGGGACAGCGTGCTCACGTGAAAATTCTAAAAGCTCTCCCCGAAGCGCATAAAGACAGGATAAGACTTCCTCCCATGACAGCCAACGTACCTCTGTGTGGGGGATCGGTGGTGGGTTGTCAGCAGTCTCAGTTCTGGTGGTTTGTGGTTTGCTCTGCACAAGAGAGCGCTCAATTTTCCCTTGTGCGGGTTTTTATGTTTTTATGTTGTTTTATAATTCCCGCTTGCACAACTGCGTAAACAGCGAAATATGTGGATCTCAATTAGATTTTTTTTAGGTTTAGAGTTTGCTTCTGTATTTTGAAATGAGTGCAAACAAAGTACAGATATAGTAAATGAAAAAAATATTTCTGTGTGTGTGTAGTTGTATATTGCAATGATAATGTAGGCCTATGGTTATCACATAATCCCATGGCACACCCAGAATGGCCTCATGGCACACCGTTTGGGAACCAGTGATATAATGTTATTCCAAATACTGGAAACCAAGGAACAGTTAAATTTGATCAATATATGATAATTGTATTGGAAAAAAAAACAACAAAAAAAACCCCAACAAGTTATACATATCCAGTAGGCCAAACTGTGATGATTACATTGAGTGGTCGACCAGTATCATTTTCCAGTTACAGTTTATCACAACCTTGAAAAAACTTGGTAACTGTTGAGTTCTGGTGTCCATCACATTGGTGCCAGGGTTACAGTCATAAAGAAAGTCATGACAAAATAGGAAAAAAATACTCTTCCTTCAACAGCTTGCATTAAGCCTGCTGATGTTGTAGAGAGACACCATTACAGAAAACAGCTGCTTGTTAACTTCTGGTTATTGGTCATATTGGTCTATCTATGATAGTTTGTTGGGGTACAGGATTAGCAGAGGGAAATGTGGTCAACAGGATTTGGAGGGTGCCCAGTAAGAATGGTCCAGCTGTAGATTATCAATCCTCAAAGGTGCAGCACAGCTAACAGGAGAGCTTTATGGAGATGTCTGTCAACACTGGAAAGGTCTGATCGCTGAAATAAATGTGAGTGGACCGTGAAAGCAAAGAGGCTTTAAAGCAGCTCTTCAGGGGGCAGCCAGATCATTTGGCCCAGTTCAGCAATGAGAGCTGCTGTTCCTGCTCCCAAACACCTTTTAATTCTGTATCACTTCTGGCCATAAATCAGCTGAGTGTAGCAATGTTCTGACCTGTGATTGATTCGTAGCCTCATTTTTCAGTTAATCTTTCCATTTAAATAAACTTGAAAATTAAACTTGTAATGATGCCAGAAGTTTTCTTGATGTCTGGGACACCTCAGTTATAGTAAAGTTCCAAACTCTTGTCAGTATTGTGTGATTCTCCGTATATTAAATTACTTGTTGGCTACATTCACATTAATGGACATGCTTGGCTCCTTATGCTATTACTAAATTGACACATGTAAGAAAAATATTTAAAATGTACACTGTAGGATCACCTTTCATTCTGTCCTGAATTACAGTAGTTTAAGGGCAAACTAAACAACCCAAATTCACTTTAATCTCTCCCCGCATGTCTCTTATCGCTATGTTTTGATAAGCAAGAACATTTAAAACTAAATGGAAATAAAACCAAAATTATTTAGGGGGAACAAAGGAGCCAGGAAAGAACTTCATTTGACGACTAAAGAAATATCCCTGAAGTCAGACCTTGTTGGTCCCACATAGTAATCCAAAGACCCCAACCTTTAGTGTAACTTTCAATAATTACTTTACTTTTTAGCCTTCGTCTGCATTTTTTATGTATTGTTCTACAACTTTTTCTCAATTTGTTTTCTAACAGTTAATCTTGTTTTTCACTCCCACATATTTATTCATTTATTTTGATTTATTGTTTTTATTATTGGTAGAGCTTTTACAATTTTTCCATTGCTGTTGTGTCCTGTCTCTGTTCCTTTGTAAAGCATTTTGGCTGCTTGCCTGCATGAATGGGGGTGTTATAAGAAGACAATTGACTTGATGCAATTTAAATTGTCTTGATTTTAGTTGAGTTGAGCTGAGTTAAGCCGAGTGGGGTTGAGTTGTGTCGCGTCATTTCAGCTTGAGTTAAGTGATGTAAATTTGAGATGAGTTTAGATGAGTTGAAGACCCACTCCGATGAAAATCTTGTTTTTCTTGTTGTCTACATGTTCATATGGTATTTTTCTGATGCTACAGGACAAATCATGAGAAAACTAAATGCGAAATTGCTTTTCTGAGCCAATCCAAGCTCAGAAAGGTAATTATGATATTAGCTTTCACCATGTCCCTAAAGACATTAGTGTCCAAGAGCTGAATAGCTCCTATGTTACCTGCCACTTCTGCAAAGGTAGCGTCTTCCTCACCTCAGATCTCAGTGCCCAGTCATGTCTCCTCACCATCAGCTGCTAACTGTGTAGATGCGTATGTATGTGAAGTTGTGTGTGTGGAAATGTATGTCTATGTTCACGGGTGTGTGTGTATGGGTATAATTGTGTGGGTGGGAGGTTTGGGGTTTTCTTGGGGATTTTAATGTTTCATTTTGTTTTTTTTGCTTTGTAAGGCACTTTGTGTAACAACTTGTAGGAAAAGTGCCATATAAATAAAATAAAGTTGAAGTTGAAGTTGCTGCACAGGCTGCAAGCCAATGTAAAGATGGGTGTGCAGAGCAGGACTGTCTTCGACCATGACTCAGAGGTGAATTGCTCATGATCTACTGGAGCTCTGCAGAAGAAAAGCCCTTGAAAATGACAGTTAATGTGATTGTGGCTGAAAACTTAATAATCACAATTTGAAGACCACTGAGAACAGTTTTAGTTAAATATAAAAGATCGGAGTGGGACTTTAAGTCGCATTAAGTTGAGTTGAGTTGAGCTGGGTAAGGTTGAGTTGGGTTGGATTGGGTCAGGTTGGGTCAGCTAGTTAAATTGAGTCAAGTCAAGTTGGCTTGGGTTGAGGTGAGCCAGGTTGAGTTAAGCTGAGTTGAGATGAGTTGAGCTTAACTGAGTAGAGCTTAGTTTGGCTGAGTTGAGTTGAGCTTAATTTAGTTAAGCTTAGTTAAATTGAGTTAAATTGAGTTGAGCTTAACTGAGTTGAGCTTAGCTGATTGAGTTGAGCTGAGTTTAATCGAGTTGAGTTTAATCGAGTTGAGTTGAGTTGAGTTGGGCAAAGTCCAGTCAAGTTGTTCTTCACTGAAATGAGCAGAGTTGAAGAGGCCTTTCAGGGCCCACTCATCAGAACACATGGTTTCTGCAGAAAAGACATTGTTCTCATATTTTTTGATTGGCAAGATACCACACAATAAGACAGACCTAATGGAAAAGGAAATATTTCCAACTGCATGATGCCATGCTGTTATCAATCCTGTCATCTTCTGAGATTCTGCTTTTCAAAAACAAGTCTTCACACTGTGATGTGAATCAAACCTCCTGAATTTGCCCTTAAACACTCTGTACACTTTCATTTAGTCTTCAGTGACCAACAATGCCTCCCTAAATCTCAACCAGGAAGGGAAAAAACACCTTGAATCAATAAAGTTCAGGTTCTCACAGGGCTTAACAAATTACATTTCCCCTGTTAGAAATAAATAGAAGGTAGTTTGTAGTAGATTTTTAACTTCACATGGTAGATTTGCATAAAAGCAAGAGGTAGTTGTTATTCGTCACATGCAAACATGGCCAAGGTTTCTACCAAATACTGCGTACATGTTTTCCACTATGTTTCTTCTTTATGGCACAACATCCTGCTTCATCCCTTGTCACAACGATGGGGAAATCATGCACACGGCCTGGGAACCTCCAGTCCCTCCGGTCTCCATCTTTGTAATCCTGACCTTCTTGTCAAAACCAAATCTGCAAATACGCCAAGGCTGACTTCACTACCTCAGCTTGAACTTTTCAAAACCTCATGGTCTGTGGGCTCAGATGTGAAAGAACAACAGGGTGTGTGTTTACCTCTGTGTCTAATCGTTCTGCCTCTCAGACAACTCTCCATGCAAAGCCTCCTCTGGCCTTTCCATGGAATTCTTCCAAGGCTGCTCTCTCCCCTCTGTGTTTAAGAAAGCTTTTTTATTTTTCAGAAAATAGAGTCCTTGTTTCCACCTTGCATTGGATCACTTCACTCCTCACTGCTGTGTAATGTGGGAGTCCCTGGGGGGAAGGAACCTTGAGGCAATGGGCGTTTTTTTCTGCGTTATTTCCCTTTTTTTCACTCTCAGAATGACGCACTGGAAATCACGCTGGCCACCAGAGTGGAAGAAGGAGGTGACTCTCTGCATGACTGGCAATACACAAACATTGGACACAGTCCCATCCATTCCTAAGCTTGACAGGGAGTTAGACCCAGAGGATGAGGCAGAAACAGCCCTGAGTTTTCTTTGCCCCTGGAAATATCCTCCCTGCAATGAAGACAGCAGATGTCTCTCGGTTGGGGAACAAACGGGGACATTTGCAAAGGCAGGCCCCAAACGGGAGTACGTCACCCCTGAGCTGCCTGTACAGCCAACTGAAAGTCCTGTAGACTTTACAGAGGGTTACACAGTGTCAGAAGAGGAGTGTGTTCATTTAAGTGAGTAAGATAAATGTGTTTTCTGCAGCTCCTAAGAGGCCTCATATAATAGAATAAACTGTGCTCTGTGCTGAGAGAGGTGATGCCTGTGAAGTTCTCTGAGGTGAATAACCTTACAGGGAAAGAGCTGCAGGATGTTTCTCACACACCAGGTGCACAATGAGAAGCTCAGATCAGTGTTTTTCCTCCTGCTGCTCCTGGTTGGAAGGTGTTGTGAGACAGTTCATTCAAATTCCCTGAAGCAAAAGCTTTGAAAGTCGAGAGAGGGATTCCAACGAGGGACTGCCAAAAGATACAAAGGCAACACAGGAGAATATGTTCCCCTCTTGTTTCCTCCTTTTGTTCTTCAGCTTTAGCTCCTTCATGCAGATTTGTTCAAGGCCTTTTTCGTCTGGTTCCCTGTGGAATATTTTTGGGGGAATATTCATATCTGACTGCTGAGCTCCTGCAAGCATGGAAACACGCAGATACACTTGCCATATCCCCAGTCCAACGCTATCGGTGCATCCAGCTAATCGGCCATGCACTATGATGCATGATAAGGGTATGCTGCGTTTTGATAAAGAGAAGCCACAGCACAGCCACGATCTGCTGTCTCGGCATGAGCAGGCCGGTGTCATAAATCAACAGGGCCTGTTTACTGGCTGCAGAGCTGTTTGGCTGATAAAGATTAAAAGGTTTGCAACTGCGAAGTTTATTTCACACAAACAAGCATCACAAGCAAAACACCACTTAGCTTTTGCCAAGACCTGATATTTTAAATCTGACCGGGGATTTACGAAGCAGCCGTGTCAAAAGTTATGATGGCACGCCAAACAACAATCCATGATGGATTCTGGGTGGATATACAAGCTGTGTGAGTTATAGCAAGAACAAATCTCCATTTAGACAGACAAGCAAAAGTTTAGTTGGCCTGTTTTATTTTTTTAAACACATATATTCATGTCATCTTTGAGAATCATGGCTTCTGCTCTGAGCTGGACAAAGTATTATCTAGTCGGGGATGAAAATAGATCAAAAAATGTATTTAAATTCACTGACGGTGCCGCCTCTCAGTAGATTTATCAGTAAGGTTGCCTTTATTTCTTTACCTTATCATTGTTTTAAAGTTAAATCATCACTGTAGCTATCACAAGAGGACAGTAAGGCTGACTTTGAGCCTGACAAACAAACAGAAAAAGGACATCAAGCTTTTAACCTCAACAGCCACTGAGTTCGCAAAAGATATTATAAAGTAACTGACGTCCTTGTTGTTTTCACAGGAGTTCTCATTCAGGTTAGCCAAATAGTCCAAAACATAGACTGTATATACTATGGACAACTTGGCTCCGCCTTCCGCCATGATAAGAATTTAAAGCTGAATTGCTCTCGGTATTCCCGAAGTTTTCTCTTTAGCGTTGTAGGCATTTGGCGGGAGAATCATGGTGAAGATGCTCTGCTCAAACAACGTATTCCCCCGGTGAGCTACGTAAACTTTGTACGCCCATAGGCTGTATCAAGTGTCAATCATAGAAAACATGAACCTCCTAATAACTTTTAAAAATGGAGCTGCACAGAAAAAAGAGGACTTGAGCACAAACCAGTCTTACTGTAACTGCATGTCAACATCGCAAGCAGGGGGGAGAAAAATTTATATTCTGTGTAATATTTATCCAAATTTTTCCACGGCTCCATAAGGATTGCTGGAGAAGGCGGGATTTATGACCTATACTGCAGCCGGTCACCAGAGGGTGCTGTTCTTGCAGTGGCTTCACCCAGCGAGGAGGCAGACGGCGTCTATTCTATATACAGTCTATGATTACACCAAAAGAAAGAAAAAGCTCTGACAGCAATAAGAGGGTTTGGTACTGCTCATCACAGGATAACAGAGTCTACAGGAAAACAATGTTGAATGGGTTTGTACAGAGTGGCTCATGCTGGCACAGCTAGTACCACCAGCTTTTTGTCTGCCTTGCAGGTTGATTTCGACCTGCTTCCATCTGTTCTTGAGAAATAAAGCTACACATATAAACACATATAAAGCTTAATTGTACACATATTCTATACCTAGACTGTAAGCTATGTGGTGTCAGCATTTCAATGAAGGCGACCACCAACCATCACCAATGGGCTTCAAAACTCAGCTGGGCTCTGTGGTCCCCCTGCCTCTGCTTGCTATGCATTCTTCCTGTCAAGTAAACCGGACTCTGGCAGACTAAGTAACTAATCTCATTTGTCTTCTTCAAACCACTGCCAAACTGGCCCACCCAATTTTCTCTATTATCAATCTTTATTCAATCAATCTTTATTTATATAGCACCAATTCACAACAAGTGTTATCTCATGACATTTAACAAAAACAGTTGGTCTTGACTAGACTCTGTTTACAAAGACCCAATGTAAAGATGGGATCAGACTGAGCCTCCTTTGTAAGATCAGACCCACTCCCACCCCATCTTAAACCACATGAGGGAAACACTTTATAAAGCACTGAGAGAGTTACAGTGGAGAGGAAGAACTTGCAATGTAATTTAACAGACAATGTCATTTACAGGCAGAAACCTTGAGCAGAACCAGAGTCATGTCATGTTAGACAGTCATCGGCTGAGACTGAGCTGGGTTTAGAGAGGAGAGAGAGAGAGAGAGAGACAGACAGAAGAGAGACTAAAAAATGCTGTGTTAGTGACTGTAATGGGACATGATATTTCAAAGCTTGTTACATAAAAAGAAAGAGGATGGAGAAAGAGGTAAAGGTGCTTCGTGTACCAGTACCTCCAGCAGTCTAAACCTGTAGCAGTGAAACTAAGAGCTGGTCCAGACCTGAACCAGCTCAAACTATGAGCTTTATCAGGATGTAAGTGTTTGTTTACATCCTGATAGTAGGGCATTACAGCAGTGTGGCAGCGGCTGTTAACCAGAGTATAGCTATAGTGCTGCCCTCTAGGGGCTGGCCGGGCATTACCGTAGACACAACATAAGCCTGGCATTTTAGACCAACTTCACTGAAAATACGAATAACTTAACCATTTAAGTGACTTGTACTTCTTATGTTTCTTTGACTAAACACACACATCCCTCGAGTTTACACAGTATGTTTAACGCCATTGTGCAGATTAAAAAAACTGTGGATCAATCTGGAATTTTCACGTCCGTCCGTGTAAATTCAACTGCAGTGGTTCTTAACTTTTCCTTATACACATCAAGCAGGCACTGAACAGAGTACAGCACTTGTTGTAGTGTGAGATTTTGGCAGCATGGCGGTGTAAAATCCATGTTCCCTTTTTTAAGCTTCGTATTGGTCTTTGTGTATTTGGTTCTTTTTGCTCTACTTACTTCACGTATCTTGGCAAGCTGCTCTGATTGTTTTGATCTCTCCGGATTACAGATTGATGAGAGGAGAAATGGAACCAAAATATTTATGTTGTAGGTCTTCAAAAACAAATCAGCAAGCTTTAGGACAAAGACCGCTCCACAAGGCTTTTGTTATTGGCCCGATTGAGGACATAAATATATTCAGGATTATTGCAACAGACCATCCATATAGTTTGTGCAATTATAAATCATCATCGTGGAACGCCATGATTTGCCAACAGATGAGTCAGTTCACCTCCAATTTAAGAGAAAGTATCCTGAAACTGTCTAAACTCTGTCATGATTTTATGTGTGAGGGGGGCTTTGGAAAGAAAACACTGTCTGTGCTGTGTTTGTGAGCTCAACTTCCCAGCACACATTCATCTCTTTGCCTCTACGATGGCCAGCACTGTCAGAGGCTGTGAGGCGAAATGCAAATGATGATAATCTCCAAAAACCTTTCTTCTAAACTTTCTTTCAAAGACAGCACAAACAATGATTTTGCAAACCACTCTCACGTGGGTTTGACTGCACAAATGGATAACTTGTTTTTTTCCAGTCAACCTTAAAAGCAAGTGTCTCAGCCTGAGACTCATGAAAGCTTCGCAGCCAGTGATTATCGCGCAGGCAAGAGCAAAATGTATAATTTGCTAGTATTCCTCAAATTCGTATAATGACTTGCTTTGTTAGTTTCCTGAGGATTATTTTGCTGACGTCAATCTGCTGCTGACTCATTGAGCTCCATTATAGTAACAGTGGCAGTCAGAGAGAAGAACTAAATCCAGGCCTGTCCATCAACAGCTTCAGGTTGCTGGGTGTGCTTCACTCCTCTGTCCACCTGACCTTCTTCCCTGTAATTTTACACACACACTCTCACCTCTTCTCTTACAGATGTGGACGAGTGTGTGACCAACACCCACAGCTGTCGTCCCAGCGAGCGCTGCGTGAACACAGTGGGCTCATTTGTCTGCGAGCTACAGGTCACTTGTCCTGCAGGATACCGGCGGAGGAACAGTGTTTGTGAAGGTGAGGTCACTGTAACTGATGTGCTTCATGAAGCAGAGTGACTCAGCAGTCATTTCCAGAGCTAAAGATTAAGTCTGTGATGTCTTCTTCTTCAACAAGCACAAAAGAGCTTCAACTTAAAGAGGTTTGATACAGCAGAAAGTACAGTCATGCAAAACCCTTTTACAAGATCTTTCCTCGGTGTACCTCTAAACCAAGCCCCTCTGTTAACACCATAAACACTGTGGCCAGGAAAAGTGTCATAGCCTACTTTGGTCACAAGTTTACAACTTCTAGAAACTTTACAAAACTTCAAATAATGTCAAAAATATAACATTTCAGAGCTGAAAATATGAATCTCTTATGGTTGCTTATTGCAGATTATAATAAGAATAGATTGTTACTTTTTTATCTCATCTTGCATTAAAGAGTTGAATAATGTTAAAGGGATATTCCGGCATAAATTTAAGTTATGGTCAAACATACTGTAACACCGAGTTAGACACCCCCTCAAGAGATGAGTGTCGCCAACTGCTTGCTTCTCTAGTTATACCAACTTCAGCAACGACCGCACACTAGCAATACACAGTGGTCTACATCCCCACACGCAAACCTCAACCAAAAAGACTCATCAGGGCTCGAGGGGGTGTCTAACTTGGTGTTACGGTGTGTTTGACCATAACTTAAATTTGCGCTGGAATATCCCTTTAAAAAAAATCAATGTGGCCCTGATTTAATCTGTGCTGTTTACTGGAGAATGTGTACCTTAGACTGTTTAAGTAGGACTCACTATCTTCCTGTGTTACCACTTGTGTTGTCACTAGAAATATCCTGGAGAAGACCTGGAAAAAAAAAGAAAAACAGGAAAATGTGGAAACCCTGGTCTACATATTTATAGTCAGTAATGACGAATGAGGCAAAAAAAAAAGTTAAAATCTTTTCAGATGACGGAAACAGTTGATCTTTAGCTCAATATCCATCTTTTTTAAAGGGCTAATTCAGTGAAAAACTGCCTCAAAAGTTTGAAGAAAATTATTCGAAGTAATGCTTTTATTTGGCAAACACCTGATGAGCCAGACTCTCCAAAAGTAAAAAAAAGATCCCGTGGCACACCTCGAGCTAACAAGAATTTTTATATTTTGTTGGTTTAATCCAAAAGAGTGTTCTGGACTTGGTCTGCATCGAGCTGGTTTCCTGGCATCATGTTAATTAGCAGCAATTTAAAGTTCTGGTCCATAGATTTTGTAACCTAAATGGGGCGCTCACACCAAGCGCAAGTAAAATCATCTACTCGCTTAATTTAGGCGAACAGGCTGTGATGGACAAAGGTTTTTTACATCTTACATCAGGTAATCCGTCCTTTTTATTCCGTTTGCGGTAACTGAAAGAAATGTATCGTATGATTCGGGGCACCCACACACCAACACGGTCAGTTTGTCCTCCATCTTACGTCACCCGGCAACCTTAGTGTTGATTAGTCATCGCGACACGAATATTTGCTCAAGTCGAGACATTTTCAGCTCCCGCCTAATTTGCGTCATTCATGCCGCCAGAGTAGTACGAGTGTCTAATCATGTCTTTGCATTGACTTAACATGTAATTCAGTCGCGCAAATGATTTTACTCGCGCTTGGTGTGTGACTTTCAGGGGATCATTCACTTACAAATGTATCTATCACCCTTAAAAGATGCTTTTGTTTGTGTTTGAGGGTCAAACTCAGTACTTCTGGTTTCCAAGTAATTCAAAGAGGACCCTGCAATATTCAGCACATTTGTCCAACACCCCTGGCTCAATCTTTGGGACAAAAATGGATGCCTCTGCATGCAGACACAAGCTATTCTGGTCCACGAGTTTGTCATCATATCCCCGGTGTGTGTCTCTGTCTAATTGTACCCAGAAACCCAAAATAAGTTGTCCTTATAGAGCCCCTTGAGCTCACACAAATCCCTGAATACCAATGCAGCGCAGTGCATCATTGATAGGTGTTAAGGGTATTCAGGCATTATTTATGGCAAGCAGTTGTTTTCAAAGAGGCTCCTCAGCAGAACCAGGATAAATTATGCAGCTCAATTTCACCCTCAGTCCCAGTGTAGATAAATACGATCAACATAAATGACTTAAATCCTCAGAGTAAAGCATCCAGGAGAGATTATTAATCATTTTCATTCTGAGATTTTAGCTGTACTGTAAAAAAATCTCAGGTCATGACCCAAACTCAGCTCAGTCAGCAAGACTTCATTAATATTTCTGCTGTTTTGGCCTCCGTGGCTCTGTTTGTAGTTGAGCAGATGCCCGGGTTCAATATGTGACAAGGTAATCACCCAGAGAGGCAGTATTGTGCAGGCGGGAAAGCACTTTGTAGCTCTGTGACTTGTGTCACCAGCACTTGGCAGCCGGCAGGACCAATCAATGTAGCAAGATAATGAAAGTAATATTTAGTCGACCATCCAGCACGGGGGGGGGACTAATTAGCTGCTTGAGAGGGAAGACTGATGGCTGCTGTTGCATTGGAAATGTATCTCCCTGATGATGACTGTTGAAGGAAAAACTAAATGAAGACCTCCTGATTATCTGACGCGGGGTGAGACTCCGAGGACTCAAGATTGTACAAACCTTTTAAAAAAATCTGTCTTGCGCTTAAAAGGACAAATGTTTCATTTGAACTCTGTCCATTGCAGGGAGATTCAATACCTGTCAATTAAAGAGTTCTGCTTAACTTCTCTTAATTGCAAAGTGGGAAAGAAACGGTATTTCCATAGGAGTGGATATTTTCCTCAAGTTAAACAAAGTGTGAATGAAAGAGAAACATTTCCTGGGCACTGCGTGTTTGCTCTGAGCTTGAACCACAGTGCCACCTACTGTTCTGTTAGCAAACTGCAGCTGAGATACTTGAAAGTATACGTAAACGTTTAATTCAAGTGTGGATCATTTTGTTTTTTTAATGATGACATTTATAAGATTTATGATCCTCTTTTCTCTCCTCCAGACATTGATGAATGTGCTCTGCACACCCATAACTGTGGGATGGGTTTTGTGTGTAAGAACACCATGGGCTCTTTCCTGTGTAATCCCAAGCAGAGGTGCATGAGCGGCTTCACACAGGATTCTCATGGCAACTGTATCGGTAAGACTCAGTCAGCAGGAGACTTTGAAACATCTGTGGCACTCCGAATCCTGCTGGCAAAATCTAAACCACTCTCTTTTACTTTTCAGCCTGTGACCTCAAAATAGTAATGTTAGGCATGTAGGCCAATCCAAAATGGACATAAGAAGAAGATAAATAAACACAACAGCCAGACCACCAAAGTATCACTAAAGAGGCATTTAAGAAAGGCTAGAAGTTGGATACAGGTGATCCATACATGTAGACTGAAGCAGTGAAATAACTATTGAAGAAACAGACACAGACATGAGTCTGTTTGTGTCTCAGCTTCATACTGGCTCATAGTCAGAAACTTATTTTATTTGCATGACTTTTATTAATTGCAGCTCATGTGAGAAGCTTTTTTTTGGTATGAAATAAATTAAAACTTATAGTGATTGCCTTTTTGGAAAAGCAGACAGGCTGCATCTTTTTTTACCATTTCTATACTGTGATTTTTTTCATGCCTGAAACTGGTAGTGAAGTTTATGTCAGAGGACTCTGCCTATGCACTTAGAGGATGAAGTTAATGTCGCATTCACACCAAGAGCTAAAGAAAGTATCTGCGCGACTGAATTACATCCATAGACTGTATATACTATGGATAACTTGGTTCCGCCTTCCGTCATTATACAAATTTGAAGCCAAATTGCTCTCAGTATTTCCAAGATTTTCTCCACCTCCTGGAACCACCACTTGCGCAGTAGCGTTGTATGCATTCAGCGAGAAAGTCGCTGTGAGTCACTGTGATGACACTCGGCTCAAATAGTGTATCTCCCTGGGTGAGCTAAGCAATCTTCGTACGCCCATCGGCTGTATCAAGTGTCAATCATAGACAACTTGAACCCCCTAATAACTTTTAAAAATTGAGCTGCCCAGAAAAAAGAGGACTTGAGCACAAACCAGTCTTACAGTAACTACATGTCAAAAATCGCAAGCAGGGGGGAGAAAAATTTATATTTTGTGTAATAAATTTCTAAAGTTTGTCCACAGCTCCATAGGGATTGCTGGAGAAGGCTGGATTTTTGACCTATACTGCAACCCGTCACCAGAGGGTGCTGTTCTCACAGTGGCTTCACCCAGCGAGGAGGCAGACTCTGTCCATTCTATATACAGTCTATGATTAGATCAAGTCAATGCAAAGATGTGATTGGGCGCAGCAGATTTCCACGTTCTTGTGGTCCCTTGAAATATATTTTTGATACATAAATTAAAATTATATTAAAGTAAAATCTTACATCAATAGTTTTGTCAGGTTAGATGGTCATTAAGTGACAACTATCAACCCAAACATTTCAAGTCTGACTCAGCCAGAGATCACAAAACAGTAATTGTGGTCTTGTTTAAATCAACAGTCGTTTCCTGCTTGGATGCACTGAGCCAAAAGTGCTCCGTGATTATCAGTGAAACTTTTATATCCTTCATTTCCTGCATGAAAAGAATTAAAGCCAGCTTTACTTTGAATGTTTAAAAGGATCATCTTAAGACTCAGCAACATTAAAAACTACTATTGAGTGCAATAACACAACTGTTTGTGCATCTGGTGCAGTATAGATGTGTCACTGAGGATAGACAACTTCTTCAGATGTCCTCAAATATAAACTTGAAAATCTGTTGTGTCTTTCCAGCCGTCTACATCTTAATTTTCCCCAGGCTCATCCATTTGTAACAATTTTAAGAATTTTGTCTCTGCTTTTTGAACACTATACAGGACTTTGTGGATACATTTAAGGTGCTTTACCAGTTCACAGAGGGTGGTTTAAAAAGCAGGACTTATTACATTCAGCTTTGCAATTTTTGCGAATATCATTCACTTACTACAAAGTCCTTCTGAATAAATTCACATATGCTGAATCTTGAATTCTCCATCCACTTTAATACCACTGCTCCTGACAATTGAAAACACATCATACATAAATATATACCACTAATAAGTCAGCCGGTGTGCACCATTACATTATCCTGGTGGTCATAAGTACAGGCCTGTCATTCAGGATTAAACATCCTCACAATCACTCGCCTGTAAAGCCTTGACTTCCTTCACTGTCTTCAGGTTTTATCCTCTCTCTCTCTCTCTCTCTCTCTCTCTCTCTCTCTCTCTCGCGCACTCTCTATCTTTCTTTATGCAGACATAAACGAGTGCAGCAGCCTGAGTGAGCCGTGCAGCCCCGGCTCTAACTGTATCAACACAGTGGGCTCCTACACCTGCCAGAAGAAGGTCATAACCTGCAACCATGGCTACCATGCCAGTTCGGATGGAGCCAAGTGTGTTGGTGAGATTAACCTCAGTAGCACAACAGCATGGACAGAGGAGGCGGGAACTATAGCAAAATGTGAATGAAAGCATCGAGGTTTGTGGCTGGAACAGGAATACTCTATTCAATGGTCACAAAGTACCGAGAAAAAGACAAAATGTGCTTCAGTATCGTCCTTCTATTCAGAAGAAGACCCAACAATAAGAATTAAAAACTGCATTCAGTGCTGATGAAAATATCAAGCATAATTGCAGATCATCTATACTGGCTTTTTACTTCTTTTGGAGATCACTGAAAAAATTGGTGAAAACACATGCCTGAGTTTCTGAGTGTTTGTACAGTGTCTGTATTTGTGTTTCAGTGGGTCAATGCTAAGGTAGTACATCTTTGTCTCTGCCTATCTAGACATTGATGAGTGTCAGATGGGGACACACCGCTGTGGAGTGGGCCAGATCTGTCACAACCTTGCTGGCAGCTACCGCTGTGACTGTCAGACGGGCTACCAGTACGACGCAATCCGCATGACCTGCATCGGTACGTTTTGCTATGTCAGGGCTGCAAGATGATGATGATGAGCAGATTTGAGGTGTATTATCCAAATTGTTTTTGGCAGTGGAAGAAAAAATGAATGAGGTCTATTAACGCTTAAAATTCAAAACTTTCAAGATTCATCACTGAGAGTAAAATTAATGAGCTGAAAGCTGCACAAACAGACAGCCATCATGGAGAAAACTGTCTCTGTTATCTCAGGGCATAAACCATAATGACATTTTGAAATGGTTCAATCAATACACACAATTTGAGCATGGAAACAGGAAAAACCAAGTGTACTGCAACTTACAGACTTTTTCTCTCCCCTTGTGAGGCAGAAGTTGCAGCCAAAGCTGGATCATGACTGTCCTCCTTAAATATCATCCTGTTTATTGAAGTGAAACGTTGTTGCAGTAACATTTAGAGAGCGCCTAAACATGTCTGATGACATTTCTCATAATGACAAATGAGTTGGTAAAGAGGACCCAGTTGAGCTTCAAACAAACTTTTATCCCTGCAGGAGGAGAAGACGGTGGAGAAGGATGCACTAAATGGGCTCCCAAATAGTATAGAATATATATTTTCCAAGCAACTTTGTAGTGAGAAGCACTAAGATTATGTCAAATAATTCACCTATTATACTTATTTTCACCTTTTGCAGTGGTGCAGGATTTGCAGCTCCTCATTTTTCTCATACTGGCATCAATTTTAGCAGCATTCAGCCGCCGCCTGAAACTCCTTGTTTAGCTGCTTTCCCGGTGAAATCAAGACAAAGTGTTTGGGTGTTACTTTTTACACATCTTCGTATTTATGAAATGACTGGAAACTTAGACAGAAAACATCTGAGGCTTGCCAACCACACCCTCGCTAGTTCATCATTGTATGTGTTATATCCTTCACCGTTGTGTTACTAAATATAACAATAATTTCTTAGACCACGATGTTACGCTAAAGGTTTATTGACGTCGAGAACATAGAGAAGGCTACCCTGCATGCACCGGATGCATGTCAACTATGGGTCCTATGATAACCCAAAATACACAACAGTATGTTTGCTAGTGTTATATTCAGTGGCAAGCAGTGACCTTTTACTGTGGTCATGCTGAAGTGTCAACCCCATGCGAGCGCCCGCAAGGGTGCAACTCAAAAATTTCAACTCAAACATTTATTAATAAAAACACATAATATGGTTTTTAACTGCAATATCAACTCAGTTTTGACAGACACTCTCACACTCTCCATGTTGCCAACAAAGTGTGTGAATTTACAGTGTATAGATCGGCTGAATGAAAGCAGAAATATTCAGGACTGAAGGTCCTTACACACCAGCAAATTTGCAGAGCGAAGCGAAAACGCGAGACGAATATGCGAAAATATTCGCCGGTCCGAAAAATCGCTTTCGCTTATACACACCGGGCGACCATTCTGTGGTTACACACTGTCTCCCATCGTTGCTCTTGGTGCCAGTGGTGGTGTGTGTCGTGTGAACTGCAGCCGCATGGGTCTGTGACGTCAACAACAACATGACTTTTGATTGGCCAGAGGTCTAGCAGGTCCAGATATTCGCCTGCGAATCTCCGAAAAATTCAACACTAGAGCAAAAAAATAAAAGACGCTTTTCGTCCCGTGGAAAAATCGCCGCCGGTGTGGAAGCTTGCATTGACTTTATGCTGTATTAAAAAAAGGCGAATAAAGGTGAATAATTTGACTGGCGAATTCGCGCCTTGACACAGGTTGATGCACGCACACACATTAATGTAACCAGCTCTGTGGTGAGTCAAATGACACAATCACATGCTTACAAAGTTACCAACAACATTTTGGACTTAACAGTATTCGGAACTTGCTTGCGCCCATGAAGTGGGCTCAACCCGGGTTCAGCTGTGCTCGAGTGGAGCGGGAGAGAGGAAAAGCGTCCCGGCGCAGCGGCAGGGAGTGAGGATTTCAGCACCGCTGAACAATTCAAACAAGCCAGTTATGCGCATGCGTGTTGGCAGATAAGCTGCTTCAGTGACAGCATTTTTGCTATTCAAAATGCTCATCAACTGTAAATACAGCCTCTTGCACTAACTGTATTACTCGGTATCACAGTGCGCATGAGCGAAACAAGCTGTCCGCTTTCCAGCTTTTCGCAAGCAAAACGGGTCAGATTGGGCAGGAATTTAAGACCAAAACAATATATCTAAGGTATTGTATAACTGACCACACTGACAGATTAATATGTTCAGTGATTTTTATTGAAGGGCTTGGGCATGCACTGCATTTACAGCTTATTATGACCGCTCACCCCTGGTTATATTACCTGCTGTTATGTTGTCGCTTAGGTCCAGAGTTTAGTTGGTGTGTGGCAGCCATCAGCACAAACACTGACCGCCATATATATAGCTAGAATAAACATGTAGGGCAACACTGTTTATTACAATAAGACTAGTCAAAAACTCCCCACAGGAGCTTTAATGTCAGCGAGGGAAACATCTCAGCTCTCTTAAAAAGCTAAATCTAAAGTGATCAGCCTTTTCATGATCACCTGCTGCTAACCAGCCATCATTAGTGTAGTCACTGAGTTTCTGCTATTTACAAAATACCTTTCTATAATATCCATTTCACATTTCTTTCTCTTTTTTTCAGCACTCAGATGTCTCTACGCTCGAATAAAGAACCTCTTCTGTATAATACGCAATAGAAATATGATCCTTAATCGAAATTCTTGTTTTATTCTGCAAATGAAGGTTCTTAATTGCTGCTAACCTTTGAGCTCAGTTGATTGCCAATAAGAGACAATGTTTTGCACTGATACTTGAAGGTGATCTCAAATACTACACTGAGAGCCACCAGTGTATTTACCATATTAGCCAGATAGAAATAATTAGCTTATACTGTGTAAAAGTGTCTGTACACATCAGCGGCTGTGTGTCTTGATGAGAGCTGGCATTGAGTCCTCAGAGGCCCAGAGGTATCTTACTGCAGTCTAATGGCTCCTTCCTCTGCTCTGACAGATGTAAATGAGTGCTGGCGCTATCCTGGCAGGCTGTGTGCCCAGACCTGTGAAAATACCCCAGGCTCCTACCACTGCTCATGCACAGCCGGCTTCTCTCTGGCAATGGATGGCAAGAACTGTGAAGGTAAGCCTGACTGTTCCTGTGACAAAATAGTTGTTCAGCCCATTATTCAGATGGACTTTTCTGTTTTCTGTAAAGAACATAGAACATAAAGTTAAGCCTCAGGGGACAACACAGGCAGAAAATTCAAATGCAGCCTCTCACAGTCTTTGGCAGATCAAATATAGATGGTAAACTGTTCAAGAGTCCTCTGCAGGTCTTTGTTATCAGCAGAGCCTTTTTTCTCTGTTGGAATTTAATTCAGTCTCCATCTCTTGGATGCAGAAATCTTTTACATGCACATCAAATGGTTTCAGGTTTAGTCTTCTGTGGTAAAGACATGGCAGTGCTTCAAAGAGCAAAGCTGCACAGCAGCGTGATTCACATTATGCTCAGTTTGTCGCAACCATAATTCAGGAAACTCATTTAGTTTGTTGAGGTTTGTGTTCTCTGTTAAGCTGGAGCCTTCTTTCTTTTTATAATTATTAAAAAAACACTCATCTGAGTGAAATAATTAGATGGTGTTGAGTGTTTTTTAGATTTATTTGCTCCAGACACTAGTAACATGTCTTTCTTAGGAAAACAGTTTAATCAAACAGAGCATTATTCTCGCCGGAAAGGAATCTGAAATCTGCCTTTTCATGTTTCTTTTGATGATCACTCCCTCGTCTGGTGAAATGGTTGAGTTTAATTGGTAGTGAGAGGATATTTTTTAACATCTTGCTACATAAAACCAAGGAGAGATCAAGCCACCCATGAACTGATTGTTCCAGAAAATTAAGTGTTCATCTCTTTCAAGGTTGTCTTCGTTTATTGTGACTATATTTCACAGGCACACCTGCTGCCTCTGACACTCACTCCATTAATCAAATACTTACACCTGAAAATGGTTTGTAATGTGTTTTTCACAAACTACCGCACCTAAGTATTTTTCTTAAGGGGGGGTGAGATACAAGGAAGTAGTGGGTGAAAAACTAGCAGATAAAACGACTGAGCCTGAGAGACTTTCTGTAAACCATGAAAAGCACCGTAACTGTATTCTTTCTTTCTGTGTAGATATCAATGAATGTGACAAAAACCCCTGCAGCCAGGAATGTGCCGACATCTACGGCTCGTATCAGTGCTACTGTCGCCAAGGATACCACCTGAAAGAGGATGGACACACCTGTGAAGGTATTTCACACTAAAGTACACACATATCTCCAAGGAAAATCAAAAGTGGATTAAGAAGGCACCAAAACAAATGTAAACTAAATTGAATATTCGACTGTCATAAAGCCTGATGCATTTTTCTTCCATACTTATACTTAATGGGGCAGACACATTACTTCAAGTCAGTATGCACAAGATGTTGATGCTAGGTGTCTTCATGTCTAAAGAAACAACGTGTTGTAAAAATGAAACTTATGTTTTTAAGACATTTCATGCTAGAGCACATGTTAAATCTATTGACATCCAATACAACAGGCCAGCCATTCAGCTCCCTCATTAAAGTCCCACTCCGATCAGTTACTACTTAATGTGTTATCAATGGTCTTTAAATTGTGATTATGAAGTTTTTTGCCAAAATCACGTTACCTGTGTCATTTTCAAGGGCTTGTCTTCTCCAGTAGCTCATTAGCAATTCACCTCTGAAACCGCTAACGCACACGCTTGTTCTGCCATCGTCCTCTTTACTTTTCTGAGTCTGACCTGCATAGCAGTGCTCTGGGGGCGGAGCTTAGATTTGCTGCATAGTAAATCTCACTGTATCTGAACCTGCCAGAGATTCACAGAGATTTGAGTGCAGAAATACTCAGAAATGCAATTTCGCACTTAGTTTTTTTCATGATATGTCCTGTAGCATCAGAAAAATTAACATATGAACATGGAAAAAACAAGAAAAACATGTTTTCATCAGAGTGGGACTATAAGTTATCTCAGTGATAAAATATATTTATTGACACTGTCCGGCTGTTTTTTTACTGATATTGTAGTTTTTAATGTGGTGGAAGTGGTTTGCTACTCAGTTGTTCATTGTTTTATTCTCCAATCAAAAAAAGGAAAGAAGGATGTATATCAAACACATTATGTGCTGTTACCTCAGCTGTGGACACCTAAATAATTAAATCGACTGGTATAATCTTACTATGAGTGGCTGTGTTTGATCACATTTAATTCCAGACATTGGTGCCCCTTGGTGGTAAAGTCCAATCAGACAATAAAGCACCACTTATAAAGGCCCAAAGATCTCTTACTCTGCATCTCAGTGATCAAATCTGAGTGAGGAATTGTAAGACAAAAACAAAAGTGTAATCAAAGAACAACAGCAATACTGCCAACAGAGACAGCAGACAAACCAGTTACAGCAGGAATCCAAGTAAAATCATCAAAATGATGTGACCTTTTCTCTTTGTTCTTCAAAGAAACCTTTAAAGAGAAGCTGAGCACCTTTCAGGCCCCAGTTTTTAATTTTCCATGAATGCTCAGGTAAGATTGACAAAAGCCAGGTTCTTGACACCAGTTTGGTCTCAGGCGCCAAGAGAGAAAGTTACCGAAACTAATTCCCCAAACAGACATGCAAGCATTACTCTGTGCTCACTATGTGCTCTTGGAACTCTTTACCTGAACCTGCCACATGGATGTTTTTCACCAGATATTGATGAGTGCTCCCAAAGTATTGGAAACCTTTGTGCCTTCCAGTGTGTGAATGTTGCCGGCAGTTACAAGTGTGCCTGTCCTCCTCATGGATACACCATGTCTGCCAACGGACACACCTGCAGAGGTGAGACTATAATGTCAGTCATGTTTTTTTATTCATTTTCTTGTTTTTATGACAACTTTTACTTTCGACCTGAAGGTAGGCAAATATCGGTTTTGATTTTCGAAATGTAGAAATGTAGAGAGATTCCTCTCTAAATGTATTGTCATTTTTTCAGACATTGACGAGTGCACAACTGGCACCCACAACTGCTCATTCACACAGACCTGCTATAACCTGCAGGGAGGCTTCAGGTGTCTCTCCTTTGGCTGCCCTCACAACTACAAGAAGGTGTCAGACTCGTGAGTAAAGTCTTTTTGTCTGGGAAAGGACGCATCACGCTCCGTGGCCTGGCTTTTTCTTTCATAGATGTTGGCATATAAAATAAATTTGGCTCACAAAACTGAATTTTCGTATGAGGGCCTAACTCCGGATTGAATATTTACAGAATCTTAATGATGTGAGAAAACCGGATAAACAGGTAATTTTGAGTGAAAGTTGCTTTTATTGTATTTATTTATTTATTTTTTTGTTCAAATTTTCGAAGTAAATTACTCTTCTGATCACTGAAATAAATCATCTGGTCATCCGTGCCAACGCAGCAGCAGGACGGAGAGGGGACACAGACATGTCAGGTGTCGGGCCATAGAGTGCACCCCTGCCGTTGAATGCACCCCCTGATGAGAGCGCGGTTGAAAGTACACAACAAGGCGAAATAACCCAAGTTTTCCGTACCATTGGATAGATTCAAAAGTGTGGGCTTTTAATGATTTCATTCAGGCTATTCAGATAAGGCGAAAACAATAGCCCTCTGATTCGGAATATTTGCTGCCATGAAAATACCAAACTGGCTGTGCACTGGGCTCTGCCAGACGAAAATACCAGTGCGTGGGGCCTCGTCGCTGGCGGGCACGAAAATAGAGCCCTAAGTCAGATGGCTCGGATCAGCTCAGTCCCTTCTTGGTCTGTCTATGCAACTCCCCACTCTTCTGTGCTCCAGTGGACAGAAACAGCACACACACACCCACCACTTTGCCAAGAGGAGACATCTTATTAGTGTTATCAAGAGACACCTTGTTAACTTAAGTGTGACATGGTCTGGCTTGGGATAGAGAGAAATCTTTCATTCAAGGCATGGCTTGGCAGAAAGAGACCAAGGCTGAGATTGAAAATGTCCTCTGGTTTGCCTCAAGTGCCACACTGTGATTCATGGGCAGAAACCAAAACACTCTTGTTTTTGGCAAGAGTGTGCAAAGTTTATTGAGCAATGCATCAAACTTTCCTCCATAATTCTCATGTGTAATGAATCAGCAGTCAGCAAGAGAGTGAGGAGGCAGACGAGGATAGCCCTGCAAGAGGCACCTGGAGGTCATACAGCTGCTCGACTGTTTGTGTGCTAATACGAGCTTTTTCCCTAGACTTAAATGATATTTTATTTAATATACTGCACGGAAAATCCTGACCAATCCTGATAAATGTAGAAATGGTCTTTGACCTTCATTTACTCACGCACATAATAGCTCTATTGCAGACGCTGTACAGCCTCACAGCAGCACAGGAGTATGGGGGAAGTTTGTATTCTTAAGCCGAAAACATACAGGATCCATAATGAGTGCGTCCCGTCAGCATTGCGTATCTACTCCGTCGAGCAGCACTGTGTATGGCACAAATTATGCATATTTGGAGCACGGTAGCAGCGTAGAGGAGCCTCGGTCAGCCGGGCTCAGTATAGAGGAAACAACATGCTCACAACAGGTTGTTTTTCCTTTCTGTGGTCTATTTCCTGCTAATTTGGATATAATTCAGTGACTGTTGAGCCTCTTCTATATGTGAAAAAGCAATGTGATTTTACAGCTGTGGTTTTTGCAGGTTTACTTGTGTTTAATAAAGTAAACTATGTTCCTTTATGTTGTGCTGTTACCCTCAGACTGAGTTAGCAGTTAAAAGTCCTGTTGGGGTCCACATGGATCAGGGATTGACCATCGGATTGCTCTGTGTTACTGATAAATCCATAACCAGGAAGTATTTCTCATCTACACGAACTGATACACAGTCAGGGGTCTGCATATGGTGTTTTATTTTGAAATACCGGATGACGTGCGGTTTGATACCCTGTCTAGAACAATTTTCTCTGTGTAGATTGGCGCGCATTGGAAGCGTAGAGAAGCAAAAATAGACTCGACGCATATCTTTAGCAGAGCTGCCTACCTGTATGTTTTAGCTTTTATTGTCTGTCTCATCCCTTTTCTTCTTCCCCTCTTATATTTGTTGACTTCTCCTCAGACGCTGTGAGCGGATCAGCTGTCCTGCCAACTCTTTGGACTGTCTCAACTCACCAGTCCGCATCACTTACTACAAGCTGAGCTTCCAGACCAACATCATCATTCCTGCTCAGATCTTCCGGATCGGACCATCCCCCGCCTACTCTGGAGATCATGTCGTCATCAGCATTATTAAGGGCAACGAGGAGGGCTACTTCAGCACCAGGAAGCTCAACAGCTTTACTGGGGCCGTCTACCTGCAAAGACAAGTTCGCAAGCCCAAAGACTTCCTGATCGATGTGGAGATGAAGCTGCTGAGGCAGGGGTCGGTCACCTCTTTCCTTGCCAAGATTTATGTCTTCATCACATCCAGTGCCATGTAACACAAAAGAGGACACACACAGAAATAGACTGTACATTTCACATGGTGCTAAACTTTTATACGTGCAGACTCTTTTTTTTAAATGCCCCACAATCACGCAAGAGCTTATTGTGTGTCTTTCTTTTGTTGTTTGACTTTCTTGTACCAGCACATTTCTTGAGAAACCTTGTATTTGTATTTACCAAAGTATTTTTTCATTATGACTCTCAATAACACAGTATAGCTTTTGTTTACCACCATTGTAAGGTTGCACTCAAGTTATTGTCTTATTCGGACAGTAGCCGGGTGCTCCAGAGGTCACCGTAAAGGTCTGAACTGCAGGTTTGAGCTTTAATATTGCTTTTTCATGCCCCTGTGAGGAGATTATAAAACAGACTGAAGTAAACATTGATGTCTTATATGACCTAAAATGACTGAGAATGTCAGGATGATCATTTTGGATGTCTGTAACCACTGAGAGAGAGGGAAGTGTCAAACCAGACAATTGCAGAAGGTTGAAGAAAACTCATTTTTCCACTTTTTGCCAAAGACAATATCCATGCTCAGAGATGCATTTAATAATTTAAAGCAGATGATTTTTTGTCAAAAAGCACCACCTGTGCACAAACATGACCAAATCAGTAATGAAGTGAAAGATATTTCTTTCTCCACAGGGGGGCACTAAAATTGACACAAACAGAAAACTTCTTACTGGAGCTTTAATCCTTTGTGTAAATTTTGACCACAGACTGTATATACTATGAACAAGTTGGTTCTGCCTTCTGCCAGTGAACAGATTTGAAGCCAAAAAGCTCCCCGTATTTCCAGGTTTTTCCTCCACTTCCTGAAACCAACATTGTGCAGTAGAGTTGTATGCACTCCACCACTTGCGCAGTAGCATTGCATGCATTCGGCGAGAGAGTCACTGAGAGTCGCTGTGATGGCGCTCGGCTCAAACAGCGTATCCTGGGGTGAGCTAAAGTTTGTACACCCATAGGCTGTATCAAGTGTCAATCATAGAAAACATGAACCCCCTAATAACTTTTAAAAATGGAGCTGTACAGAAAAAAGAGGACTTAAGCACAAACCAGTCTTAAAGTAACTACATGTCAACATCATAACTAGAAGGGAGAAAAATTTATATTCTGTGTAGTAAATTTCTTAAGTTTGTCCACAGCTCCATAGGGATTGCTGGAGGAGGCGGGATTTATAACCTATACTGCAGCCCGTCACCAGAGGGTGCTGTTCTCGTGGTGGCTTGACCCAGCAAGGAGGCAGACTGCATCCATTCTATATACAGTCTATGGTTTTGATTCTTTTGAGTTTTGTTTTTTTTAAATGAACCTAATAAATCTTTATAGCACCAGTACTTACAGGCACTTTTTACCTGTAAAGAAACAAATTTGATTTTTTCTTTTCAAACACTTTTTTTCACATCAGTATTGTGGAGAAATAAAAACTGCATTTAGCTTTGTTAGCAGAACTTGAATCAGGCACCACACTATTTACTTTGCTTTAAAATTTACAACAGCGTTTTTAAATTTTTTATTTTTAAGGCTGCAAAAGCTTAAAATATTTTTGCTTCAGCCTCAGTGACAACATTTCCTGCTCTATGTTCATGATTATGATATGGGCATGAACCATTGGTATGTTTGCAGCCCTTTTTAGACTTCTTTAATTATACAAAAAGCATCTAATGAGAAGTTGTCATGAGTTTGTCATGAGTTTGTCAATTCATATTATATCAACGATGTGGTCCAATAAAATCTATTCAAGGTGCTAAATTTCAATCACACTCTGAGAACATCAGTTTGACTTGTGTGGTAAATGATAATATTCTAGTCTTGTTGGTTCACTTTGGTGCTATTTTCCTTCTTTCATAACTGGACGTATCTTTCTTTGTTACTGTGCTGTAATTCTCTCAGGGTGAAAATCTTACAGTTAAGTATTCATGACAAATTCCTGTGCAGCATCAGGAATGAATCAGTCTGCTGTCTGTCTGAACTCCGGACTGAATGCTTCCAGTGGTCACATGACATTTGTATCAGCACACCCATCAATAAACGAGGATCAAACCATTGTCTTTTGTCTTGTGATCAAACTGTGGAGTATCAGGGTCAGTTTTTACATATCATTGCCATGAATGCACTTTGATCAACGTGGCTCCCTGGTGTTGAAGAGCTGAATCCATGGTAAGTGAAAAATAGGTCAACATCTCCATCTGCTGGTGAGAGTGTCAGCAGACTAAGTGTGTCTCATCCTGTTCACAAATCTGAAAGGTAAAACAAAACTGTTTTTAAGCAACTTAAAACACAGTCAGTTTCAGTGTGCTGCAAGAGAAAGAATAAAGATCTAACCACCAAAGTCAGATACTACAAGTTCATTATTGTTCAGTTCTCAACATAAAAACATTTGACATGTGTTGCTAAAAATGACCTTTTTCATAGTCAATAAAAGAATCCTTATCTTATCATTTATGCTCATGTATCCCACCACACCACAAAGAACATATAGTGTGAGTTACACCCTCCAGCATACCCGCCCGGAAAGTGTGTGTCCTTCACTAGTCTGCCACTGCCTGTTATTACAACCAGAGCAGATAACTGTCAAATGGAAAGTAGGAGGAGTGACCCTCTCACATCACACCATAAAGACAAACAGAAGGTTTTAAAAGATGATATCAGTGGGGGTACTTTTTAAATAAAGCTAAAACTTCACAAAATAAGAGGATAAAAACATGAGTGATCGGTTAAAGGGATATTTCAAATATCCCTTTAAATTCAGATTGTGACACTGCAAAGACCATGAATACAGAATAATCACAATAATAGTCTTTTAACTCTGTTTCGTCTCTGCCACTGTCATCTTTACCTAGTTGTGTACAGTAGGCTGCTGCACATGCAAAAGGCAGAGTAAAGCAGGTTGATATTGTAAGAAAGTTTCTGTTTTTGTTTTATTTTGAAGGTCTACGCTGCCGCCACCTTTGTTTATCCGGTCTGGCCCGGCGTCAAGGCAAAAGAAATCACCACTGAGGCTTGTTTAAAAGAAATCATACAAACTTTATTGAAACAGGATAAATCCAACATGCCTTTACAAACATTCCAACTGTGAGAGCAATACATTGTCACCAAAAAATTACAATTAACAAGTACTCAAAGGATGGATTGGACCATTTCTAAAGGAACTTATTTCGCCCGGCTGGCGACGAGACCCTCCCCTGGGGTCTGAACATGGTCTCTCCCGCAGTTCCGGAAGTGTCCACGGCGGTAACAGGTGAGGTCGACACCTCAGCGGCCAACATGCGGCAACAGCGTGTAGGTGGGAGAAGAAGCACGCAGGTACAGCCAGGCGTATGGACAGCTCCGTGTTTCCAGCACAGGGACTCAGTAGTCCCCCCACTCTCTACCGACAGGAGACGACAGGCCTCCCCTCCTCACGCAGGATCCGCTCCCCCTATCTCACAAACTTCACTGTGTGCAACTCTAAAAGTGACGGACAGCAGTCCAGTGTCTCTCTCCCGCCTGTCTCTCTGAGCTGCGCCATGTTCCTCCCATTCTCACACAGGTGAGTGTCATCAAGTCATTAGTTGAAATAAATGCAGGGCTCTATCTATCCCCCTGAAGTGTCAACAGTGAGATAATGACTCCAAACATCATCTTAGTAGCCTACAATATTTTAGTAAATAATATAAGTGAGCTTAAAGAGAATCAAACTTTATTTGGGGTGTAGGTAGACTTGTAAAGGTCAGTACATGGTTAACTGTTAAACAGACTTCTACATAAATAGGGCTATTGCTTTTCTTACCAATATACACTTTTATTCATGCATCAGTGGGGGACTACCTGTATTATTTAGCTTCAGTTGAAAGCATTTTCACCCTGCTGAACATATAGACAGACAACCTTGTCTAAGGACACTCAAGGGAATTAAAGCCAAAGCTGGAATGTAACCATCAACTCGATAGCTCTAACACTGAGTCATAGCTGCCCACAAAGAGTTTCAGGAGTAGGACCATATCTTAGGCATGCCTCTTTTGACACTCTTGTGATTAAAAATCTCTGTCCTTCCTTTTTAACTCTCTAATATCAAGTATCGAAAGCTTTAAACAGGGAGTTTCTGAAGGCGGGCCACAGACTCCAGCAAGACTCATGAATAAACCTACTGAGCTGGAAGACACAAACATTAAAGTACCAAATGCTTCATTTTAACCTTAGCCTCTGTTGCTGTTAAGCAGTATGGTCACACAGTTTATTTGGAGATCTGCCAAATGAGTGACACTGGTCTGCTCTGGGTGTCCTCTTTTCTCACATCCGGCCATTGAAGTCCCATCCCACACATATTGGGGTGTGACCTCCAGTTATCTTTCCTGACGTCAAAGAGTTATCAAGACTACTACATCTATGGGATGTGGCCCACGCTGGTTTTGGCATGAGACCAGCTGGCTCTCTGATAACAATATTCTACCTTAATTGACACATGTATCACAGCAGTCTGTATATCCATATAAATTGAAAAGGTTTGCATAGGTACACAGCATGTGTTAGGTATTGTCTTCATGTCAGTCAGGATGGTGTGTTCACCACCAGTAACAATGCAGAAAAAAAAGAAAAACAATTGAATTAGTATGAATATTGAACTTTTACTATCAGCTCCTGAGTTTTCCCATTAAATTCATCAGGCTCAGCGTTGTTATCCTTGCTCAACAACATTCAAGCTTAATTAGCCTGTTTTTACTGGAGGCTGCATCTCAGGCTACTCATGAAGTTTATGTGGCGGATAATTGAGAAAATCTAGCAGCTCATGATAATAAGATTTTGTAATGAAAGATAAACTCCTTGTAGAACTGAGTCAGCTCCATAACAAAGCTTGCTATAACAGAGACGCATTAATATGAGTCTTACAACGGCACACCAGATCACAGTAGAATATGAGTAGGTGAAGCTAATTATGTTCATGTAAGCATTTTTAAAAATTATTATTATATTCATATTATATTTTTTATTTATTGTTTTTATCTACAGTATATTCATATTTGATTTTATATATGTATAAATTTTTTTTTTTTTCAAATTGACTTTTCCTTCGGGGAAAAATAAAGTTAAAGTTATTCTTATGAGCATTGCAGATATAGTGGCTTGTAAAAGTATTCATTCTCCAAGATTGCCTTGTATTAAGCTCCATCCATCTTGCCATGAACTCTGACCAGCTTCCCTATGCTGCCACCCCCATGTTTCACGGTGGGGAGGGTGTGTTCAGGGTGGTGTGCAGAGTTAGTTTTCCACCACACATAGCGAACAAAAAGTTCTATTTTGGTCTCATTTGACCAAAGAACCTTCTTCTGCATGTTTGCTGAGTCCCTCACATGGCTTTGGGCAAACCGCAAACAAGACTCCTTGTGGCTTTTTTCAACACTGGCTTTCTTCTTTCGTAAAGGTCAGACTTGAGGAGTGCGCATAATAGTGAGCTGTGGATCTCTCAGCCCTTGGTCTCAGGTTTTTGTGGTTGGGTTTCTGTGTTTGGCGACTATCACAGGTTCTTGTGATTTCTTTGTTTGGTCTATTTCGTTTTAATGATGTCTCAGCTCATGTGATACTCATCAAAGCTTTTATGTCTTCCACCGATTTTTATTCTTATTTTATCTATTAATTGCCAGTAATGACCCCCCCCCCCCCCCCAAGTGTTCTCTTATCGTTGCTCTGTTGTTTTATCTTCTTTGTTTTCCTGCATGTTAAAGCACTTTGTAAACTCTTGTTTTTAAAAGTGCTCTATAAATCAAGTTATTATTATTATTTTCATGTCTGAAATCAGGAATGAAACATGCTCATAGATTATCTGTGTTCAAAACTCTCCTCAGTGAACAGAAGTGAAGTTCTGCAGGATGACACTAGAGGGCAGCAGACTGAACCAACCACACAGCCACATCATGTTGTCCAAAGAATGTAAACTTGCACAATACACTTGCGTAACCCGATTGCTCATCAAAAGCATGCCCACATTTTCCATTCCAGCACATGTGAACACAAACTCTCTCCCAGGGGCTCCTAACCCGCACACCTCTCATTCCACCAAACTGCTCCGTTCAATCAGATTCCCATTGTCAAAGTGCGTCAGTCCAAGTGATCATGCAGACTCTGTGTGAAATCACGAGTCAGCTTTTCCATGGATAGATGTGGTGTGTTTCTTCCAAAACAGCGAACTCCCTCTGGGACAGCAGCGCCAGGCGTTAACATGGGTTTATGTGATAAATCTGATTGAGTGATTATAAACTATATTTTGTCTTTTTCTGGATTATCACAGAGGCATGACACTAAGTTTTGTCTTATTTTTTCATTTTCCCACTGAAGGCTTATCCCACTGAGCACTAGAAGGCTATTAGACGTCTAGTTTTTTTTTAACCTAATTTTAACGGTCTAGATTCTGTATATTTTTCAACAGAATTTAGACGTCGCACTTTAACCCATTATTCGATAAATATTCATTTCAAAAATGAGTTGCGTAACTGATCTCCAAGTACTTAACCAAAATAATTATGAGAGCCATTAAGTAATATACAGTGTAGTATAGATATAGCCCAGATTTCGATTTAGTCTAAACTTGGTCTAAATTTAGACAGCTAAAAACCTTTTATTTTAGACCTGTGGTAGCCTGATTTTAGACCAGTCGTCAAGGCTACATTTAGACGTCTATTAGACCTCTTTTAGACCAAAAAATACTCAGTGGGATAGATTTTGCTTCTCAAAAACCTCATATATGTCTGCTTTTAATGCTGCAATAGTTTGCAAGCTCCTGATTTGTCCTACTTGTCCAAGTCTTCCAAAGATTAACTTGTTGCTTCTTGATAAGACTTAAAAAATGTAATTGTGATGAATTCTTAAGCATCATAACTGCAGCCTCGATGTCTTCCTTTCAGGTAATGTAATGTTTTTCTTGGATGGGCCCATTGAAGGAATTTTTTCATGGTTGCTCCCACTGTTTCTCTAAATTTTTCAGCATATGTGGAAAGGAAACACTAAAAATGCACTGACTGGGGTGCAGAAAATGGAAGCAAAAGCGGAGGAATTGGTTGATTTTAATCCATTGAAATGATGGAAGAGATGTCAATAGAAAAACAGCTTTACATCTGAAAGTCAAACAGGAAACAGTGAGGCTGGATCGATTTTAGCAAGAATCTTGTATCACGTTGACCTTTATTTCCTGAAATCCAGAGAAATTGAGAAAATAAGGCTGATATTAATCAGGGACTCTTGCAAAATCCTGCAATCCTTTAAATTAGTGTTATTTTGTGCTCATATCAAGAAAATGACTGATGGTATCTTTTCAAATCACAACACTTTTTAAGCATTTTCACTCAAAAGCAAGCTGAACATGTAAAACCCTGATTCAGTTTCACATGAACCAAAAAGCAATGAGTTCAGTATACAATGTTTATGGCTATATGACCAGAGGAAAAGAGAGACTTTCCCTGAAATACCAAGCAGTGCTTCTCCCCGAGGTGCTGACAGTTAAAAGAGGGAAAAGACTTGAAAGCTCACTTCATCATCCCTTAACATTCTTGTTTCCGGCCTTCGGGGAATCTGGCTGACAGGTAGCTTATCACTGTTAAGTTCACTTTAATTTTTTCTCACATGCACAAGGTTTTCTTGCTTATGGTGGTACTTGTTAGCGAAATGAAAAGAACAACAAAGTGTGTCTCGATCTATTGAGTTTTATTTAAGTTCTTGAATTTGAGCCGTTGCAGGAGAAAAAAATGTGCCTACAGCATCTGAAAAGTAACGGAGAGGTGATTTTATTGTTAACTTTTTAAAGCTGTATTCCTTAAGTTTTAAATACAACCCAACTACCACGCCATATTCAAGGGATCACTCAGACTTAACACAAATTAAACTAGATATAAATAGGCTGTTTTGGCTTTGGCTTTGTAGTGTTAGGAATCAGACAACTAGCCACGCACACTTCATGTTCATAACCGAACTCATACAACCCCCCCAAAAACTTCTTTAAATAATCAGGATGACTGGAACCCATGATTTCCCACAAGTGAGCAGATGGGGTAAATGACATTATCATGCCACAAGTACAGATAAAACATGAGCCAATAACAACAAAGACTTTAAAATGGCAACTTGTGATAAAATAGTTTCAGAATAAAGACTGAAAATTTCCAGACGTCTTCTGCTCTATCGGGCCAAAAAAAAAGGATTAATATATCAACAAGAAATTGTTTTTTTGACCAGGAAAATGGGTTCATGTAGTGTAAGATTAAGAGAAAACCAAAGGTGATTTTTTTTTTCCAAATTTGCATGTGCGTTTTATCATATCGCAGGTGCAATTTAATTGTTAGTGCAAGTCCAAATATCGCCATTGGCAAAGTCGCTGTGCTTTAAGGATCCTGATGAGGTGTCTCCTACTCAAAACAATACCAAATGTGGCTAAACTAAAAAGTATCTCTCTGTGAGTCATACCTAAATGAAAGAAATGTTGATAATATGCTCTCTGTCCATGACACTGTCCTTCGTCTCTCACAAATGAGGCGCACAGAGGATTATTTACAAAAACGCATGCACAGGATACAAATAAAATGCACATAGTAGATATGTATAAAACGCACATTGGAGATACTACATTGCATGTGCGAGATACTCAATCGCACATGCGAATTAGAAAAAAACAAAAATTCATGTCACCTCCCGGCTCTGTAGCTACCAGCTGTTAGACAGAATAAAGAAAGTTTGGCACAAGCTGCTTTGAATACTTGGATGACCTCCTGGTTAACAGTAACAAGGCCAGTGCCACAGGTGAAAGCTGAATCAGTCCTGGTGTGGATGACTCAGTTCCACTAGTGAACTTAAAACAGAAAGTTTAAAGATAAAATTCAGGTATAGACATCACAGGCATCATCTGCTTTTAATAGCTCTAATAGCTGCACACGTGTTTAGAGTAAAGGACTTCCATCAGTGGTCGATATGACAGACTCTGGTGGTCATTTTTTAACTACCATGCAGCCTTCAGACCACCCAGTGCTCCAACTCTTGGTTAAGTGCGAAAAAATACTTTCCAGCAACTGTGAAATGTTTTGCTGCAGGTCCAATGGCAGTGACTGCATCGCATGAGCTCCTGCAGGGAGAACATAAGGAAGTGAGCGCTCCCATCATGGCCCACTGTGGTGTGTGAAGAGGATAGTCCTCTGGTCAAATGATTTCATCACAGAGATCAGGTATTATTAGAGTTGTTATGTACTTTACACGTGTTGTAATCACATAATATGACAGACTGAGGCCTGATATCCAAGAATCAAACCTGCACTGCACCCGTATAGTTCATTGCATTGCATCAAACGAAACGTTGGCCTCAAATTTAGAATAACTCTTCTTCTCTCTTTCATGTGAGCCAATGAAGTTCAGAGCTGAGCGCTTTGTTTGAAGTTGTCCAGCAGTGTGTTCGCTGAGGTTGGGTGGGTTCTCGTCTGAGTCGGGTTAGCTACACTGAGGGTCAGCCTGACAGCACGGGTCTTTGTACTTAACAAGAGGAGCTCGCACAGGTACATGGTGCTGCTTTGATCCTCGGGTCAGCTGAATCACTCACAGGTCACTCCAGAGCTGTGATTACGAAGCTCAAAGCTGCACTCAGGAAGATTTGTTTCAGAGCGAACAAAGCATCTTCAACCACATACACACTGCCCTGATGCTTCTCCTTGTATGACTACATCAGGATTTAATCTCTATGACTTCTAGTTATTGTACTGTGGCCCAGAAGGCTAGACACAGTCTACATTTTGAATATTGACAAGGGACTAGCAAATTAAACAAAAAGTACATTAATCTGACAAGATATGTGCACATGCATGAAGAATTTAAAAGAATTTAATCCTCAAAAACACCAGGATACAACCAAATCTCAGATTTCCATTAAAGTCAGACTAATTAAGTACAAACTGGAAAAAGCAGAAACAACAATGACAAAATTTCAAGACATTTGAGAACTGTAAAATAGTCAAAACCAGACCTTCATTCTGTGAAATAGCCCTTAAGACACAGACATTTAAAGCTGCAACCTCCATCCACCAGCATCTGGCATTGAGGGAGGAGGCTTAGATATTACTTGCTCCGATGAAAATCATGTTTTTCTTGTTGTCTGCATGTTCATACGACATTTTTCTGATGCTACAGGACATATCATGAGAAAAGTAAGTGCAAAATTGCATTTCTGAGTATTTCTGCATTAAAATCGCTGTGAATCTTAAGACCCAAATGACAGGCTCAGACACGGTGAGATTTCCTACGCAGCAAATCCAAGCTATGCAGGCCACACTCGGAAAAGTAGAAAGGACAATCGCGGAAAAACGTGTGTGTTAGCAGATTGTAATGCTCGTAAGGAAGCTAATAATGATATTAACTTTCATCATGTCCCTAAAGACATTAGTGTCCAAGATGTGAATAGCTCCTATGTTACCTGCCACTTCTTCTACACCGGCAATGTTAGGCTACAAGCTAGCGTAAAGTGTGCAGAGCAGCGCTGTCTCCACCCACGACTCAGAGGCTAACTGCTAATAAGCGACTGGAGCTCTGCAGAAGAAAAGCCCTTGAAAATGACACAGGTAACATAATTTTGGCTAAAAACTTCATAATCACAATTTAAAGACCCCTGAGAACACTTAAAGTTGTAAAGAAAAAAATGATCAACCTGGGACTTAAAGCAGTAAGAGCCCCGTGTCTGGCAGTCAGATCTCAGATATCCAGAAACAGCTTTAAAGTGCGTGGTGTAATTTTCTTCATTACAAAATGGTTTCGTTTAAATTTCCCTTTTTACTTCATCAATGTTCATCCAATCAGAATGGAGAGGCAACATACATTTCATGACATTTTGCCTTAGTGTTCTCTAATGCCCTGGTAGTATTTCATGGTTATACAAATAGACAGAAACGGGTTAAAGCGATTCTTGGAATTAAGTAGGCTTTGATCTGATGTTAATTTTAAAGTGATTACATCTGGTCTTACCTTTTATGAAACCTGCTGCAAGAAAGAAAAACTTTCAAGATGTGTACTTTGAAGGAGGTACAATTTTGTGGTTTTGACTCTGTGAAGGATCCATTTAGCATTACACACAGACAAATGATCTATGAGTGATAAAAGCATGTATATTGGTTTGGTCTGATTCAGGTTTACAGCCCCTAGAAAGACCCGCTCACTTTTCAAGTCCACAGAAAACAGACCAAAAGAGGAAACTGTTTCTCACCTTGACCTGGAGCGCTGGTCACATTTTTGTACGGCAGCAAGAAACTACAGGTAGGTTTTTAATTACTCACTGCATGCCATGATGAGTGCAGTAGAGCTATTATCAGCTCTGTCTCCACCCTGAGGCACGGCGTTAAATCCCTCTGCTCTTCTTCCAGAAGCTCTTCGTTTACAGGACGTACAGATGAGTTTGCTCTGATCATAACTGCAGATGTTTTTTTCTCTCTCTGATCATCTTTGTCATACTTTCCTGATTTATGGACTGTTTTACACTCAAAGACTTTTCTTTCCCTGCTCAGGGTTTTTCTGTTGTGTTCTTTGTCAAAAACACAAAAACAAAATGCTTGTTATTGACAGTCTGTGTTTTGACCCAGATTTTCCAACAGCTTTGATAAATGATCCTCTTTCCCCCCCAACTCAGACACTCATTTTGTGTGTGCCCTTATCATGTGAAAATATCAATCTGTGTCTATCAGTGAGCGCAGCAGTACGCTAATAAACGGTGTAAACTCCCGATGCTGTCAGCGCAGAGTGAGCATGGTTCCAGTCCTGTAAATGGTTGGCATTTTTGATGAATGAGGGTCTTAAAAATAGGAGAGGGAAGGGTGAGGGTTCTCCCTTGAGGGTTATGGGGGGAAAGGGAGGCTGCTTATTAATGTGAGAACTTAAGTGCTGTTGCAAAAGCCACTGAAAGAGAGGCGTGGCTCATACAAAAAGTAGGGTCTGCATCTGGTGCAGCAGAAGATGCATTCAAGCTTGTTTAATGTATGCAAAAGAAAAATGATCACAAATATTCCTCATTGACTTTCCCCAACGCTCAATTAATAATTGATTGTTTCAAGGTAAGTCGCACTGACCTCCAGAATTGAAGAGATGATTGACTTGGCATCATTAAATATGCAGAGAACATTTTGGATTTGACCTTTTTCTTTCTTTGGCTGCATAAAGCTCCAAATGAAGTGCTCTGCATAATAAAACAGTGTTTCAAACAGTGCTTCAGATTTAGGAGTTCAGCATTTGCCAAAGTGCTGTCATACACTCAGAATGTGACCAAAGTCAGCCACTCATCAGATCCGCTTGAGAGTGTGGAGAGCTGTCCTGTAGGTGGCGCCTCGAATAAACTCCTCCATAATGTGGTCCATTTGGTCTGTCAGGTGTAGGTCAAGGCTGTCATAGTGCAAAAATTAGATTATTACAGAGTAGATGTAAGTATAAAAAAGCTGAAAGTTCACTGCTCCATGTAACTACTGGATCATAGTAAGGAATGGTGTTGGTGCGACTGCAGCACATATTATGTCAAGGAGGTTAAAGAGGTGGAGGAGAGGTACTCTACCTGCACCTAGAAAGTTTTATAACAATTTGGTTTCATGTAAAAACAATAAGTTTTCACTGGATTGTACGTTTATGTCAAAAGTAAAGCCAAAGAGGTAACCTGTTACTCCACCCTTGACTAAAGTTTTAGTTTATCCCGATAACTGTGGTATTCTAGGTTATTTCAGGCCACTGTACGATAGCCTTGAGGTCAAAATCTGACATATGACAAACACTGTTGCACTTATATTTAGTGATGCACAGTATAATCAGCTGATTGATGCCAGTTTACAAAGTTTCTTGACAGTTTTGGCAGATATGAAAATTTCAGTTTTTATTTGATCCTTTATGCACCTCCATTTGAAATGTCTTTTCTTGAAATAATACAGTTGTCTTTGCATCTATAGTCAAATTACATGTTGTTTGTCATGTTTGTCTAGTTCTTAATTAGAAGATCATCACAATTAGAGTAACAGGTAAGGAGAAACTTTGTATTCTTGACAAGGAAAAAAAAGCTATGTAATATGGTATTGGCTAAAAATATTGGCACATCGTGTATCTGCGTAAATCCAGTATCATGTATACCTGCTCCTATCTGGGTGACTCTCAGTATTTTAAATTGATATATGTATAATTGTAACATTAGCATGTATTTTGCATGAAGCATGGTTTATATCATAGCACAGTTTATGCAGTAATCATGTCAACATGCCGATACATACTGCGTTTTAGCATGATGTGAGAGCAAAATACAGACGTAAGGTAAGAAGAGTTTGATTAATGTAAACCAAAGTGTGGACAGAGTGCTTTTTTGAATGGAAAGTTTAGGTGGGGAATTGTGGGGAAAGGCCAAGGCGAATGACAGACATCATAAAGATCATAACATTTAAAGCAATTCTCTGTTTAGTTACCAAGGTGTTAACTCGTAACATAAAAAATAAGCCGACAAAAAAACTGGGACACTTACTCCACAATACAACAAAATGAATACCATTCAACAACAGCGTGAACAGCATCACAAGGCTTCAGAGGCGTTTGAGCGTGCCAGTTTGCTTCAGCTGTTAGCCTGAGATATCATCTCAAAACACAATACTTGAAATGATTAAACAGCTTTGAGGAGAAGAACTGAACCCTGTTCTCTAATAGCCCACATTAAATTCAAAACAGCTTCTCATCTTGGAGAACAGGCGATAATCTTTATTCAGAGCTCCTGCTTTTATAAGTACATTAACTAACAGCCGTCATAAATCATTGGGAAGCTTCACTGCCAGCAGCATTACAGGGAATTCCCACTTTCCAAACCTCAGCCTGCTGGTCATGCAGTATGTGTCTGATCCTGCACACTTCAAGAAGGTGTGACTATCAACAGCTGATTTAAGCCCAACTCTCATCTCAAAGTAGATAATACACAGACTCCAGAGGCAGTGGTGAGTGACAACGATAATAGATTGGACCATTAGATTTAAATGAAAAGTAAAAGTGGTGTGAACACACTGTGAATCAAAATCACAGAATGCTGAGGTTTATTTTCATTTTAACAACTTTTGATTACATGGAGTCTGTTATCAGAAAAATAATCTACAGTCCAAGTAGACAAACTAAAATGTCTCAGTAACTTTTCTGAGTGCATCCTGGAGAAATTTCTGCTTTGAGTGACAACTCTCCCACTAGGCCATATGTGCGTCATCACTAACTGTAAGATGAGTGAAAGCAAAACACGTAATTCTTGCAAAACCTTAAAGGGTAATTCCGGTGTAAATTTAAGTTATGGTCAAACACACTGTAAACAGAGTTAGACACCCCCTCAAGAGAGATGAATGTTGCAGACTGCTCGCTTCTCTAGTTATACCAACTTCAGCAACGACCACATGATGGAAGTACACAGCAGTCTACGGCTCCACCGAAAACCTCAACCAAAAAGCCACTTTATAGCTACAAATAATGCTCAGAACAGCACCTAACTTCATCAACAGTACATATAGGGTCACAGCCATAGTACTAGTCATCAAACATCTTTTTAGCTTTGCCTGGTTTCTTTAACAAAGAGACCAAACACAACTCACCCACTCTCCTCCAGCAGCCGCTTGTTTGTGAGTACCATGGCCGGGACCCTTTAATCTTCCTGGCAAAAGTGATGTTGCAGAGGACAACATGCAAATGCACGTGAGGGTGAATACATGTGCCAAGCAAGAGGATAAATGTTCAGTTTCTGATAGATAGATAGATAGATAGATAGATAGATAGATAGATAGATAGATAGATAGATAGATAGATCTGACATCTGAGTGTGAGTTTTCTGTGTATAAACCAGTTTCTGAAAACTCATAATCCAGGTTCTGCTTACTTTGCTGTTAATCTTGGCTGCTATAATGCTGAGATACTGATCATCTCAGTGGGGTGAGAAGTGTTCAGCTTGCTTGGAGAAAAACCTGGGGGAAAGGGGTGTGTGCTGTTTGAAGGCTTTGGTTTTACTCAAGGGTCAAAGGAGAGATGACACCTGACCGGCCAACAAAGCACGTCCCGGCTTCCAGACTCTCAGTTGTCTTTCGACACGTGACTTTGTGTTTCCTCTTAATTCATCCACAAAGACCCGCCGGATGTTTTTTTCCCTCTGAAGTGTGAGATATTTGACCGAGCTCTCTGTTTGATAAACACAAACAGGTCAGAAGATCAATTTCATGGTCAACTCTTACAACACAGAGGTGATCATGAACTTAAGAGGTGCTTTTGCCATAAAAAAAGGGCAGTGAGGAACCAAATTTACAGCTTTTTAGACTACAATAGTTTTTTCTTTCTTATTTTGTGTTCACAGTATTTCTGCAGCCAACATCTTAGTCTTCTGGAGGAACAATGCATCAGGGACGTTGTTTGAGGAGTATTTTTACCTCTAGCTGTGACGGGACCACAGCTGAAGACCGGGGCCGGGTGTGGCAGACTTAAAAGAGGAAATGTTGACCAACTGCCTTGCACACTTTTGCAGTATTTACTGTGTAAACCAGGAGGCTGGCAGAGGAGCGTGTTCTTATTTATCTTGGCTCTTGGCTTATCAGTCGAGATTGGAGCTGTTAGGGGAAATATTTTTGTGGGTGGCCTCTCCTGTGCGCTGTGGTTTGGCTGCCAGGTTCTGAGGGAATTAAGTATAGATGTGAGAATCTGTACCCTCTATGTCATCTTTCTGTGCACTTAATCCCTTATCTAAGCTCTGCTCCTGTCTACTGTGGGAGGCAGAGCTCTCAGCACAATCATACAAAATCAAGAAAAATACGGTACTCTGGGTATGTCAGGCATGACAGCATTTAAACAGCCCAAAGTTTTAGACATCTGTAACAACATCACTGATAGTTTGCACCTACGGCTTCTCTGACCACCACCACACAACACTCACAATCATACACCAGTGGAGGACACACACTGGGAGCAAGGTGGGTTAAGTGTCTTGCCCAAGGACACAATGGATAGACTAGGAATAGGGTGGGGATCAAACCGCCAACCTTTCAGTTATTGGATGACTGCTCCACCTCCTGAGTAGTGTCTATTGGCTCTCCAGCGACAGTAACTCCATCAGCCTTCAGTACTGCCTCTTCCTGCAGCAATATTATGGACATATCATATCAGGAGGAGGCCATTGGAGGATATGGAGTCTATTCTAAGGGCGGCACAGTGGTGTAGTGGTTAGCACTGTTGCCTCACAGCAAGAAGGTCCTGAGTTCAAATCCGGCTCAGGGTGTTTCTGTGTGGAGTTTGCATGTTCTCCCTGTGTCTGCGGGGGGTTTACTCCGGGTACTCCTGTTTCCTCAGGAAACCTAAGTGGGGTTACGTTAATTGGCCACTTTCACTTTGCCTGTAGGTGTGAATGTGAGCGTGGATGGTTGTTCGTCTCTATATGTCAGCCCTGCGATGATCTGGTGACTTGTCCAAGGTATCGGCCTTCACCCGAAGATGCTGGGATAGGCTCCAGCGACCCCGGGAATGGCAATAAGCAGTAGAAAATGGATGGAGTCTATTCTAGATAACATGGATCATCCACTCCATGCAACACCTTGATGGACCAAAGGGTAAATGTACGAGACTCCAGACAAAGAATTTCCCTTTGGAGATCAGTAAAGTTGTTGTTTTAGTGAATATCATTGTACCATATTTTGTTATGATAGTGTCTTAAATTACCACTAATTTAACAACAACAAGAGCTCTCAGATGGCTCTACAAATGAGCTCAAGAGGAAAATTTGAGTTTTTCAATTTAGAAAAAACATTCAGCAAGAAGGATTTTTAAACCAAAAGGTAGGATTGCACAAAATTGGATGTAATCTGTGTTCTGCATTTCCCACTGTCACAAAGACGGGGCTCCAGCATTTCTGATAGCACAGTAGCATGGCACTGGTGGGAGAGTCCAAGCTTAAATACAGTAAGAGATACAGAAATTACATAAGTTAAATTGGTGTCATTATAGTTATCTCAGTTTAGAAATCAATCATCAACATGAGTTAAATAGACGATGCCACCTATCTGTAGAGTGGCTGTACCCCGCATGACTGAGGCCAGCTGTCACTCACCGCTACCATACACTAACTGGTGAATGAATGCTGAGTGACATGGTGAACCAAATTATTCAAAAAGAGGAAATTAGAAAAAACTGAGGCAGAATTATGCCTAACTGAAGAAAATACCTATAATTACAGCAGAGACATGAAACAAATGTCAAACAGCCGAGAAAGATGTTCTCTGGGGTCTGCACATGGTAAGCATGAAAGATGGTATTAAAATGGCCTGTCTTATGATCAGCTTCCGATATTTTGACAGTATCTTCTGAGAGGTTCTCGCCTGATGCGTCTCAGCCATGTGATACATGCAAACATCTCTGTCCTACTGAGCTGAATTAATCTGGGGGCTTGAATAAGCAGTGAGCTTTCCTCAGCCGAGTGCTCTTTAACCTGAACTTTCATCGCCTGACATAGGTGAGTCTGGCTACAACAAAGGATAATGGTTCTGATGACGGATCCCGGGGCTGTCTCACTGTGTGGCATGCAGTCTGCTCCTGTGCAACTGCTGTGACACGCTCACACACACACACGCACACACACACACACACAAACAGAGACTGTGACATTGCTGTGGGCCTCAATCATAGGTACTTGTTGGGCTCTGCCAAGATCGGCTCAGTTTCAAGGTGATTTATTTGGTTTCAGGTGAAAAGACTTCCAGCAGACTTGGATCCAAGTGAATCATGCTTTCAGAGTTTTACCCAGGTGCTTACATGCACCAAGAAAAAAAAAAAAAAAAACAGCAAGCAATGGCAAGCAAGGTTACTCACAGCCCTAGAAAACGTTTCTGGGCATTGGAGTCACAATATGAAAATTTCAACATCATTAGTCATCTTTTTAAAATGTTTTCATGTAGGAACCCTTAAGGCCACTGTCTTAAAATCAAGTTAACAGACATGAGCCGGGAAATGTCAAACATGCTGTAAAAGAAGTTGATGTAAATTATACTCAGCATGTCAGAGTCTTTCTTATCAGAGGCATTAAGGGAAAATCCGTAGTCCTTATCTATTTGTATTATCTCCAGACATAAAGTTGGGCTGATTCTTAGAAATATGGTTCTGACCAATGATTCTTGGATCTAATTTAAATTGGTGGTTATTTTTTAACTAATTCAACAATTGAGCCAGATAACTGAAGCCACTCTATGTCAGAGAAAACTCTAAAAAAAGACCATAAACTAAAATTACTGTACCATGAGGAGATAACAGCTTGTAACCATCGACACACTTACATGCTATTTAGATAAGCCAATTTGTCAACCATTGGTGGTATTGTGTCTCTTCAAGCTTGGTGCCTCTACCAGAGGCCTGGGAGCTTAAGAGTAATATCTTTGTTCTGGATGTCTGATGGATCTGTTGGAGCCACTTCTCTAGTGTGGGGGTCCCCTGAGTTCCATTGTTGTCTTCATCTTCCAGGCTTTCTCCAGCTCCTCTTTGAGCCCTTGGTACTACTCTGGTTTCTCGTGTTCCTTCTTCCTGATGTTGGTATTGCTTGGGATGGTCACATCTACCACAACAGCTTTCCTCTGCTGTTTGTCTACAATTACAATGTCCAGTTGGTTGGCCATTACCATTTTGTCGGTCTGTGTCTGGAAGTCCCAGAGGATCTTGGCTCGGGGTTTCCAGTCCATATTCTGCACAAATGTTCCTGTACACTATACCGGCTACTTGGCTATGGCGTTCCATGTATGCTTTTTTCTGCCAGCATCTTACATCCTGCCGTTAGGTGTTGGACTGTTTCAGGGTCCTCTTTGCACAGCCTGCATCTGGGATCTTGCCTGGTATGGTAGATCTGGGCCTCTATTGCTCTGGTGCTCAAGGCCTGTTCTTGTGCTGCCATGATCAGTGCCTCTGTGATGTCCAGCCCTCTCCAGCCATTGGTAGGATTTTCTCATATCAGCCACTTCAGCTATCTGTCGGTGGTACATCCGATGCAGGGGTTTTTCCTCCTGTGTAGGTTTCTCTGGTTCCTCCATACCTGTCAGTTTCCATTGTCTGAGCCACTCACTAAGCGCTCCATCTCTTGAGGCCATCTTCCTGACATAGTCATGGAGCTTGGATGTTTCATCTTGATTGGGGCTCCGATGCTCACTAACCCTCTGCCGCCTTCTTTGCGCTTAATGTATAACCTCTGGATACTGGACTTGGGGTGAAACCCCCCCATGCGTGATGAGCAACTTATATATTGAGACAACAGTGCTGTAGATGATCTCAATAATATTGTAGATCTGTCCAGCAGAAAATGCAAATTATGTAACTACCTATGTCTATGTATGTTTGTATGAATCTGGGTATGCCAGTTTCATCTGGTGGCATATGCCTTTTTTTTTTTTTTTTTACTAGTATGCCAGTGGCAAAGCAGATTCTCATTTTTTGTTCTCACTGTTCGTCTGACTAGCTGCACCTGCATAATCAGCTCACAGAAAAATGATTTAAACTCTTCGGTAATATTTTAATTCTGAGTCAGCTGGGGTTTTTAAAGTGCAATGTGTCATTCAAAAGCACAGTGGCAGAAATAAGACACTGTGGGGACTTCTATTGAATGGGATAAAACAGTGTGTGATTTTCCAAAAAATAATAAAAGTTTGATTTCGGACCTCAAACCCACGAACACTGATATCCCTAAAGTAATCATCAATATTATATTTATAGTTTCTGACAGTTATACAGCTTGTTCCCTGGTTATCAGCTCAGAGTATCATCTCGTCTCTCTATCTGTGTGTCTATCTCTATCCTCCACTCAGCCGGGTGTTCCTCCACTCTTTCCCATGAGTTGCTGTTGCTTCGAGTAACAAATCAGCTCAGGAATGCATGTTGTCTCTTGCACACGATTTTAAGGCCAAAACATTACTCAAAGTCATGTAATGGACAGCATTCGCTAATGATTAAGAGTTGTTCCTTGGCTTCTGAGAAACGATGTCTGTAGAGAATTAAGTTTTTTTAACAGACGGTTTGAAATGTCCCGTCTTAAAACTGAATCTTGATTGGATATCTGAACGCTCTCCTCCAACTCTATCTGTCTGAGCAGGAAACTCTCCTGTGATTTACACCTCAAAGACTCCCAGCAGCAGCAGCAGTGTGGTATTGTAGGTTAAATGTAGCCTGACCTGGGGCAAAGCGGTAGAGTTTCTGCTCGTAGTCAACCACCCCTCAAAGACTTGATGTTTCCTCCTTCTCAGATGGAAAATTGATCCCATCCACAACTAATGAACATCCTTTCACTGGATGACAAATGGAGGAGACAAAATGTGTCGTGCCATCATAAAGTATTTTCTCTCTGAGCAGTGCTGCCTGTGGATGTGGGGAATGTGAATCTGTTCTGTTGTGCAGCATTCAGGCAGACAAAGAGCTGGGCCAGGGCCGTCAGCGACTGTGGGACATACTAAGCATCTGGTGACAGATCCGTGGGGATGCATGACCACTTTACACTGGGCTGCCTGTGTGTGGGAGTCCTGGATAGATACATGGAGTGTTTTTACTGCAGACTTAGTGCACACCTCAGGAATTCCGGCATGGTCCTGTCCTCACTAGTAAAACCTGCTTGTGTGCTCTACCCCAAACAGCCATGTGTTTAATTGTCTGTGGTAGGGGCCTGCAAAGTGCCTTCTCTTTCCCCATCCGTCACATGAACTTATCACTTGGTGTTTTGCCTCAGGCGGAATAAATCAGGACTAAATGCAACGCTCTGCTGCATTCATACTGAAGTTGTTTACAAGAATCTGGAGGCTTTGCAGACAGTTTGATGATTCAGTGCCGATGATTCAGCAGAATGGTAATGAAAAGTTTCTTTTAAAGGTCAGAGTTTGTAAGAACATACTTGTGGGAGAGGACTCTGTCTTTTTCATTTTTGAAGTCTTGCTTGATAGTGTAAGCAGATTTTATCTGAAATAATGGTCTGTGAAATGTAAATGCCTGGAATTGTGGCCTGTTCTTCCACGTTGACCAAAACACAGTAAAATCACTTCTGTCTATATGTTTGGCAGATTGAGTCCCTGCACCAACACTTGTACTTCACAGACCATCAGATACTTTTAAGACTTTATGTGACGTCTTTAGTCTGACTTATATATTTTCTGTATTATACAGCAGTTTTGTTGTCCCGTGGCCTGAAGTGCACCTCCTCAAAAAAGGTAACTTTGAATCAAAACCAAGCAGCGACCTCCTGTTTGAGGAATGAAGCTGATAGAATACTGGAGTACTGCTGACTGCAGTACTCGAGACTGGAAACCATGTACACATTAAGCCAAAAAGACTCTTTTTAGAGCACGTTTACAGCCTGGTTAAAGAAAAAAAAAGTTTTGGTCTGATCAGCTCAATGTTCCACAGCGCCTGAAACAAAGCAGACTGCAGGTTCTGTGATCGGTCCTCAGGGTTTTAAAGATATCTTTGGTATCTGCTTTCCACTCTGATCCAGTGGCTGTACCAACCCCTCCAACGTGTCCTTGCTTTTCCTCTTCTTATTAGCTGCAGGCATAAACCGCTGCTCAACATTTATAAACTTCAACCTAATACTCTGGTATAGGTTGCCATGGCTACCTGTGTAGAATCAATCAAAGCATGGAGCAGAGCTAGAAAGCGGTAGTATGGCTAAAATAGAAATTGCACTGCCAGATCACACATGGATGAACATAAAGTGCTGATGACAGTGTGTACCTCCCCATAGCTTAGGCATAAAGTCAACACAGAAGTATAAACCCTGCTTTACACAGTTTGGTAGTTTTAATAAAAGGAATTGCATGATTTTAGATGATCGTTTCAGGTGATGATGATGTTGTGAACACACCAAATCATTTCAGTCATATTTCTAAATTTCTTTGTATTAAACATAATTGATTTTTTGGCCCCTTCTATCTTGGTTCAGCATGCCGGTAACCCATGATAAACTGAGTGTGTACTTGGTAGCGCTGCATGATTTTGGCCAAAGATAAAATCCAGTTTTTTTTCTCTGAAAACTCGATTTTCATCATCATAATCAAATAATACAATTACAAGTTAAAATCGATAAACCATGCAGCCCTAGTACTTTGGATGTTTACTGACTGACTGACTGACTAGTGAACCAGCACTGTTAATGCAGCAATCTTTAAAATGCATAAATACTGTATGTCTTTGTTTGAACTTTGCCACCTTCTCAACACAGATTGTCTGAGCTCTACATAAAACAGCTGAGAGTGCGGTTTGTTTACTGGGTCCAGCCAATTACTGTCATTGGGTTTCCTCAAAATGCATTAAAGCCATTTGAAAGCCATCCATATCCTAATGTATCAGCATTGTTTTTACCTGGAGAGAAAACACTGACACTGTCAAATCTGGCTGTCATTTCTGCAAAAATTTGCAATCTTTAACATCAACTATAGTTATCTAATATGCATCAATGATGACCAAACACCACTTGACACATATTTTTTTACTAAATATTTTTACCCACTACCTTCCTAATGACTGTCACAACACAAATTTTGGAATTTTGTTATCCACTCGTCCACAGCTTGACCTAAAAAAACAGGATGATCCTGATGGTCTGACCAAGTCTGGACAGCTCCTATACCACTGCACTACTTCAACACCATCATGGCACAGTCTACTAAAAACCTGATCAGGCCTGAACTGTTTAACCTCAACAGGTTTCATGGCATATCGAATGTATGCACGAGAAAATAAAGACGAAAGATAGACATGAATTTTTAGATCAAGTGTTGAGGCATGCACAGGCATTACTGTGAAGCCCGTAAACAAACTTGTTTAGATGTTTGTGTGATGATGAGAGGACATTCTTGAATCCCTATCAAAGACACTTCAGGTAACAGCGGGGTTCACGGGCCTCAAAGTTGGCAGAGGCTGGCATAATCCTGTCTTGTTGTCTTACTGCTGCCTGTAACTTGATGTGTTACTCCTTTGGCTATGAATATCTGAAAGCATGCCAAGCAGAAAATCTTTATGTGCAAGATATTTCAGAGCTCTCGGTGCATATCAAGTAATCGTGAGAGAAACTGGTGTTCCTGTGGTGTAGTGTGAGGATAAGCAGACAAGCTGATTCAATCATGACGTACTTACTTTCTGTAAAATATAGAAAGATATACAATTATCTTAATTTGTGTGCATATTACAGCACTTAAGCTATGGACACTAATCATGTGGTTACACTAAGAGGCTGTTTCTTAAATGTGTCATCCATAATTCTGGTCATTATTTAAAAAACAACTATCACAAAAGAATAACAAAATGTAAAAGGTTGAATAAATCTTTGTTTGAGTGTCCTGTTTCATTATTATTGATTTAATTGGATTTTTATGCATCTACTATGACTGTACATTATCAAATTATTTAATTAAAGCACCTAAAGAGCAAAAAATCCTATTAAGTCGAGTGTTTCTGTGTTGGTCAGTACATTTAAGTGTATAAAAAAATTTAAAAAAACAATTTATTGCCTTAGTCCCACTGGAACTGGACTTATATAAAAACATGTAAACATGTTGGTCAGACTGAAATTGCATGAAACAGAGCTCCTCAATAATGCAGTTGTTTGAAACTGCTGACAGAGCTGCTATATCGATTCAGATGCTGTGAGCAAAGATGCAGTTTTGGTAGCACCTATTTCCTGTCCAAATCAAATACAATAAAACAAATTCAGGACCCAGAATTATCTATTACAGCCCCCTAACATCAGTTGATTTTAGTAGCACACTTGAAAATATCTGAACTTTTGTAAGGCTTTTCCACAAGTCAGTGTGACCAATCATAATCTAGACAGGGCTGGACTTATAGTATCATCTTTGTAAACAACAGTGACAAAGATGTGCAAAAAAAGACAGACTACACCATGAGGCAGCATGTCCAGAGCTCCTAGCTGTAACACAGTTTCTTATTAATCCCTGGGCGGAAATTCACCCCATGTGGATGATGCAGTTCTTCTTATCTCTTTGCTGGTTTTGTCCTACTTGTGTTTTCTGATTGATCGTCTCATCTCTTTTCATTGCTCTTAAAGGGTCCACACTTTAATGTATAAGTTAGTTACAAAGTTACAATGGAGGATTTCCTCTCCAAAGAGGAAGCTGACACCTTCTACTATGAGCTGGATTTGCATCTCAACTATAACTGTAACTTGGGGCTGTTTTAAAAAGAGCTTCCATGTAGGCTCTGGAGCCTGAACTGTAAGATACATTATAGCAGCAGCCAATGTAACATGAGCTTACTGCTTAAAGCTAGAACTGGAAGATAACAGCTAACCCCATACCTCTGTAAAGACAACTTCTGTGTAACTTGTATGACCACAATGCTGTTCAAAAAGAGACAGCTACACTGGCCTAAATATCAGAGGGGAAAACACAAAAGGATAGATTTAAAAAGATACGACATTCCTTTATTTGTCCCACAAGGATAAATTCCAAAGTTTACAGCAGCAATAAATACGAGTTGGTAGTTCAATCCCCCCCTATCATGAGTCTATCTGTTGTGTCCTTGGGCAAGACACTTAACCCACCATGCTCCCAGTGTGTGTCCTCCACTGGTGTATGATTTGAGTGATGTTTGGTGGTGGTTGGAGAGGTTATAAGCGTAATACCCGGGTATTACCTAAAGGAAGCCCTAACGCCCCAAAAACTTTTTTTTAGCATTTTTCAATTTTTTTTGGTCTAACTAACTCCTAAAGGTTGGAAAAAAGTTCCTAAAAAGGTTTTGGACAGTGATTTTAATCCTAACCCCCAAAACCTTACACCTTACCCTAGCCCCGTAACCCAATACCCGGGTATTACCTAAAAGAAGCCCTAACACCCCAAGAAATTTTTTTTTATTTTTCAGTTTTTTTTGGTCTAACTAACTCCAAAAGGTCTGAAACATGTTCCTAAAAAAGTCTTGGACAGTGATTTCAACCCTAACGCCAAAAACCTTTAACCTTACCCTAGCCCCATAACCGGTTTGCGTTATAAGCGCAAACTGGCAGCCATGTTTCCTTCAGTCTGCCCCAGGGCAGTTTACCACCACCACCAAGGAGTGACTGTGTGAGCGAATGAATGATGTATCCAGTGTAAAGCACTTTAAGGGTCTCCGATAAAGTGCTATCAAATCAGATGCATTATTTTCATTGTAAATAAAAAAATATATATATGTCTCTTTGAGCAAAAAAATGTTCTGACAACCTGCTACATGATCGTCGCGAAGATAAGAGCGGCAGAAAATGAACAAGTCCACCTTTTTGAAACACGCGGCTCCGTGTAAAAACATATTAGGGGGATGTGTGGTGGAAGTATCACAGCCTTGAGGCATGAACCTGGAATTCACCGTTTGTTTAGCGGATAAGAGAGCGCTGCCGGTGCTGCCGGCTACAACAGGAGGTGGTACAGAGTTCAGGTGCAGGTAAAACTCACCTGACAGACTGATCTGGAGCTGTCTGGCTGCTGGGAAACACAAATGTTGGAGGAGGGGGTGGGGACACATAAAGGGAACAGTGTTTGAAATAGGCCACCTCTGAATCAGATCCTCAGTTAAGAAATGCACCAGCGACAGTAGACAGGCAACTCATCCAAGCTTTATGTGAATAAGTAAAATTTCTCTGAAGCAGAAGTGTTTTTTCTCTCTCTCTCTCTCTCTCTCTCCCTGAAACGTGCAGCAATCCACAGTTTGGTCATCCATCACAGAATTTGTTCAAACTGGCCAAACATGCCAAAGGCTTTCAAATTCCTCAACTGATGACCCCTCTAAAGGTACACAACAAGACACACACACACACACACACACACCCAAGTAAAATGATGAACTAAAATATTAGTTTGACTTGTATTAAAGCAGAGCAGCAGCAGACATGCATGTGTAATTTTCTCAAATGAAGCAAAAGTGAGCAAAGCAAATTAAGAAACATTCCCCTTTCTAACCCCGAGGCTGTTGACACCACAGTATCAGCCTGATCTGCAGGACTGGTGCTTATCCATCTTCCAAGAGATTGAGATCTCACTTCAAAGAGGAGCTCAGCGCTTCCTATCATTACTGGTAAGTTATAAACCTGTAATTAAGTCCAAATTATGTCTATTAATAACCTGCATGGGAGAGGTTGAGAACTTAATGACTTAATATGGAGGTAGGATCAGTGAGGGGACGTCTATGAAGACATGATAATTTGAGGAGACAGCCTGCGTGCTCTCACTGTGACAATGAACAGCATGGACCAGGTGTTGAACTTCCTGAATACAGACATTCAGCATGCTTGTGAAAGGGCTGTCACCCTCCCTGTCATTACCCACAAATACCTGCACCAGGTTCCTCCTGACTGAAGCTCAAACTCCTATGCTTTTCAGCTTGAATCAACATTTTTTATAGAAACATCCTGATAACACCAACTACAACACTCATGGCTGTGTCTTTTTCAGCGTTTAATTTATACTAAGTCTGTGACGATGTGGGTGGGCCTTTGGCAAATATCCATCGCTCGCACTCTTGACTCTGACATTCACAGACGCTCAGGATTTCTCCTGCCAGCTCAGCCAAATTAGGTCTGGTAACTCATTTATGGATTGTTGGAATTGGAGCACTTTTAAATTAGTAAAAAGTTCAATCTGTCGCACCAGATTTTTTGGACAACCTGACCAAGAGAGAGATTTCGGATTCCTTGAGGAGGATGGTCATGGTTGGATAAGAATTTATTGGCTTTTAGTGTAATTTGTTTGCTATAAAAGTCAGACAGAGACCAGTGTTTTCACCCTCAGCCTTCAGGATGTCCTCCATTCGTTTCCTGATTGCCATATTAAAACGTTGTTATCTTGAAAGTACTTCCTCCTTGATTGATTCTGTTTCAAATGTAATGAGGAGCCTGGTACTCTTCTACAGTGTATGTATAGGTGTCAAAAACTCCAGATGATATGGAGAAAAACCTGGATTTGTGTTCTAAATGAATAGGCCAAGCTATTCCCATGGACGAAAACTGCGTTAGCTACATCCTGAAGATTGCTCTAAGGAAACATGGACTAAATAATTTATGTTTATTACAGGCCAAACATGTTACTGAAAGATATAAAGAGACGTCATTCAAGTCATAGGTAAAGGAAAGAACTTGCATGGTAAGAGGTGAGACTGAGGTGTTAACATATCTATGTAAACTGCATATACAAGTTCTTGCTCCTTGTCATTTCTCAGGCTCCATCTCCTCATTGTTCCATCAGCAGTATCTATGAGGATCTTCAGTATAGATCCCTGCAGGTTCTCCCTCCTTCCTCTACCAATACACCACATGTATGATCTGTTATCATACAGTTGTTAAAGATTTCCTTTTTGTTCCAGACACTAAGGGCCTTACTTAAACAATCTAGAGGTCTAAAGTGCAGGGCACAAAGTAAATCAGGGTGTGTCCGACCACAGTTTCCCAAGCGATGCACAACCTGGGTGTTAAGTGAGGCACAGGGGGCAAAGAGGTTGGATTAAGACACCAATTATTTAAGGTGTGTTTTGGGCGTAATGTGATTTCAGCCTTTGTAGTTAATTACACCGGGCTTAAACTGGTGCGTTTAACTTTTCCCCTTCTGTGGAGCCTGTGAAATTGCTGAAACACACACAAGGTCACTGTATGAGTAATATCAATGCATTTATTGTTGTTTAATCCAAATCCTTCTGAATAGCAAAAATGAGAGTGACTTTCCCCGAGACATTCTATTCAAGGCACAGCAGTGTAAACTTGACTGACTATATGACAGTATAGGACAGGATCTAATGATGACTGATGTACTGTGTGCTTTCACATTGAAAACAGTTTAACGGTGAATCTTAACTTATTTTTGCTGCTAAATCACGTCATGTGACTGCTTAAAAAATTAGGGCAACTCATAATCGACCCAGTTCAACCCCAAGTCAATCACCTGTCTAGTTAAGTGCAGCAGATAATTGCATATTTCAAGAGAATCGTTCAAGAAGTGATGCAAACAGGAAATTTAGCCAGACTCTTCCTTACGGTCACTTTTTTGAAAAATGACGTTTGACACGAAATTCCAGATGGAAGCCATTTTTCAAGATGGCCACCATTTCTATCAAATCCTCATTATTTTGATAGTTTAAATTGCCACAAAAGCGTGAAATTTGGCACAAACAGTCTCTGGAGGGGCACTCTTTCGAACAATGACGTTAGACACTCGAAAAATTACAGATGGCGGCCATTGTTTTCAAGATGGCTGACACTTAAGCAGAACATTGGTATGTCGAGTGTATATGGGTCACTTGACCAGAAACTGCTCGCAACCACTGGAAATTTTAAGATTGTAGCCATTCTTTGAGATTGCCAGCTGAATCCCCAAGATGGCCACCATTTCTGTGCTGTGTTTTTGGACCCATGAGGACCAATGGCATACTGTTTTTTTACGCCTTCACAGGTTGGGATACTGTATTAGCCTTTCGCAACAAAGGCAAAAAGACTGCCTGGCAAACATGGGACATTTGCCCTGAGGCCTCTCTCATCTTCAGCAAATTAAGTCAATACCCTCCTGTACTGACTGATGGCGACCTTGAGATCCTGGAGAAGTCTGTGGTCCTGATGTATGATAGATCACCTGCAGCTGTTAGTGTGGATGAGGCTAGACTTGACATGATTGCCCGAAAGCAGAGGCCATATGAAGCCATTCCTCCAACAAGAACAGCTCTACTTCAACACACTAAACATGCAGCATATCATGCAGGCTGCATACCGGCTCAGGCAAACCAACACCAGCCAAAAGCAGAAAGTCTTGCTGACTGGGGAAGGAAAAAGGTTGGTGAACAATGTTGGGTCTTCTGGACAGTGAGTACACTAGGAACAGGAGGAGCACAACCACATCCCTACAAAATGACCTCCAGCAGATCACTCGTGTGCATGTTTTGGAACAAACTGTCAGAAACAGACTCCATTGGGGTGGCACGAGGGCCCACATCCACAAGTGGGTCCTATACTTGCAGCCCAGCACAGTGCAGCTTGTTTGGCATTTGCTTAAGAAGACCAGGATTGGCAGATCCATTCGAATATATGACAGACGTGAGAGAGTCTGGCAGTGCTGTGGAGAACTGAAACATCAGTGACGGTCTCAGAGATCATATCCTGCGTGGGCTGCTCAGACCTCCAGACACTAGCCAGAGGCTCCCTGACTGCTGTTTGGTACTGGGATGAGGTCCTCAGACCCATTGTCAGACCAGATCCTGGTGCAATGAGCTCTGGGTTCCTTCTGGTTCATGAAATGCCTGGTCCCATTTTGCTGGAGTGTGTCAGCAGTTCCTGAATGACAAAGGATTTGATTTTTCCAACAGGCCTGCCTGGTCCAGAATCCAGCATCCAATCCAACACCTGGGACATCATTTATCCCTGCATCGCCGCAACATCACACCGCAGACAGTCCAGGAGCTGACCGATGCCCTGATCCAGGTCTAGGAGAAGAACCCACAGAAGACCATCCATCGACTCATCAGGGACACCTCATTTTGACAGTAGGCTTTTGGGTGTGATTCTGAATCTGGTTCTCAATGAGTTAATAATTTTTCCATAGATCATTCCTACATTATTTTAACTTAAAAAGATAACTCAATATAATTGATAAAGATCAAGATCTGGAATGTGTGATTCAAGCGTTCCCTTTACTTCAAGAATAGTATTGAAGTCCCCTTGAAACTTTTTCCTCTTCCTGCCAGTTCACTGTTTTGTCAGTTTTAATTAAATCAGCGTTGACACACCTGAACCAGTTTCTGTGCTAATCTGAGGTAAACCATCGCTGGATGTGATTTCAAACCAGGTATTCTTATTAACTGTGACTCATTTGTCCTCCCGATTGTGGTTTTTTGTCTCGTCTACACCTTTACCTGTTCTTAAATGTCAGTGCTGATTGAGGTGAGCTTTGGGCTGTCAGTCTGAACTGAATTGTTTTATGTAACTAGGTACCATCAGACTCTGTGGTGGTTTCTCTGAGCCCCCTGTGAGTTGAGGATCCACAATGGTGGTAGGTCTGTCTTATTGGTATGAAACAGTAAGAGGGCCTCTGTTCACATCTTTCTCAGTTTACTGAGATGTAGTTTTCATCCTCAACATCCCTGGGCTCTTGGCGTACGGGGACAGCGCAGTAATTTTACTGCTGTGTGACTCACCAGAGTGCTTGGAGACATAATTAGCTTTGTGTCTTTCAGAACAAGGGCAAACCTTGGATCAGGCTGTAATACTCACCACAAACATCTCACTTTTACACTCAGACAGACTTAAGGGCTCTCTTTGAAATACAGGTGTAGAGGCATGTCTCATTGTTGTAGATTTGAAGATTGAAAGCGTTTTATTTGGTGCAGCCCCTCTTTGTAAGTGTGTTCACCTGAAGGTTTCTTCTCTCAGCACATTCAATATAAAAGCATTCATTTGGCCTCGAAGATTTTATATGCAGGTGATGATAGAAGAGACAAAACATTTGCCCTGTAATTCAGATCATTTATGTCATTAAGGGCACCAGGTGCAGATGTGAACTGTAACCTGCAGCTCTCGTAACAGTTCTCCAGCAGACCCAAATCCAGACGCTGGCCAGTTCTTAATATTTCCAGATTTTGCCTTGTCATCTCATGAGGCATACCTCTGGTCCAAAAACTCCCATTTATGAGCAAACTATTCAGAAGATCTGAGGCTCTCAGGGGGTCTTTCAACTAAAGGCCCTTATTTTTCAGGGCAAAGGAGTCTGAGTTGATAGATGCCTGAATTTGGCCATTGACGCCTCTATTGGGGCAGGTACAGTTCGGTTTGTCACATTACCATTTATATGTTCAAAAGGTAAGCTTGTTGGATAAACATAAGAAAGTAAGGCAGTGAAAACAAACATTAAAGGTAATATATAATATTATTTGCAGAATATTGCCTTACAGCTCAGAAAAATAACGGATAGTGACTGAATGACCCGGGATCCTCAAGAAGAGACTCTACTTTGTACTTACCCCTGAAGCTCTCTGTTTCCTCACTATCTCCTTTAAAGTTCTTCCCTGTCTCCACTGGTCATACGCCAAACCTGACAGATTGTC